ATCGGATATCGTTGAAACGAAAGAGGTATTTAGGTTGCTGGTTGTTTCAGCGAACCGTACAAGGAAACTCGAGAAATCTCGACCGGAAGCTTGGAAAAATGATAAACGAGCATTACGAATCGCCGCAACGAGGATGGCTACATTGTGGTTAATTATCTCCCTGCTGTGGTAGATTTTATAATTTAAAAAACGTTGCAACGAGAACGCGAGGATCCTAACAATTGCTAAAATTATCTAGCATATTATCGAATGAGCAACCATGAATGAACTAAAGATGATAGAAAATATCATAGTAGGATCGTTTCTGTGAAACATTGTTGCCAAGCAGTGTAATAATCACGGAGCAAAAGACAACGCAATAATCGTAGACTGAATTAAGTTGGTGAAATAATAGAACGAAGAGCAGCACAGTATGCGATTCATAAACAAGGCATATAAATTTTCCATACAATTTCCTCGTGACGAGTTTGTACCTGTAGACGTTTCGGTTGAAAAAACATTCGCACACAGACAGATACCGAGACAGACAAACGTCGAGGTGGTTCGCCAGAGTGTGGGAGAGTTCGCAGGTCACCGGTCTACCGAACAATGCGCGATTTCGTTGCCGACGAGGACGACTTTTTTGCAAGCGTGTATATCGCTCGCTTGCTCGTTTGCTCGTCTACAATGAACCGCACCGCATCGCCGCCTTCCTCGCCGTCATTTCTGCGACATTGTCTTCTATTCCCTTTTCTGAACCATTGTCTTGGGCGAGAAATTTTTCGAATTTACTGCCATTTATTAATTGATCCTCCCCGTTGATAAATTTCTTCGCAGACTCGACTGTTCTTTATCTTTCAACTTCCTGGAATTTTAATTTTTTTCTTTTATCCTGTATCAAAATGACCCTGCATCCGTCGCGCAATTTTTAACGAGGATTTAAAAATAAATTTCTAAAAAAAAATGCAAATTTTATATTCAATGTTCCGTTATCTGGATCATTAATTTCTCGTAATGCATTAATTTCTGTTAATGCAAGAAATCAATCGTTTACCTTCACTGTTATTATTCTTTACCGTAAAACGGTTAATAGATCGATCATTAAAGTCGATCAGTTATCATTTATCATTTCTTGCATTAATTTAGCAAAACACTGTTAGCTTTATTTCTTCAAGGAAAAAACAAAACTAAAACAGAGCAAATCAACAGAAGTCAACAGCGATACAATGAACGATTAACACTGAATCGTCATTGAATGCATAATGAAGCTAGTACACGCACAAACAACCGCAAATCCGAGGACTTACGCGAAAGCAAATTTATTATTTCCGCGAAATGCCCTTCAGTCCCCTAGAAACAGACACGCGTGTGAGATCTTTTCTTACAATTACCAGCTTTTATACCAGCTGATGCACATTAAAATTGATTAAAGAGTTATTATTTGATAATAATGTGTATTGTATACTCTTAATCCTCGATGCACTCGTGCAATTTTCTAGGGTCGTTTTCTGAAGATAATACAAACATCCTGATCCATATCACTCGCAATCACTGCCAATGAAGAGCAATTTAAATTGTCCCAATTAGAATCACCCAAATCAGACACAGAACGTCTTAATTTTGAAAGATTCCGATACGGGCCGTGAACGGATAAGAAAAAGACGACAGGAAGTCACGACAGACAGAATCACTATACTCTTGAAGCGAGAAAGAGAAGAATAGGCCTTCCGGCGCTGAAAGCGTTTCTCAGCCAGGTTTTAATTTTCAAGAGACCGCCGTGCCGAGTGAGGCTTACGCGAAGCAACAGCAGCAGAAGCAGCTGTGCGCGCCGACTGGCGTTTCGTTCGATTTGGCGCGTGCCGAGTCCACTCTGTTGCTGCCTTCTTTTGCTTGCTTGCTTGCTTGCTTGCTTGCTTCGTTGGCCGCGCCGTTACTCGTTGCTTGGCACCTGTTCCACAGCTGATACGCGGCTGGTTACTTCTGCTCCCTCGAAACCGTCCAATTCTCTTCTCTTTCTCGCTGTCACAAAGTGGACTGTTTCCTTTTGAAAAGCTCGCTTCCGATGGACGAATTATATTCCAATCGAAGAAATCACCCCCAAACGTGTTAGAAGACCAGTTGAGAAAAAGTACCGAGTATTTTGAAACGCGTCAAGTGGAATATTTTCTTCTCTGAATGGGCAATTTCCAGAATTCTTGGAATTCAAGAAGCATGACTGGTGGCCAAGAAATTTGTATTTTATCAAATACATGACTCGATTTACACCTGATAACAAACCGAATAACTTTAATGACGAGTAACCGTTGTTGAAAGAATTAATTATTAGTGAGTCATTTCCTGCGATACCTATATCTGTGCGAAGCTTGATCAGTCTTAATAAAATTAAGTAATACTAGTCAAAACTGGCCATATGAATCTTTAATAAAAATTCTTCAACCACCCTTAAAAAAAAATAAACGAAGATGAGAGAAAAGAATCGTTGCTCAGGCTCCAATTGTTCATCCGTGTGAACAAACGCGCAGCCTGAATGCTCAGGAATTTCGGAATAGTTTCGGCGCGAGAAGACGACGACGAAGAAGAAGAAGAAGAAGAAGGAAGGAAGGAAGGAAGGAGAAGAAGAGAGGGTGCATTTAGGTAGCATGAAAACATGTACCTGATGGAAGCAAAGGCTGGTGTGTAGCCTGGTGTGTGCGTGCACACCGTGAGGGCCGGCTCGAAGCTGCACTCCCACGCTCACCGTCCATGAAATAGGGTGCGAGGTGCAGCTACACACCAGCCTGTGCAGGTGTAGGTGGTGTACGCAAGGATCCGTCCCTACGGCCCTATTAACCATGCCGTTCTTCAAGACCAACTTGGTCACGGCCATGAGAACCCATGGGATGCTTGCGATAACTTTTAACCTGCGCTCTTTTCTGAAAACCTTGGATTATTTAACGAACCTATTCCCTACATTTATGTTCCGTCACTTTTTTCAAATTTGCCATCTATAAAAAAATGAAGGAACCAGTGATTCTTAAAATACACATGCGAGAGAAAAAAAACAAAAAGGAGGTATCGTCTACAGTTAAGAAAAAGTTGAAGAATTTTTATGACGAGCTTAAGCGTTGATCCAACGACGATAAATTTAGTCTTGCGAATACGTGTCTTCGGAAAGAAGGAAACAAAAGTCAGGGATGAAATAGTGCGCATATGGTGTATGCGAGGACCCTGCACGGCTTGTTAATGACTTCGTTCTCAAACCAACTTGGTCACGAGCATGAGAACCTTTTCTCTTATGGTGAGATCCTGTGTCTGTGGTGGAGCTATAAAAAGACAAAAAGAAATACGACTGATTCGTAGAGAAAATAAAATACGCAAACGCGATAAATTTACGTTTTTTTCTTTTTAATTTACAAACGATAATTCTGAAGTGATGTCAACGAGGGAGGTAGCCTAGTATTTAATTAGGTGAAACGATTAAATGTTTCGTTGATAAAGTTCGTTCTACACGGTTAGCTGATAACAGGGTAAAATAACGCAGTTTAAATCCGCGACGAAGATAAGAAAAAGCATATCCTGTTTCGATTAGCCAAGACAGATTTATATATATTTCGTCGTCGAACATTGAACGATAAGATGTCGCGGCGGTAGAAATTCATGCGAATCTCTTCTCGTGGACTCACAAACGGAGGTCGACGGAAATTGTTTAATCTTATCTGAAATTTCACCGTTAGTTGGACAAAAGAAAAAGAAGGAACAAACAACTGTTATGCGAAAGTCAGGTGTCGTTGCTCCAAAATACAAACTTCTTTTACCAGATTTTCAAATGCAACACCCTTATAGTGCAATCGTCTATGATATATTTTAAAATATAGTTCATTTCGTTACTTTGGACTTCAGTCTCCTTCGTCCTACGACTGACCACTTTATTCGATCGCACGATCAACAAATTATTTTTTTTTTTTTTACTCGTAACGCTCGTTCACCGTGTTCCCCTTATTCCCTTAACGTCACACAGAACAATGGCTTCTATGGATTATCATAATCCAGTACCGTCTAAGCGTCGCGTTGCGTGAACAGTCGGAATTATAATGCGCACGATATGTGTGACCAGCCGACGTTCCCACACTTATCCTTTTTAACGGCGAGGAAAACAGGTGGCCAGGTGAGCAAAACGATCGACCCGTAACGAGCCAGGCTATCGTTCAAACTACCGCGACACGGCTACCAGAACCTATCTATCCTTTTAATGACCATCGACGGTGATCGTCATGAAATTTTCTACCTCCATTTATGCGAACGTTCGCCTCGCGAGCTCGGATCATGTTGATCGATCAAAGATTGCGATCGTTTTACACAGCTAGACTCCCACGAAATGTAATTAACTACGAGATTCGTTGAGACACACCTTGAACCAAGAAGAGGAGCAGAATTCTGAGAAAATAGGCTTCGTTGCTTATGAATTTTTATTTATCTTTTTCTCGAAGGCAGATCTTCGTCTGTAATGATTTCATAGAATTTCGATAATGTGTGTGTATGTAGAGCCTTTTGTCTGAAAAATGGATAATGTTGATTTCCAACCCTCGTAACCAGCGAATCGCAACCACGAAGTGCATTTGCTCAGTGGTGCTGTGTCGAAGCCGGTCGCAGCCTCCGTAATGGACATACGCAAGGAGCGACGGACGATGGACGACGGGCGACGGGCAACGGGTTTCCTCCTGCTCGAGAAAGGAAGTCGAGGATAGGCGGAGTTGGCTCGGGCCAATCGTCGAGATGCGCGCCGCCCACGTGTCAGCGGGTTCCTCCCTGCAAACTCTGTACCTCTCCTAACACCGTACAACTCCCCAGGTTGATCTTGGTCGTGATCTCTTCTTCATTTTTCTTGTACCTGAAGTACCTCGCAGTACTTGGAGTACTTTAGCTCTCTAAATCATATGTTTAGACTACTTCGTTTACACGAGAGAACATTTTAACGCAGGGTAAATCAAATGGAATAGCAAAAATTCATGATAATAAAAAAGTATCCTTGTTATCTGTTGCAGGAGGCTACAATCATCTACGCAGTCCTGTGTGTCAGGACGAGAATCAGAGGGATGAAACGTCGCCTCCACCTCACAGCCATACCACTCAAGCGCCAAACTCTCATTCCAGTACTCCAAACAGCACCAACAATAACAACAACAATAATAACGCGAATAGCGCTTACATACATCTACGGAATTTAAATCAGCTCAAAACGGAGTGTAAGTATAGAAAAACTTAAGTGGACTTTTCCGAGTGTAATCCCATTCTAAATTTTCCTCCATTATTCTTACATTATTCTTACAGCCAACTACAGCAGTCATCACATAACAGAACACCTTCAAGGTGGTGGTGGTGGTGGTGGATTAACGAGTGGCAACGATCTCGCGGCAACAGGAACCAACGAAAGCGAACTGAGGGTCAGTCAGTCCGCGACGGACAGTTACATGACCCCGGCTCATTATTCCGGTTACGACGAAGCCTCGGAGTACCACAGTTTACCGCAGGATCATCAACCGCCTCATCCTTACAACATTGACGGTTCGCCGGAATTTTACAGCACCAGTGGAATTCACCTCGAGCCAAAATATCAGCCGTCGCCGTTCAAAAACTATCCAAGAGGTGAGCGCAAACAATTTGTTCGTTGCTTCTAATTGAAAGTATTAATCGTTTGTTTTTTTTCAATAGGTCGCTACCATGAAGGATACAGCGAGAGCAGTGGATACGGACAATACGATGCGACGCCATTCCAAACGGTTCCAGGAAGCGGAAGCGGTGCTGGAGGTGGCGGCGTTGGAGGTGATCAATGGGGAGTTGGTCCTCTCGAACACCTAACTCATCATCCTGCATTTCTGGCTGGCCTTGGACCACGGGACTCTTCCAATCCTCATCATCCCTCCTCCATTGGCAACAATCCTGACCAAAAGCCTTTGCTACAGAATGCTATGATTCCTGGTTATACAAGTATGTACTTAATTATATTCCATAAAAATAAGTATATTATTTAAGGTGTATCATTGTTTTAACGCTCTGCATCCGTAATGTTGCAGGTAGTGGACCTTGTTTTACCGGTTCAGGCCCCATTCAACTCTGGCAGTTTCTTCTGGAGCTATTAACAGATAAATCGTGTCAAGGTTTCATCTCGTGGACCGGTGATGGCTGGGAGTTCAAACTGACGGATCCTGATGAAGTGGCGCGTCGTTGGGGTATTCGTAAAAACAAGCCTAAAATGAATTACGAGAAACTGAGCCGTGGTCTTCGTTATTATTATGATAAGAACATCATACACAAAACGGCTGGTAAGCGATACGTCTATCGCTTTGTCTGTGACTTAAAGAGCTTCTTAGGGTAAGTGTGTTTTACTTTTATATGTAGCGATAACGATTGATAGTATGAGATCAGGTACGATCGTTTTCTGTTGTGTTTGATTACAGATACAGTCCAGAAGAACTTCACGCAATGGTAGATTTGAAGCCAGAGAAAAAGGAAGAAGACTGAGTTTTTGTTACTGGATGTGTCTGAGGATTGTGTCGTTGCTAAAAACAAAAAAAAGGAGGAATACGAATTCCTAGCTAACGCACTGGGACAAAGTTGAAACTGAAAAGAAAAAAAAAATGTAACGAACAATGTGTAACGAACAAATGATGGAAGAAGAAACAACTGGTGTATCGTTAACGAAAGAATTCTTCAAAGACGGAAAATAGACTAACTAATTGATGTCTTCTTCTATGTCCAAATATATATGATAAAATTAAATCGGTCGTATGTACCAAAGACAGGGTCTGCATACCATTGGTGCCTAAAGTTAATGACTAAAAAATTGTGAATTTGTTTCTAAGTGATTAATTTGCCAAGCCAGATTTTAGAAGATATTTATAGGAAATAACTCAACAGTTTATACATATTATATACATATATATATATATTATATATATATTTTTAATGTTACATGATTTTTAAGCACTACTTCAAAGCACACGATGCGTCTAAATTATTTATGTCCCATCATTTTTAAACATGCGTGTTATATCTTTGTTGATGAATAACACCATATGTGATTGTTATTACTATAATTTTACTACAATAAAAGCCATTATATCATTATTAAACGGCGAGCTTGAAATTCGACGTTACAATACTTTTTTCTATGTGTTAGGCTATCATTAAGTTTAGTATTATACAAAATATTGTGTTTCCGAGCTCGCTTGGCTGCACCAACTGTAAAACACTCGTTTTATACTTATTCTCGACTCTTTTCTCCTATTCACCTCCTCGATATTTTGATGTACTACCATTTTCAGGTGATTAATTAAGAGAGTTTCAAGTGCGAACAAAGTATGCTGTTAATTTCGATGCAAGTTGTATGTTTCAATCATGTTTCTTTTCTTAACGAAATCGGTTTGTTTCGTTGATCTCTATGTTTTGCTAATGATCGCATGTATTGTATTCGAAGGAAGGGGCGACGTGCAACCAGTGTTCAAAATCATAGACGCGTACAACAGTGTTTGTAATAGACGATCGATGTTTAAAGTACCGGTAAATTGTAAAAATTTGTTTCAAACAATTTTAAACGTTTTAGTATTTGCATAAATGAAAAACATTAGCATTGACGCCAAGACGAATCAAGTATATTTTATGTTTATTCTCTGTTTTAAACGCTGTTTTACTCGTACTTATAAAATACCACTGTACGTGAACGAAAAATGTCTGCTTTCTGGAAAAAGTTTTCTTTTAAATATTTCGACTCCGTTTCAAACGTATAACATGATTTTTTTTGCAAAACATAGCAATAATTAAAAGTAGACGTTTTTAAAGGATACTTTACGATCTTTATTGTATATAATACGCGAACGGCTGAAGCGTTAGAACACTGGGTAACGTGTTGTAGATGAAATTGACGATAATGTTACGATTAATTTTACGTGATTTACGAATCTGGACGAGCGTTATTTTTTTTTTTTTTTATTTACATTGTAAAAATATTGTTCGTCCTTAACGACGAGTTAAACAAAGAGCGAGGAATGTATACGTATCTATGTAATTACGTATTTTATAAATTATAAGCTTCTTTAATTATGTTTGTTAAATGTTCGCGTAAAAAGAGACGATGGTTAAAAACGATAACAGAGAACGATATTTGATGACAAAGATTGTAAAAGAGAGACTCGTAGATCGATGATTAATTATGAACTTAAAAAAAGAAAAGAGGAAAAACGTTAACTATAAAATTTAGTTAATCTCAAGATTAGAGATCTTGACATATCCGTCACGATTGTTAAGTTTTCTATGTAATGAAGTAATTTAGATATGTTTATGATTATCAGAACGTGGTTAACAGTATACTGACTTCAAAAAAAACTCACGAAAATAGGACAGATGTATACATATTTCAAATTTGTATGAACATCAACGAAATCCGAGTTTATATGTAATATTATCATTTGCAAATTCTTCCTTCTCTGCACACGACTGGACGTTCGTAAATTGTATTGAATACTCTTAGTCGAATAAAGCAACAAAACAGGAATTATGTAAATCTTTTACGTATTCTGTGTGTAAAGTATTCGATCATCGTTTCTGACAATTATATGAAGTTACGACAGCGACAGCGAAAAAATTTTTCAGTAGTTGCAATAAAATAAAGAAATTTTTATAAATACACTGAATTAAAAAATCAGTGCCTTTGACACCTCCTTACCAATGAAAATAATGTTTACGTTCTCGATATGTTGTGTTTGGTGTTTGAATTTGGCGGGTTAAACTCCTGCCAAGTCCGCGCATTTCGTTTACATATTTAAATCTGCGCGGGCAAAAAGCCGCCAGTAGTCCCGCGGCTGTTGCGGCGTAGATATGCGAAAGGGGGGGATTATTCGTTTGTCGGCACATATTAACTGGCTTTTGTTTAGTATGTGTTATCATGTGCGGTAGTGTAAGTGTGAAAGTAGGGGGAAATAAAAGCGCGAAAGCAGTTACTTGATAGCGTTGTTCTCGAATTTAAAATGAACAATTTAGTTATTACCACGTTAAATGTAACAAATATTGCAGAATGCATATTGGAATTGGTAAATGCAATATTTTCAAAACACAAATGTATAAATCTTTCTGACTAAATTATTTTGTTTCAGGTGCTGAATTCGTTAAGTGCCAACGCTACGTCAATTGCGATACGAATTCATGCAGAAAAACGTAAAATTCAAGTAATAGACAACGGTGTAGGAATTCCTAAGGAAAACTTGAAAGTACTTGCAGAGTATAAGGATGAGGATTCTTATAATAATTGGGATATACATAAAATTTATTACACGAAGAAACAGACACTTGTAAACATTCGTAAATTATCCAATGCTTTGTTAATTTCTTCTAGACATTGTGATTCGTCTAAAACTTATACGAAGGTACACTTTAATAATAAATTATGATTTTTAAATATTATTTCACGCGAACTAAACGTTATCTATGTTTAAAGATTTTTAAAGTATGTCATGATCCAGAAATAATTAAAGTTTCAATGAGACCTGCACATGGTACCACAGTAAGCATTTATGGATTTCATGAACTATCATTGAACAAGTGGAATATACCTTTAATGTATCATTTAATTGCCAATGTTTCTATGGTTAATGTACAAGTAAGTAGACAATTTATTAAACCTTTTGTGCTCAAAGCTAAAATTTATGTTGTATTCCCAGGTTTCATTCTCTATCAGAGATGATCAGGAAAAGGATGTCATTATGACAGTCACTAAGCCACATAATCCAGTAGATATTTTTCAGTTATTATATAATAAAGAAGTAAAACTTAACAATATATGGTACATACAAAGTGTGGAAGAAGTTGATGTTAAGTTTTCTGCATACATTGGATTGACTAATATTAGATCAAAAGCTACTCAATATGTCTTCTTAAATAACAAACTTGTTCATTGTCCTTTAATTTTAGAAGTAATTTCAGCTATTTTTAACAATACATTCAAATGCTTCACAACAACACATTGTGAACAGAAACTAACCAGAAAAGCAGTCTTTATTTTAATCTTCATTACATGCACAGATTATGTCTTTACAATGATAAATGAGAAGAGAACTTTGGTTTTACCTAATATTCAAGAGTTATTACAAAACATTAGAAAAGAAATACTAAACATTTTTACGAAAAATATTGCACCTCTTTCTAATCATGTTTCAAAATATGTTAGAAGAGATAAAAATCTGATATATAATTGCATAAGTAATTTGAATGGCACTAAACTATTTAAAAGTACATTGATTCCACAGTTGTCTATTTCTAAAAAGGATGAAAGATTGCATACAATTTATAATATTAAAACAAAAATTACAAAATTAACAGCTTCAGAGATACAAAGAGGTGTAGATTATAAAGAGAATGCATCTGAAGTAAATTCCATTGATCACTTTCAAACTGACAATTTTAATACAGAAGAAAATTTACCTCAAGACAGGAGGAATAAAACACAACTGACAGAAAGTCAAGTAACTGATATGATTCCATTGTTTACACCTGTTTCACAAAATAAAGAAGTTACAACATTGACTCTTACTGAATGGTCAGATTGGTCGTATTCTGATAAAAGGATGTGTAGTGTTAAGAAGCTACAAGCTGTTTCTACAATAAATTACTTTCAGAGTAATTTCTTGAAGGCTTATAAACGTTTTGATTTTTTACCAGAAAAGTTACATAAACAATTGCGTGGAAATATTAAACTGACGAAAATTGATATCCTAAATGATCTTGGTGGAAATATTTCTTCAGAGAAATTGAAGTTTGGTTTGCAAGGTAATCGTGCAATTCGTAAATAAAAGTGCAACATGGTAAATTTATTTTATTTTTTATTTTTATTTTAATTCCAGATATGTTACTTCATCAAGAGATTGATGTACGTCCGTGCAAAGTTATTAAACATCTGCGCGAATTCAGGTTGAAGAAAGAATTCCTGCAATTTCTAAAAGTATGTGATTAATAAAGATACTAGGTAAATTTCATTAATTTATATGAATTGTGGTAATAGCGATCATTTGTTTAGATATTAGGACAAACGAATAATGAGTTAATAGTAGGTTTGCTAAACCAGCATGATATGAAAGTTCTTCTATTAATGGATCAACATGCTGTTCATGAAAGGATAAGATATGAAAATTTGCTTCATAGTAAATATACAATGTACCTTTATTTTGAAAGTTAACTAAATGTATATTGATATTCATCAACTTATCTTCAGAGTACAAATCACAGACAAAAAATTATTTACTTTTCATAAAATTAAAAGATCCTATTGTAATAGAGTTATCTGTAGATAAGTGTAATCTACTTGTATCAAATAAAGTTACATTTAACAAATTTGGAATCACTTTTAATGTAATGAATGGTAATACTGTAATAGTGTATACAATACCAGAGTGTTTAAACAAGAACAAATATTACGAGTTCAAACTAAAATTAAATGTAAAGGCTCTTTTAAATGAAATATTACAAAATATAGCTACTTATGGATATTATGGAACCAGTAATCTACCATTCATTATTCATAATGCAATTGCAATGGAAGCTTGTCATGGTATGTTTTTTTTTTATAGCAACAACGTATATAATATAAACAATTGCGATATGTATTTTTTATTAATAGATATTCATAGAATAACAATCTCATTTATTTGTACATAACATTGTGTTTGCTACTATCTAATATTAGAGTATTTTGTAGGGGCTATAAAATTTGGAGATCCACTGACATTAAAAGAATGCAAGTGGCTTCTGAAATTATTAAAGAGAACAAAAATTCCTACTCGATGCGCCCATGGACGACCATCTATAATACCGCTAATAGAACTAACAGAGTTAGAAAAACGACACGAAAAGGTCACTCAGGTATGCTGCAACGAAATTATATTCATTGATAAACTTATTTAACTTGTTGCAACACTTATACATACAGTAAAAATTGAAGTCATATCGCTTCGTTATTAAAAATGTTGTTGTATTAACTAGAATATAATGTTTCATTACACGATGAGCACATATACAAAACTTGTATATTCAGTATAAATGATTTGATATTTATAATCAAATATCATTTTGATTACAATTAAGTTAGACGTCAGGGTATGCAGAAATCAGAATATCTTTTCCAAAATAGTTTACTCTGCTCACAACGATCATGAACTCAGCACCTCCGAGTGAAACTGGGCAAGCGTTGTTTGGACGAGTAAAGAAACACATCGTATATAAGGCGAATTCCAATTCGGGTGACGTACCAACGAAAATGGTCGTGATAGGTTGTACTATTCCATTAAAGGACGAACGTACCTTCACAACCGCTCCTTTCTACAAAAATGCAAGACAAGAAACATTTTCATTATTCATCCAGTTTTACATCTTTACGTCATTATTGATGTTTAAACAATGAACTATTACTCACATCGCCAAGTTTGACTTCCTTGATATATCCAAGATAGTTAAGCTTCTTATCAACTTCTTGCTTCGCATAATAGATCCAATTGTGTAGGCCAATTATATCTGAATCAAACTGTTCAGCCAAGAATACAGTTTCAAAGCCAGAACTTGATGCATCTCCATCGACTCGTTTAAACTGAGAAAACCAGATACGTTTCAAAGAATCTTTAAACTCGTACTCGTCATCCGGGATATATCCTTTTTCGGCCAAGAATTTCATGGTCGCCTTGATGACATCAGTTTCAAGAATTTTCTCGAGTAGATCAGATTCCTCTTTGCGTTCCTCAGCAGTAACAATTTCCTTCGTCTTAACATCGAATTCGTAGTTGTCGTACAAGGGCAATACTGCCTTTATCGTAGGTATCTCATAAGCTTCATCTTTCACGGTCAACAAGCTGCAAGGTGAAAAACTTTATCAGTGTCATAATTTCGTCTCATTGTTAGTACATTAAAAACGGATATACTTACGGTTCAGGAGCATCATCGGTCGTGCTATCATCCTTTTTCTGTCCTTGCAGGTTCATCGTGATGTGCTTGAAAGCATTGTTCTTATCCTTTTCGAATAAACTCTCGGTTAATTTTTTGATGTCATCGTTAGAGGTAACGAATCCTAGAGGATTAGGATTGTTCTGTGCTGATTCCGGAGAGCTTGGCGGTGCACTATTGGTACCCGCGTTTGTCTGTGGAGATTGTGGCGCTTCAGGTGCTGCTGGAGCCGCTGGAGGTGCAGGTATTGCTGGAGCTGCAGGTGCTGCTGCAGGTGCTGGAGGGGGAGCTGCAGCAGCTTGTTCAGGGCTTGGAGCAGGAACAGCAGTTCCATTATTGTAATAATTATTATAAGTGATCTCAGTGCGAGCGGCACCAGCACCACCACCTCCTCCTTCAGAAACTCCTCTGGTGCCATAGATTCCTCCTGGTATCAATCTGTTTACTGCCGCATTCACACCGGCGCTTACGCCAGCGAAAACGAATGCCTCTTTAGCAAGCTGTCCGATGCCAGGTTTCTGTCCTGATTGTACTAGAATGGTTTGCTGAGGAACATGTCCCATCGATGGACTGAAAGATTGTCCATAAGATGGCTGTCCAAAGCCAGGATTGTATCCACCTCCAACTGGTGGACTGTACGCTGGTGGTGCTCCATAGGGCACATGCCCTCCTCCTACCGAAGGATTGTAGCCTTGTCCTACCGAAGGATGGTAACCTTGACCAACCGAAGGATTGTATCCCTGACCCATAGAAGGATTGTACGGTGGTGGGCCAGCTGGTGGATTGCTGTTCGTTTGATAAGGATTGCTAGCTGGTTGACGAGGATATCCACCTGAAAGAGATGATTTTTTTCAAGGATATTATATACATATTTTATGAACTTTAAGCGAATGAAATAAGTTCTATGATCCAAGGGTATACCTGAAGGTGAATATCCAGACTGGGCATTTGTTGCACTGGTCTTAGCAGCGTGCTCGTTCACAGGAGCAGACGGTTTCGCCGCGGTATTAGTTCCAGTTGGTTTTTTATCCGGTATGTTCCATCCTATGTTACTCGGAGGCGACTTTGAGCTTCCTGTAAAACGACTTACGGTCAGTTTGCTGATACGTTTGTCGAGTTGAACGAAATTCAATGCCTGGGCGGATAATCGATAATCGAGGAGGTGTTACTCACCAACAGATTCTGACTATTCGAAACTGTTTGTTACATGTTAACGATGGAATTACCTTGATTCGACGGCTGGTACGAATTGTGAGACGTTGGAGTTCGAGGACGAGGCGTTGTCCTTGAACGGGATCCAAATCCCCAACCACCGCTTCCAGTTCTCCGTCTGGTTGATTTTCCATTTCCTATGTCGACTGTTTAAGCAAAATTATAAGTCGCAACGTGTACGTTTTACCATCGTCAGGATTCTTGGTACAGATACATGTAGATGTGCATTGTGAACGAATCGCTAGTTACCAAATTAAACGAAGCGTGAAACGAATCAGATCTTTGTATACAATCTTTGTCAGGATTACGTAGTCGTACGTACGTATATTTATCATACAACAATACCATAGAATGTGTTGACAATATAACGCGCAAGAAGATGCAATTAGGAATGAATCAAATGAAATCAAAGCGTTTGAAAGGAATAATATTTCAATTTTCTTAATAATCGCAGCGAATGATTGCTGCTACGTGTTGGAACGTGTCACGAGACTTGTACCGTTCCACCTATACAGATCATTGAGTCTGTCTATCGCTCTACGATTGATTATTGCATGCGAACCCTGACAATTTAGTAATTCGCTGAATAAAATAAATGGTATACCGTTGGCATGTCAACCCGATTACATGCATCAAGCCAATTTCAACGCTTGATGCATCAAAGCAAATCTCCCAAAGAATTTTCATGCTCCATAAATGGACCTCTCAAGGAAGAAGAGATATTTCATGAATGTTTTAAATCAGAAGCATAACTTTCACTAAAATTTTTTATTAGCGTTGATTAATTCTTTTTTTTTTTTCTCGTCCAGTTTAGCTGTAGAAGTAGCATTACTAAGAGAAGGAAACGCGTCATGGCGATTTTCACAAAATCAAGATTATCGTGGCCACGTTTGCGGAACGAACGCCAGGTTTCTTCGCAGAATTAATGTAAAATTCATTGGTGAGTCAATGTCAAGTAACCGTACATCCACGACTTTCTAGAAGAGCCATCGTCTCTGCGACGTCTTTTCAATTCCATCAAACGATGGATTAAGTGAATAAATATGCTACCACGCGTGCGTTGGTGTATTCTAAACCAGTAGCAATTTGCTCGGTGATCTTGTTATGATCTGTTTGCTTGCAGGTTCGTGATGTAATTTCGCGTTAGAACCAATTAAACCGTTCGTGGAATGCTTTGTTCTCGAACGAACACCTTTATTGGCCTGTTAGGGCGTAAACAAACTGCTTCGAAGAAGAAACATCAGGCGTATCTTTTATTCCTATGATTCAATTAATTACTGACAATTTCTAATCTGATGTGTATGTAAATTGTCAAGGATGTTACGTTGCTTCACTTGGAAATATCTTAAAAGAATTTGTTCAAGAAAGATCACTTTTTTCTGATATTCTTCAACACAAGGAAAATAATTTTTCAAAGTTATCTGGTATACGTACAATTCTCGTTTTTAAGAAAATTTCTCTACGCTTGCAAATGAACTCCAAAAATGTTAGAGGGTCAGATAAGATTCAATTCGCTTACCAAACACAAATAACACGAAGATCGTCGATATCAGGATCAGCCTTATATTCATGTTTCTTCAATTATTGTTCAGTGTATGATCAAGAATCTTGATGGATCGTTCGACGATGCTCACTGTTCGACGGCTAGTCAGTTACTAAAAGTCTTCTGGTAGAATGACTCACACTGGCAACGCTAAAACCAGTTCAGAATTACAGACCCTGTTGTCCATACGTCGTAGGCTTTCTCCTCGCATTGATCTTTGATACATTTACAGCAGGTGGTAGGGAATTGATAGAATGATCTGGTAACGGTAAAACTATAGGAAGGTAACAAAAACCAAGCGTCCCTGACTTCTTACTATTAGGACGTTGCTCTTGAGTTCATTCAATTTTTAACAATTCTTCTACCTAAACGTTAAAACATAAATCAAAACTTGTATGTAACAATTTGGTTTTGTTCTGTTTCAGAAAAAATTGAATTTCCATGCCCTGAAGTCGTACCGTGACAAAAGGATTTAAAGGATCATTCTACGCTACTGTGGTTTAATTCTAAGGTTGCTTTGATTTATTTTTATGTGGATCATTTTAAAAGAAGTAAGGAATCATTATTTTTTTTTTAACAAATAGATGCGCGAGCGCAATACGTAATTACAAAGAATTAACACCACATTGTATAATTGATTAATAATGTTTATTATTGTCAACGGTAATCATCGTACAGAAAAACATATGATACACTAAATTCTACCCATAATTGTATACTACATTTATGTTACATATCTTGTATACTAGAACATTGGAAGACCAAGGTCTATAACTTCATTTCCAAAATACATGAACGAGTGTGTATAAATATTAAACTTGGTCCCGCCCAGCGAAACCGGGCAAATATTATTCGATCTAGCATAAAAGCAGATAGTATACAAAGACATCTCTAACTCGGGCAAAGTACCCACAAATATTGTTGCGTTTGGTCTGATGATTCCATCCATTTGAAAGTTTAATTTCAATAGTGAAGAGGTCTAAAAGAAAGCAAATACGTTAAGTACAACATTTTGATAGTATCTTTATGAGTGCCGAGTCACTTACATTTCCGAGATCTAATTTATCTATGTAGCCCATGTAATCTATACGTCCCAAGGATTCTTGATTTTCAAAATACAGCCAATCCTGCGCACCAATGATCGCTGTGCCATAATTTTCCGAGGCGAACACGCGTTCGAATCCACAGGTACTTCCGCTAAACATAGTGAACCATATTCGACGAAGTACGTCTTTCCTTTCGAAGTCGTCGGGGTCGATAAATCCGTAATCAGCCAACCAATCCATTGCCGTTGACATTACGTTCGTATTTAGGAAAGTATCGATCAATAGGTTTTCCTGTTTCCGCGTCTCAATAGTACGGTTTAGCTTTTTGAGATAATCATGCTGATAACTGTCGTACAAGGACCTTGTTAGATAGATCGTTGGATGCTCCAACAACTCCGGTTCTACATAGAATAATCTGAGAAAAGAAAAATGGTAAATGAAAATGATCACTTTGAAAATGATTAATAAGTGATTAGATACTTACCGTCCGAAGGCTTGATCAGTTATATTAGAAGAATTAGAAATGCTAACACGATTCTGAAGATTTAATTTTATGTACTTTGATATGTTTAATGAACTTTTTGCAAAAAGTTCTTCTGTTATATGATACAATTCTTTATCAGAAATTCTGTAAAAGAATGTGTTATCAACGCCGTTGGAATTTCCATATGAATTGGTTTGATTATTTGATGTATTAGATCCAGTTGCGGTATTATTTACGATTCCACCAACTCCACTGTTAGTTCCGCTTGAACTCGGTACTCCACTGTTAACAATATTTGGAATGTATGTATTTGCGTTTCCTAACGTTGGACCATTGTTAGCTCCTACATTTGGATTAATTGTGCCACTTGGACTATTACTAGCTCCTACATTTGGATTAATTATGCCACTTGGACTATTACTAGCTCCTACATTTGGAGTAAATGTCCCACTTGGATATGGATTGCTGTTAGGAACACTTTCTGGCGGTACATTTATTGGATTCGTTGCTCCATTAACCCCAGGTGGAGTATTAAAGTACTGATTGTTGTATGTAACATGAGTTGTAGCTGGTGAACCAGTGTCTGGTCTGCTTTCAACATAATTATGGGTATGAGGATTGATCAATCTGTTTACTCCTGCATTGATAGTTGAAAACACAAGTGCTTCCTTAACCATCTGACCAAAACCTCGACCGGAATCTTGCTGTCCTGGCATCATTAAAATAGTCTGACCAGGTACAAATGGCTGCGATGCTGGTTGTGCAAAAACATGGGGTTGTTGCGGATAGTAAGTTTGTCCAGGAGAATGCATCGAGTAAGGATTTGCCATCGGCACTGAGTTTGATGGATGGATTGGAAAAGAGGAGGAAGGTGGTGTCTGAAAAGTACCTGATGAATGAGGAGGATAAGGATAAGGAGCACCTCCACCAGAATAAGGAGGGTGTGCACTAGGGTAAGGAGGGTGTGCACTAGGGTAAGGAGAGTGTCCATTAGGATAAGGAGGGTGTCCACTAGGATAAGAAGAATGTCCTCCAGTGGGATAAGGAGGATGTCCGATAGGATAAGGAGGATGACCAACTTGAGAATTACCAGACGTTGGAGAACTCTGTGGATAAACATGATCTTTAAATCCAATTGGAGGTGGTTGAGCAGCTGGTACAGTTGGTTTGTTGACACCTGAATTATAATTAGGCGAAGGGTGTATTTGACCTGATATACTTGGTTTATTATCATGTAAGTAAGGATTACTCCAAGGAGGATTTGCTGCACTTGTTGGATGGCCTGTAAAGAGAGATATTGTTATTTATAATATATGTTAAAGTAACTAATAATTGCAATAAATCATAACATTTATTCACATTAAGTATACCTTGAGTTTGTAGTGTGCCTGCAGAAGATTTCATAACATGATCTTGAGGTGCAGAAGGTTGAATAGATGAAGTTTGCCTGCTTTCAGTTACAAGCCCTGGCTTCATATTTGGTACATGACCGTAACCACTTGATGGAGAAGGTGGGTATAAGTTTCCATGCGATGGTTGAGAAGGTTTTGTTTGAACTTAATCATGAAATATATATTTTTTAATTTATGTAAATTTAATATTGTATACTGTGCATTAAAGACAGACAAATTAACATGTACCTGGCCGCGTAGCACCTCCACCTTCAGCAGTTATGAAATGTGTATTGAGATCTTTGTTTTGTTGAGGTGTTATTTTTCCTAAAATTACAAATACATATGTTAATGTCGACGTTATTCTTTTTCAGTTAGTGGTATAACTAAATTAGACAAGTTACCAGATGAATGTGCTACTGAAGATGATGTTCCTACATGCGGCGTTCCATGGGATGTTCCATGTGATATCCCTCCATATGAGGTTCCAGGTGAGATCCCTCCACGTGATGTTCCTCCGTGTGGTGTTCCGTGTGATGTTCCGTGTGATACACTTCCATATGATGTTCCAGATGATGCACTATATGATCCACTAGATGATGTCCTACTGTAACCACCCCTTCTAGAACCACCACCACTACTAACTCTTCCCCTGCCCGATATTTTGGCACTGTCACCTAAAAAGAAAAGGTATTTTTATGCAATAGTAGTTCACCTTTACATTTTATAAAACAGTAAATTTAATAAGAAAAAGTTGTACAAAATAGCATCTGATTTATATATACTTACCAATTATGAAGAATGCAAAAAAAAGTAAAAGCAAAAATACTTTAAACTTCATCATTTCTGCGAGTATTTTGCGTACTATACTATGGTCAGTAGTAAACTGATATTACCAGAACATATGAATAACAGATACGTATATTTCATGCTTACGTTTATCAAACTTCTTTTTCGTAGAAAATGCATCACATCTTGCAACATTATCTGTACTATGGTTTTCCTCGAAATCGTAATGTGTATAGAATAAGGGGTCATTGAAGATGACCTCCAAATGATATCAGCCTTTCTAGCAATAATGAGATAATTTCTTGAAAGCTCTTTATTCTGTCTTAATTAAAACTACTAGAATATACATATTTTCAAAAAGGATATTAAACTATAAAACAACATATTATATAAACATATTTTATTCACTTTAAAATTAGTAAATCGTTAACAAATATTTTAAAAGTTATTACAAATTGGTAAATAGTTATTCTTTATTCATAAACATTTATAACAGAAACCACTACCACCAGAAACTTTTTTATAACAGCAGAGTACTGTTAACACAGCCTTTCTAAGTTGTGAAAATACTGAATTTTGCAATATTCATTGCGTTTTCAACAAAAATGATGAATTTAGCCTTCTTTTGCAATATATCGGTCCAAAATTTTTTCACTCGGATAATCTGGTACTGACAATTGACGAAATCCCTCATCATCCACAAAGCAAATTTCATGACCATCCTAAAATATTCATTCATAGTCATTCGTATTTTCAGTAAATTTAATACTAAAATATCCTAAAGTTACATACTGGATCAGCAAGAATAATAACTGTCACAGAAGCCTTTCCTGGAGTATCTAGAGTAATTAAATCTGTTAGAATTTTATTCCCACTCTCCTTGATTCTTTTTTGAATTTCTGGTTGTTCAACACAGGGAACTGAAAATGCTATACGTCCATAAGCTTTTGCATGATTTACTTCAGTCCCTAATTAAACAAAACAGAAAGTTTTATGGATATGAATACTCTCATAATCAATATATTCATTATAAGTGACCAGTAACAATGGCCTACCAATATCTTCAAATTCAACTTTAGTTTGATCTTCACTGTATCCTAATAATACACTTTTATCAGTTTGCTTAAAGATATTTAACTCTAAAATATCTTTCCAATAAGCAATAGTTTTTTGAAGATTTGAACTAGACAAAGTTACTTTTTCCACAGGATCTGATGAAAAAATATATATTAATATGAATAACATTTTCAAATGATAACATTTAACAACAATTTTTTATTAATACCTTTATCCAAGGGCTGTGGTTTATTAATGACATAATACTTGTAGCCACCAGGTGCTTCCAATACAAATTTTCCATTTTCCTCTTTCATAGGCCAACTATTTGAACGAGCTCTTTCAATTGCTTCGTTAGAATGTATAGTTATTCCACGAAAATCATTTCCCATTTCATATTCTTTGATTCCATAATTATAAGTCAATTCTACTACAAAATGAGTATCCTCTGGACCATATCCTACCATAGTTTTGCTCCATCGATTAGCATATGGTCTACATATAATATGATATGATAAATATATATATGTATATTTCGTTTATCACAAACACAATTAAATAAAAAAAATATATGTATTAGAAACGCGGTAGATCAAACGCAGTTTTACACACCCATTACAAGCCGCTTCGCAACCATCAGCGAATTCTTCGTGTCGCAATACCTAGAACAAACAATTCTGTACAAACAGATACAATGTAAAATTAATAAAATACTGACCTTCATTCCAAGAATTTCACGATAAAACTTTGCTGTCAATTTTCGATCCGGTACTTTAAATACAAAATGAAGTGCTCGTCCAGCGACCATTTTTAAAAGTGGAATTTTCGCAACAATTATATAAAGAAATACAGAAATCTGACAATAGTTATTTCCTTCAATTCTAAGTACCGAGTAATTATAGACACGTTAATTACGTTTATGCAACTCAGCCGCTCCTGCTACGCAGTTATCATTACCTATGTGTATTTATATGTATTACTGTTATCGTGCTTTTACGTGATTTCTATTAATCGAAGTTTTAATAACACAAATAAAAAATATTGTGATACTCGTTACAGGTTGAAGACGATACAAGATTCAGCCCTTCTCTCAACTCTAGCTATAACATCTTCACCATCAAACCCGAAGGGGGGGCGTCAGGGCCCCAACCGTCGAAAGTGAGGACTCCAGACGACTTTGCACGCGACCCAAGTAGAAGCAGACCTACATCAAGCTAGCCGGAAGAAATAATAAAATATGATTATTTTTAATTTTTCATAGTGTATTTCGTTTGTAAATCGTTTGTGATTGATTGTGAGTCTATTTTTAACGTTTGTCACAAATTAGTTCTTTTGTAATTAGAAATTTTATTTCAATCATGATGTGAGCTGAAACGTTGTATATGTATAGTAATCTTTTATAATAAACAGATTCTGTGATAACTGATAACTGTAATTGATTGGAAATCCTTTATGATTTACAAATATATCATTTTCATTGTTTGTGAGTGAATAATTTCGTAATTATTTCCAAGATTGTTTTATAATAAATAATTGTAATGCGCATGCACTACAGATTCGGTCGTACCCATCACTATCCCGAACAAGTGAGTTTCACGATTTGTTCGTTTTTAGGTCTTATATTTCGCTAGATACGGTCGTACCCATCACTATTCCGAACAAGTGAGTTTCACGATTTGTTTGTTTTTAGGTCTTATATTTCGCTATTTGCTTCGGGGTCCTTGACACCGCAAGACGACATTCGGGGTTCCTGAGAACCCCATGATGGAAGTCAGGGTGCCTAAGAACCCCCGGATGGTATTCTGGGTTCCTGAGAACCCCAGGATGGCATTCGGATGCCTGAGAACCCCGGGATGGCATTCGGGTGCCTGAGAACCCCAATGTGGTATCCGGGGTGCCTGAGAGCCCCAAGATGGTATCCGGGGTGCCTAAGGACCCCAGATGATATTCTGGGTTCCTGAGAACCCCAGGATGGCATTCGGGTGCCTGAGAGCCCCAAGATGGTATCCGGGGTGCCTAAGGACCCCAGATGATATTCTGGGTTCCTGAGAACCCCAGGATGGCGCTCGGGTGCCTGAGAACCCCGGGATGGCATTCGGGTGCCTGAGAACCCCAATGTGGTGTCCGGGGTGCCTAAGGACCCCGGGTGGTATTCTGGGTTCCTGAGAACCCCATGATGGCACTCGGGTGCCTGAGAGCCCCAAGATGGTATCCGGGGTGCCTAAGGACCCCAGATGATATTCTGGGTTCCTGAGAACCCCGGGATGGCATTCGGGGTCTCTGACTCCCCAAGATGATATGTCGGTATACAGAGAGCATCACCGATACACTGGGGTCCCTGATACCCCGCATGCCGTAGTGTCGGTATGAAAAGAGTGTCACCGCTGCTTCGGGGTCCCTGACACCCCGGATGCCATATTATTAGTACGCAAAGATAATCACCTGCGTTTCGGGGTCCTTAATAAGATATCAGGTCCGTATGAAGAGGGCACAATCAGTCTAATTTTTTTCCAGAGTTTATTTAATTTACTTCATTTATTTTTTTTTGCTTACTAATAAGCACATCGAAGTGGAATAACATTTATGATTATATCCCTCTTCTGGGTCTCAGCAGAGGACCACATTGATTTTACTCTTTCCATTTATTTATATAATTTTATCCCTCATTATAGGCCAAGGCCATCTCAGTATCCCTTACATCTCTGTATTCCTTACATCCCTACACTCTTTTCATCCCTACACTCTTTTCATCCCTACATTCTTTTCATCCCTACATTCCTTACATCGCTTGATCCCTTACATCCCTACATTCTTTTCATCCCTTCATTGTTTCCATCCCTACATTCCTTTCATCCCTACATTCTTTTCATCCCTTCATTCTTTTCATCCCTACATTCCTTTCATCCCTATATTCTTTTCATCTCTACTTATAATAAATGTATTATAAAGACTGCTTCGAGTAAAGGTAAGTAAAGGTAAGTAAAGGTAAGTTAGTTTCTTCGAGAATTTCGCGAAAATTTCGAAAAAACAGCGCCCCCTAGAGGCATAAATTCGAACTAAAATTCGATGTCGAATCAGCACCCTCTGGTTTCGAAAAAAGGAACTAAACCCTGCTCAATTTTTGGCCCTCTGGCGGGAAAAATGCGAACTAAAATTTCGATGTCGAATCAGCGCCCTCTGGTTTTGAAAAAAGGAACTAAACCTTGCTCAATTTTTGGCCCTCTGGCGGGAAAAATGTGAACTAAAATTTCGATATCGAATCAGCGCCCTCTGGTGGCGAAAAAAGGAACTAGATTTGTATAAAATCGCAGGCCTTATAGCCGCAAAAATTTTGAACTCAATTTCAGGGAGGTGCTGGGATGTATGGAATGCAAGAATATAAGTGATACAAGGATATAAAGGATACAGGCATGTAAGGGATGTTGGGATATAAACAAGCCAGGAATGTGAGGAATGCAGAGATGTAAGGGATGTAGAGATGTAAGGGAAGCAGAGATGTAAGGAATGCACAGATGTATGGGTGCAAAGATGTAAGGAATGTGATAAAGAACACCACATGACAGAATGAATGAGCTTTATTAAATAAATTATATACAGGTTGTTCTCACATATAGGCATTGTCACATCATCAAAATGCCGTATTTACTAAATAAAATATAAATTAGGATGTTAAGATCGTCGACTACAATAACATTAACTTTAGAGGCCTTTACTCTTCAATTAACATGTATAGGTCTAAATACTCTCACACTTTTGCACATTGGAGTTTGCAATTGTATATTATTGTGTATAACAATAATTAAAACATCATTTTGTAGCGTTTCTTTCAAAGATACTTTAGCTGCTTGTTCTTGTCAATTTCAAGATACAAGCAACGAACGGACTCACTCATACAAACATTGCACGAAGATTATTATCTTAATTTCAATAAAATTCAGATTTTATTACAAACTCCACGCAAGAGAGTATCGTCAGTTTTCTTTTTTATTTTTTTATGTAAGCGCCTAATAGATAAAAAAACAGGCTGATAACTCGTGTGTACATTGTGTGAAATCTGAAAACGATTTCATGTTCAACTTCCTGCCGCTCCAATTCCATTCTCCGAGGTATCCCAGAATTAGAGACACTCTTTCTCGTGTATCCGGTTTATATAGTAGATGTTATTAGAATTATCACAGTCTGTGTATTTACAGTTTAAACGTTAACGCAACAACCTTATTAAATTATTTCAGCAACGTTCTTTCATGGTAGCGCTGTTCTAAGAAGAACATTAGGGAAATTAGCTCCATCGCTGCGCGTGGACGGCAGAGCATTACAAGAGAAAAAAAATGTTCTTTTTTTTCTCCTTTTTGTGTATCAATACATATAGATAGAAAAAGAAAACAGAGAAAGAATACTTTTAAAGGCATGCATATTCGGAACTAATGTTTCTAATATCTATCGAATAAACCTGCGTATCGTATGAAATAATATCAATAACTTAATTATTAGTTACATCTTAAAGTTGGACATGTCTTCTTACTTTTATCTTGTATTTACATCTTAAGTATTTATACAACGTTACGCGATAAAAATCTGAAACGTTACTCTTTATTTGTCTTTACAATTAAATCCCTTCTTTCTTTTTTATCAAACGCTTTTCCTTCCTTCTATTCACGCGGACATTAATAAATTTTCTATTTTCTCTTTTCCATTCCTCAATACTGAAGATTTCTAAACGTCCAACAAAGTAGTGGTCATTCGCGTTCCAGGTTGACTTTATGAAGCAGAGTCGAAAGACAGTCGTATAAAAGGAAAAAAAAAACTTGTAACGTCAAAATAATCCAATCCTAATCCTATGATCGGTAACATAAGCGATAAACTCAATGTATCATTTTCAAGAAAATGATGAAACTAGCGATCCACGCTCTGCTTATTTGGCACTACATAAAATTTCACATTTTTCCAAGACTTCCGCTTCCTTTCTTATCTATTCGCTTTCATACGCAAACAAATCTTTGTGTTCTCTCATTTTTGTCCTGCCTCCTATAAATTAATGCCCTGCCACTCTTTTCTATCTCTCGTTTCTCTCTCGTCCCATAATCAAACTCCGATTAACTTTCAGAGGAGTTGAAAACGCCACTTTTCTCGGCTGAAGAAAAAAGAAAAAGAAAAATATGAAAATACGATCTTGTTCAGATACATCCAAACATTCTCTATCTCTGCATCGCGGTACTACGCTGTACAACAGATTCCAGACGAAACGACAGAGAATACCGAGTATCCTATCGCGCGAAACCAAGAAAATCGGTTAGTCGATCGTTCCAATCGTGAAGCCAGTGAGTAGGTCCATGGCTGGATTGTCTCTGCTTACAAGGGTTGATCTCTGTCTCCAAAGGCATGTATTCTTCGCCTCGGATACAAAAGTAACTCTTGATGGGGCTTCTGCACATAGGGCATCGATCCAATTTCCCAAAACAGGAGGCGCAAATGCATGTATGTCTGCAAGGTAGCAAAGCTCGGGAAAGAGGGAAATACTGGCAAACGACGCAAAGTTGTTCCCCAGCGGTGTTCCATAGGGATCCTTCGGAATCACCAGTTCCCGATGCAACCAAAGTGCCCCTTGCCGAGTTGCCATTGTTGTTGCAAGGTTCTGCCAGAGCCAAGGCTGAACCAAGACCCGAAGACACGTCTCCTTCGTCGTAGTTCGTTGAATTACCGGTTGCCAAGTACAATTGCTTTAACATAAACGGTGTTCTTAAGGAAGGAGTCGTTCTACTGGTAGTTCGATCGAATAAAATTTCAATTTCTAATCGAATATGAATAATTTTAATCGCATCATACTTCCGTGATCGATCGTTACCGTTTTTTTCCATAAACCGTAATCACTCTACTGGTTTATGCAAAGTAGCAAGAAAAGAGGCTCACCTTAAGACACGATAATTGTCCATTAGCTTGTTTCAGATACTGAGCCAGAATCGAAGTTGGCAGTGTGCATACACTGTCTTTGATGTGAACTACATTCACCAGTGCCACCTGACAAGAGAAATGAATGATTATTTATTAACGAAAAGACGAGTGAAATCGATTAGAAGACAATTGTGAAGCAACGTGAAACACTCGTTATATTTAAACCTCCATCTGCAATGCAAATTTACAACATCACCCGATGGGACGCGACAAAGAAAGACGGAACACCGTACTTTTACATTTCATTTTTAATTACACGTCGCTATTTGCATCACAATTAGCCTCTATTTAGAGAGCGTCCACGCATAAGATTAACTATAAAAGAACAAAAGGTTTTCGTTTTTCTTCGCAATATCTTTCAACGTCATTGAAACACAAATAAAAAGAAAGTCTAATCAATACAATCCCACGGTTCATTAAATCAAAAACCATAGGAGGTACCCACAGTTTCATCAGGATGAGGATCTCCGTTATCCCTACGCGTGAGGAAGATCACAAGGGGATAACAAAGTCGTGGTGGTGTTCCTAGTTCCAATTCTGGTGCCGGAAGCGACAATCTCAACATTTCTTCTCCATGAGGTTGTCTACTATATCTTTCAGTCAAGGAATAATTAACGGTACGACTAACCCTTTCGCTGTGAAACTTTTGATATACTACATTTATCGTTTTTACACTGAAAATTGATCAGCTGGAAAAAACTCTGAAACGAAGATATAACTTTTTCTTTTCCTTCTGTCAAAGGATACGTCTGTGGTGGTGTGAGGTATTGTGCGTGACCTTGAAGAAGAGTGCCGTTCAAGGACGCGTCTCTGAGGGTGCTCCAGGGTTTCCAAAGCGCCAGATGAAGTTCTCTTATACTGACACCCCAGATCGCTTGCAGAGAGTACTCGACCTGGCTCGACACCTCGCATTCAACCTCTGCAAACAAAAAGAAGAATAAAGTCATTTCGGTAACAAAGCTTACGAAAGATTGTACAAACTTCTGGCTTATTTTATGATTTATTCGTCTATGGATCCTGAACACACAGGTGTCGTAATATAACGCTGAAATACAAGTCTCTGCCTCGCGCTGTATTGCCGAACTCAATTATACAGAGTACAAAGCGCAGAGGAAAAGATTCTGTCTACAGTAACACGAGATTACGGGTGTTGTTTCACCTCGTGACGTTACTCAAAATCATTACATAACGAGCCCGCTTTCGACTTTTTTTTTTTTCCCTCTCGTCTGACTGCAAGAAATCTCTGACAGTCAATGAGGTTTTCAGGTCATGCGTGAGAGGAGAGACAGACCACGGCATACTTCCTCCAGTTCTAATTCCTACCAACGATCATTGTCCCCCGTCTAAGTCTAAACGATCTCGGAAGGATTCAGACTAGATTCATTGAAGAATTTACGATCTGGATGATAGAGATTGATAGCGGAAGAGGAACAGTGGGGTTTCGATCGATGCTAGTTTAATCTAACATCATGGCTAAGAATCATCATCTCCTTATCGTTCGTAAAGAGATTGTTCAGAGATCATGCGAGGCCAGTATAAACGAAAGTGAAAGCTGTTCAGACGGATCGTCCAACACGGTAGTGTCTTGCGAACCAACTATCAATTCCCTGACGTTCTACGGTACGATGGAACGACAGAAGCTGGTTGTTTCCATACAAGGACACGTATTTTTGACGTCGGTATGGAAACGAGTAGAATCTATCCGCGTCTAGTCTGTGAATATTTAAAATCTTCCTCCAAAGATCTTTTCGAAAGAATCCTCCGTTGTTATTAACGATTTTCCTATCAAAATAGGTCGTCTTTGCTACCACTCTATTCTAATTCTATCGCCACGAGTTTGACTTGATCGATGCTTGGAGAATTCCAAAGTACCACAATAGATTGGAATCAAGCATGGTCTCTGCTGCTCTCATTTACATTCTCGAATTTTCTTATCGTCAACCTGTAACCGGCAAGCAAATTTGCGCAATTTCAAGTTAAGGCTTGACCGGTCAAGCACAACCGGACTGGTTGGCAAAGAGTTAACGCGTTGACTGGCTGCAATCTGGGTTAAACTTTACAAGCGATATCTTAGAAGTCCTAGATGGAAGAGGGAGTAGAATTGTGTTAGCAAGGTGAGCTACCTTCTCGTTCGAAATCTAATCGACTTAACAGTTTTACTTTTCATGGGAAATTACTTGATGGTAAGACAAGGTTCCAATGTATTTGCTTATTTCCATGTAAACGATGCTTTCGTATTTTCAATATTTTTCGTAGGTAAAAGTAGAACAAAATTCACTCTAAAGCCAAAAAAAAAAATTGGCCATTCGTTCAGATTTTGACCCACTAAACACAATGGCGCAAGAATTTTTTCGATAACTCTTACCGTTTGGCCTGTACAAAAGTGACAGAAAGTCTAAATGCTTTAGCTCCTTTTTCAAGATTTTCAATCTTAGATACGGGTTGGCTAATAATTGAAGAAATTAGTCTAGACACCCTGTATATGTAGAACGATCGTATGGAATGAATGGTTCAGTGAAAGGCCAGAGGGACAGAGTGCATGCAACTGCATTAGACAACTGCACACCGGAGGTGCAACAAAGTTTGAACACACGATAATTACGTTCGTGCAGACGATAATTGTACATCGCGACGCTGACAGTATGTTATGTAGCTAGATGAAAAGTGGTGTTTAACGGCGTTGAACCTAGTTTCGTGTCTCAAGCGTTGGAAGGTGTGAAACTAATCCAAATTCACTTTCAAAATCACCGCAATCCTCGTATCACACATTCATAATCTGCATTCCTCGTAACTTCTCTTTAATTACATCGGCATACGATTCATGCTATGACTAACATTTATTAGAAGCCTCTATTGTTACAAAATATATCGTATATACACCGTGAATGAAGAAATATTTGGAAAACGATGGAAGCAGTTGCTTGGAACGGACTCGATTTTCAAATATTGCATAATTCGTTCGGTTGGTTGCACCAGTTACCCGTAGAAATTCTATCATTTCGCGTGTGTCCGACCTAGGCAACGACAAAATTTCGTTCCACTTGTTTAACCCTTTCACTATTATAGCTGAATGGCTGAAACAGAGACTCCCCGAAGATACGTATCGAAATTAAGGAAAGTTAATTACCGAATTCTCGCTTCTCCAGGTGTCCACTCCACGGATCATCACGTCTAAGTACACGAAGAGCGTGTCAGTGACGAAGGAAAGCAACGTAACAGAAGGTGAGAGAGGAAAAGCGAGTGCAGGAACCGATATAAATGGCATGTCCGATCGTTTCTGCCGACCTTGATTGTTTCTACGCCTGAACAGTCACGTAGGCAAGCAAGATAATTCTTTTTATTTTGCCTTTTCTCCCTATGCACGAGATACTGGTTGCGTAGAGCACGTCGATAGTCGGTTCCTTCTGCCTTCTTCGTACCGAAGGCTCGGACATAACGAAGAAAGAAACGAACAAGTCGATCCAAAAACGGCGACCAAGTTGGTCATACATGTAACAGTTCTACGGTTAGCCTTGAAGTGTCGCCATCGTGTCGAAATCTTATGGGTAAAGAACGCCAAGTCGATGGCATTCCTTCTCGAAACGCGAAACGGTAATTATACCCTGGATCATTGACAGAATGCCATTCGTTTTTCACTTATTTTTACTGCTGCGTTTACGCGAATCAGCAAATTTAAAGGGACGAACAGATTTATAAATTTTCTTTTTTGTAACTGTAAAATGAAAATCAATCGAAATTTAATTTTTTCTTTATAACTACTGTTTCAAGTTATAAAGTAAAGGCACGAACAAGTAATAATAACTTGTTCGACAATGAAACGTATAAAACCGAATGGTTTATTTCATTTTTGTTGTTACAGCCTTTTGGTATACTCTTTGAACGAGACGTTTGCATTACAGACGGCGGACCAATAATTGTTCCAGCCACTTGACTCGCTATTTCTTCTTTCATTGACGTTTACATTTCTTTGTTCCTTTCTATTTGCTTTCGACAGAAAATACTATTAATATACTTTACGTATTTATTTTCTCGAGACTACTGGTTCCCTCGATCAATTATCAATGTTGAAAATTTTAAATAATGTTCATTAAATTCAAGTCAGAATGAAATTTATATCTTCTCCGTATCCTGTTCGAAATTGATTCGAAACGTCTGATAAATTAGCAAATAATCTTCGTTCACGAAAACAGAATTGTTATGAAAGACGTCATTTCAATGGAACACAATGTCTACTAAACCTCTTCTATCAGGAAAAGAAACGATCAACTCGAATCGTTTCCTGTTCTTGTCGCTTCGTTTTGCCGAAAACACCAGAGGGAATGAAAGGAAAAAAGGATAAAAAGCAAAATCGTACGATCCATTTCGAGAACGGCTACAACGATATAAATATTTACAACGATTCGTGTAAATATGCAGACTCTGGCGACGAGGTGGGAAGAAAGGTGTGTGCAATTTAAAAATAGTCTTTTGTTAACTGCACGCTTCGTTTCTTCAGCGACTACAGATCCAACAAAGTTGGACATGCCTTTTTGTTCCGGACGGGTCCTTGAATTTGGCCATCCCAAACACCCCCAAGCGAGATTAGCTCTGCATGTACGGAATACAACACCTCGCGCGTTAATTAGAAGAATATAAAATTGGGATAAAGGTAGCCAGCCACGACGGTGGAAAAGGGGAACGTCACGGCTGATCGAACACCGATGTCAAATGTTCGACCTACAGTTCTAGACTCTAGAGCGAGGTGAAACCGAATAAATCTTATCGCGACTGCCTTTAACCCTTTGCACTCGTATTTATATTTCAGAAGAAAAATCTTTTATATTTTATGTTATATATACAAACACATTTAAGCAGATACTAAAAGAAAACTAAATGAAATACTAATGTAAATATATGTTATAATACGAGTGGAAAGGGTTAATGAACTTATAAGGGGGATAAAATTTATTATTTTATCCCTTACATCCCTTTATACCTGAGGGTGTCCAGGACCCCCGAAAAATCATGAACCCTCGAGAACAAAGGCACGGTCTTCTTGTACCTTGTTCGTACTCTGACGACGCGACAGTATAAATGGACATTACATTCATTGGTCACGTACTCGATTATAAAGAAAAGCGTGTACCGCATCAAGGAAATCCGTTTTTTCCGCTCGTACGGAGTAAGCATCGTGGCGTGTCGTCGCGTGTAATGCAACATCCTGTCGAATCGTATGGAGGTGGGTTACGTAAAAACACGCTTGTGCCATCGTGGAAAGAGAAAAGGCAACGCACGCTGTTACAGTCTGAATTGTATCTACCATTTTCTTCTTCTCGCTAGAAAACGCTGCTCCGTCCCTTGGCCAATTGCTCGAAATTAACTAATCGACCGCAATTACACCTCCTACTTTCATTCTGACCTCCTATAACGCGTAATAGCCTGCTCGTTGTTAGGGAAAGAAACTAGACTATTGTCCAGCTGGAAATGAATAATGATCCTGCCCCTTTTTCTGCCCTTTTCTTTTTCTTCCTTCTCTTTGTCGTTTCGAACGGAGGGGGCGTAATTGAGTGGTTTCTAACTAGAAATTACGACGTGAATCACCGTTTGACGAAATTGAGATTAAAATATATACAGGATATCCGTGGTAATTCGTAATGATCTCGTTATTTTTTTCGTGCATGAACGGGTAAATTTGTATATTATCTTAACGAGACAAGTTTACATTAAGAAAAAAAAACTACGTCCAGCTATAATTCTGTCTGTCTCGTAAATATTTCCCGACAAGTTTTTATTGAATTTTAAATACTAATGCAAATATTTCGATTATACCGTGAGAAAAAGAATAACACGCGGTTAAAATTTTAAATTACAATCGTGTTGATAGAAACCTGATGCTCGTCTAGCAGCAAATTTCAATAACAAGTTAACGTGAACCAGATATTAAATTTCAACGTTTTTACATCTATTGTTAATCATTAATTTTTTATACATATGGAAATATCTGTAATTATTGAAGTTAAATTTTTATCCAAGCTAAGATAAAAGTAGTTTCGGAGAAAGGATACGGGTTTAACCTGGAATAGTCAAACGGTACTGATTGTAATACAGTAACAGGTAAGCTAACGGTTTCGTTCGTGAAAAGTGGGTTCCCGTCGTGTATCAGCATCGGCTAGCTTTAATATTCAGAAACATTACTATTTGAAAAATGATGTCAACTAATGTTAAAAATTGCCTACAAAAAAATGTCCTCGATTATGTTTTTTAAGGACCTTGTATATTTTTATCGCAGACACGTGGAAACGAGTGACACATAGTGTTCAAAATAAAGAAAAACCGTTCGTACAAACGTAGAACTGGTTTCGTGACGAGCACTCCGAGTTGATTAATCAAAAGAGTTTCTGCAGTTAACGTGAAATGTGACTAATTTATAGATAACGATAACTAGGACAAAAAAATTCCAGCTTTGAATAAATACAAATTCTCTTATTTGCAATTCAAGTTGACACTTTCTCTAGAGATAATTAGATAGTGATTGAAGTTACCGAGATAAATTTAATTAATATACCTACTTTAAGCAGAGGGAAAACGAGTGTTTGATTAAGGTAAGAATACAATTTTAAGTATCGAAAGCAATTGTCGCGTTCTTTACACGATCATCGTGAAACAACGCGAATCATCATAGACGGCTTTTAAAAAGGACGATGTGCTCAGAGATTTCGTATCGCAAGTAACGATCGCGACTCATTTCTACCATCGATGGAATCTTGCAATCGACTTACAACCAGTTACATCATCGGCTTTACCTTTCATAACTTGGACCACAAGCTCTTCTCCCTCTCGATTCAATCGCGATTACGCGTTGCACAATAGCCACGCGGAGAGTTCTTTTAACTGGTATGCTAGTCGACGTGATATTTGCACGGTTAAAATGCCAACTACGCGAATAAGCTTTCGATTCTCTAAATCAAAGATGATCAATTTCGTCCCAGCATTCGTTTTATTAGAAATTATTTTCTGCGTACGCGATTAACGATGGAAATTTTAACGTTTACGATGAACTTGACACGCATTCGATTTACTTCGATTGATTCGAATGGGTTTCCTTCTGATTGCCTCGAGGCAAATTTCTAATTCCATGATCCGCGGAAATTTTCAAGAAATTTCTGTTCTTCTACCTCAAATACGAATCGATCTTTAATTTATTCCCTGTCGCGTGTGCCACGGCTGACTCACGGTCTTAATCAAACATATGGATATAACGAAATGACTAATACCGTACGATTTAAGGAAAAGAATGAAAGAAACGCAGAACGAGAGTCTTCTTCTATTCAAAATGAAGAAATTGATAAATTTTTAAGTTGGAAAAATACAAATTACCCTTAAAATTATTTCATCTATTGTCACGTAAATTACGTAACATTCCTGTATTCCAGTAAGCAAACGTCGTCCTCGATGAACGAAGAGCAAACCTTCTCTGCTATCGACCCTCAATTGCTTTTACATGGTCATCTTTGCCTACGAGCCTAGAATTCGAAAACACTCTGCCCTTGCCTTCGACGAACACCTTGTTTCCATCGGTTTATCCGTGTCAACTAAACGCGGGAAATATTTTCATGTCCAGAAGAGTTCTCCTTACTAAGAAATCAATGAAACACGTCTTGTCATTTACTACCGATTCATAGAATCGACCGAAACAAACAGCTGATGGTCAGCTGTTTACATGTTCCTGAAACTTATTCCGTTAATTATTCGGTGACATGAAATCGATATACAAGAAGTGATACTATCGAGGAACAGAAGAGTTTGGAAATACCAGGAGTGTTCACTATGCACGACACACAATCCATCTTCTTGATAATTCCACAAGATGAATGTTTGTTTTTCTCAGGGCTATTCTGATTTATCGATTTCCTAATTTCCATATTTTCTATTTCCCAACTTTCTTAACACGTAACGATGTTACGCTATTATTTACCCTTTTAAAAAAAAAAGCATAAGCATGTTGTTTACTTAAATGTTGAGTTGTAATCGTAGCAAGTGTATCGCTCGAGAATTGCTGAAAATCACGATAGGGAGGTGAATCGCGCGGGAAAATTGGGATAGGAGGAAATTTAACGACGAGATAGATTCGATATGTCTACGATCAATTATCGCCGGTTAAATGACTCAGAATGACCTGGCCAAGCGGTCAAGGTAACGCGTTTCGTAACTTCAGGTGCCTTCGCACCTGCATACCAATTACCGCCAACCACCAAGAAAGAGGGGAGGCGTCATCTTTTTTTTACTTCTCTCTTTACGCGCGTCTGTAACCTACTTTCAGAGGCTAGTCGAACCGTACACGGTGCCTCTGCTCTTTTAAGCTAATTAACCCATCGACAAGCTTGCGAAACGAAAGTCGAAGCTTGCTATTCTTGGACAAGTCGAACCTGAATCCGCTTGAAAAATGAATACGCTTTTGTAATTCGCGAAGGAAACTCTGTGCGCTGGTGCATATCCTACGTACATATGTATATCAGTGATAATTTCTTTCTACGAGAAATTTGTTTCCTGGAAAAATTGATTTCATTTCCTCTCTCATTTCCCAATTTCATTATAATTTCTTCATTTCATTTCGATCGTTCGCGAGTTCTCCAGGGATCTCGAGCGAACGTTAAAAGCATAAATAAGAAAGAGAAACAGGGTGTATTTGATCAAGACTCACCGGTATAAGTGCTCTTGAAACTTTCGTGAAGCTTGAAGGTGAAGGGAATGTGGACCTTCATCATCTCCATCTGAGGTATGCGCGGCGAATGTGTCATTACGCTTCCACTCCCTCCGAACATCAACTCGTCGCCGTGAATACGAAGTACGATCATGTTCCTGCATAAAAAGAATTGTAGTTTTTCATTTAATCGAACCGTGTCAAGTATTTTTCTCATTGATTACCATCTATCGTTCGGCACGAAACAATGTTACACGCTCGATTGATAAATATTCAAATTACACGAGTATCATTCATCATCCTCGCAAATAACTAATACAAGTTGAATTAATTCAATCAATTTCGGAAGATTAATTACCACGCTAATTGCCATTAGGTCATTAGTAATCAATTGTGGAGAATTCAAACGAGAATTAAATACAAAGAAAGACTATCTTTTTTCAATTTTTCAATTTTAATAATCGTCTCTTTCGTTATAGCGTCGGTAAGCTACGACCTCAATGGCAATTAACATGTTAATTTACCTAATTTCTAGTCTGATTCGGTCTCGAAACGCGAGATCCTCTGCGTAAAGACGAGAAAATCCTACGTGTAGGCATGCAACATCTTCCAAGCAACCTGGAACGATTAGGAGGAATAACAGTATATTGCTTTTTAATCGGCACGTAGAAACTAACGGGTTTGAAATTCATGCACGCAACGATACAGATCTGAAAAGAGTGTCGTTATAATGTTAGCTGAAAGGATAAGTAGCAATTGCATAACTACATGAAATCTTGAGAGAAAGGAGAAGTACCTAGGAAATATTTTTAAAACAGAAGCGTATTCTGATGTTTATAATATGTAAAACGTAGTTTAAACATTTCGCTCCGAGTTCTAGACTCGCGGAGAGACGTTTAAATTTCGGTCCACGGCTTTCTCTTTTCAAACAAGCGAATCGCACGTTTCCCTCTAAAGTGTGTTAACAGTTTATTGACACAGAACCGAGTGTGGATTCGCTTGCTTCTATTAGGTCAGCTGCTAGTTTTCACGAAACCGACAAATCGGTGAACAACTATTCCACGAAACGAGAGACAAAACATCCCCCAAAGAGGGATTTACAGGGATGACAGACTCCCTGATATCACAGGTTACCGACCGACGACTAATTAATAATCACCTTGATCGTTAATGATTCAGGTTGTTGCATATCAAAATGATCGATGGCAAAACATCAAAGATCTGGCAAAGATTTGATAACATAAAAGTATCACGAACTTACCACTTATGCTGTATTGATTTCAAGTTTCAAGACTCAAGAAAATGACTGTGTACACCTTTCGTTAAGATTCTTCATGCAAATAATCGCATTGTTGTTAAACAATGGATCAAAGTGAAATTCGTGTATGCATTGTTCCTTTGCTGATTTTCATCAGGACATTCCGAAGCGAAAGCTACTAGCAATTTAACGAGCAAAACTTTGAGAACTTAAACATTTACTTGAACATTTTGTTGTACTTTTTCATAAAGAAAAACAGTTTCTGAAACTTCGCATAACGGGATTATCAATCTACCATGCTAATTGAAAAGCAAACATCAACGATAGACGTATCATGAATAAAGGCATAAAAGGAGACGAGTAAACAACGATGTTTATGCAAAGATTAACAACGCGTAGAGAGGTAACTTAAAGTGTCGTTTATCCCGATTCTATGATTGCATAATTTACATTCGTCGATTGTGCAATTTGTTAGATCTGCCAATACCTGCGGTTTATCTCAAGGTATTGACGAAATACAAGAAAGTCTAAACGAGAAATTAATCAGTTAATGGAATATCGAATCATTTCAGCCGTGTGGGTAATTATTGAAATCTCAAGGTTAACGTCGCATTCTATTTTTGGAATAGTTCCAAGGCAAAATGGAATTCTTTCATTATTCTTTCATGAGACGTTGTAAATATGGGCAATAAACTTTCAATTTAACGAACAAGTAAATGTGTGTCAGGGGTATGGAAGTTGGAATCGTTATTTAAAAAGTTGTAACCCTTGGCTAGGAAATCGGATGTTCAGGTTTCGAAGCATTAATGTTTCAAAGTTTCGGGATAAATTATGAATCCTTATCTTATGGGGATGAAGGTCATCCCAAGGTCATATATTGCAAGATTTCGCAGTGACGAATATTCCTCAATGGAGATAGTAGACATCACGTGTACCGCAAAATAAAAATAAAACGATGAAATGGGTGATATAAAAAAGTAGCGATACTTTGATTTGAAAAGAGTTAATCGAACTATATCGAAAAAATTGTTTCTCAAGATTTGTTATCAAGGTTATCAAGAAGACCTATTTTTATGGCAATCAACGAATATCCTTTCTTGTATTTCTTTGATAAATATTTTGTATACAGACAATTTAGCGTTCAATGTCGCATATACTGACGTTGGAGTTATACGTCAGATTGACCCTGCATCCGTCTGCCACGTTAGCTCCGGAACATCCATTCTCCAAGGATTTAATATGTATGCACCGATTTCTAAAGCGGTTATTCGTCTACAATAATATCAAGCATTTTTACCGGTTTCATATTTGCGTAACTCATTGTCAGTTCTCCACTAGCTACAACACGTTTTACAATCTCCAATAACGTACCGATTATTTAAAAAAAAAAAAAGTCGTGCTTCGTTAAATTTCGTCGAGGGCTACTTTCGAAAGATGCTCACAAAAATCTGAAAGCGACTGATCAACATAAAAAAAGGAAATACGAGCTAGTTGAGAGGACTTTTAAATATTTACAATAGAAGCGACAAGATCTTTATCCTACTTTTCTCAACATTTATCACTCCGTCTTTTTTAAGCCAGCCAAAATACAAACCGTTAATTTCACCGCGCAGTACTGCCAAAGTGAAAAATAAAACAATTGACCAATCTCGTAGCGTGTATTAATTTTCGAGAAAGAAAAAATTGCCACGATGAAAATGTATAGACGCAAGCGAAGAGAAATGAATAAAATACAAGTACCTGATGATAAACAAGAAGACTCCGCAGAAGCATATCGACACGACGAGCACGAAGAAAATGTTCGACAGCTCAGCCACGGATACTAACATCGCCGTCATTGTATTATAGCCGTGTTATTCCTCCGTGCACAACACGCACACGCACAATTTCGACACACCTCCCGAGTTAACCTCACTTTTCTGAACGGTGCGCTGTCAAAGTCGCCGAACAGGAATCCGGCGTTACCCTTAACCACTGCACCCAATGTTTAATCGTACGATGCTCGACCAACGATTTATCAGCAACGATAAAAGGAACTGTCAGAGCCGCATCGCGTACTCGTACACCGACCGGACGAATTTTCGTTGCGTAAATACGCCACCCTAACCTCATCGACTGGCACACAAGTCGTATTTTCGCGTGATCGTACACAGGCGCACGGATTCTCGCGCACGTTCGATATCTATTTCGGTCGACGCAACAACGATCGACGATCTCGAACTATATCGAAACGGTCGAGTTTATTAGACGTCGTCGTGAATGTTTTCGTTGAAACGGCGTACATTCGAGCCTACGTGATCGTCTACCATAGCGCAGAATCGAAGCCGTGTTCGAACGGATTTTAAAGATAAACACGAGCACGAGCACACGTCAAATATGGTACACTGTACATGATACCGATTAACACGAACGATCGATTACCGGCTTTTTTCGATGATTCTCGTTAGGTTTTGCAAGGATAATCGCGTGCACGAAAGATAAACAGCCACGCAAACATCCACCACGTTTTAAGTGTAGCTCGAGACTGACCGTGGACACCACGGTGGGGACGACTTATACGCCTCCGTACTTCGCGACATATTCGCTGGTATATTTGTGCGCGCGCTTCGACTAACACAAACCTACCATACGTAATTGTAATTAAATGATATACACCTACGATTAGAATTTGGCTTTTAAATTGAAAGCCAAACTAAACATTATGCTTGCAAATGATACTCCCTTGTTATGCGTATTCAATTAATCATCGTTTGAAATCAATTAGCATTTACATTCAAACGAAATAATTTCACTTTTAAAATACGGCAAACATTTACATATAATGTTAATAACGCAACTGGGTCAATATATTCGATTCAATTCTTATAATTGTCAACAAAGTAAATCTCAAGTAAACGAATATATTATTTATTATACATTGTATTTTAAATCGGAATTCATTGTAAGATATTTCTATCAAACACTGTATCAACCCTACTGTTTAAATGAACTTTAATTCCCTTTAAAGTGAATCAAAAATAGTTTCCAAGGATACCGGCGTTAACCAGCTGAAACAGCTGACGGAATCTCCACTAACGACATCTACTCAACTAATGTTTGACGAGTCAGCGAACACACGTTCGTGTTTTTCCTCCAATAATCGAATGTTAATTGGGTCATACTTTAAAATTATTTCCTGTTTTTTTATTGTATTGCCACTGTTGTTGAAAGTAACGTCAGAAAACCTAACAATGTCCAAATTAGTCGGTGTTGATTTTGAAGTGTACGGAAGAGTGCAAGGTAAGTAATCATATCTGTTTTAACAGAAATACAAAGATGCTAATTTCAAATTCTCTTTTTAAGGTGTCTTCTTTAGGAAGGTAAGTTGAGTGTCTGATTAATACTTAGTAAATAATATTACTTGCGTAGTATACGTCTATATTTTATCTATACCCTAGCCTAACCTTATAAGTGTATCCTTCAACTGAGACCTTCGGCTAATTTTTTTTTTTTTACTGAAATGTTCTAAAGTTTATTTTGTTCAGTATATCGTGAAAGCAAATCATAAAAAGAATTAGAAAAATTGTAAGTTAAATATTTGTAAACATTAAATCAACGTGTTTGCTACTAAAGCGACACCTACCAGCTAAAAATACTACTGCGCATTTACCGATATATACAGTACTTCAAATGTATAGGATTACTTATGTATTAATATGATTACAATTAATGTAGCTTGAACATGCATCGATAAATAACCCAATTATGCTTGTTAAAAGATGATTAACCTATTTTAGAAAGTTTTTGTAAGGATACGTACCCACACCAACCGCACGCGCCGCGCACGGAACGCGAATGCGCGAAGAGGTATGCGCGTGGTACCAAACGAAACCCCACGCGCAGATATGTGCGCATGCGCGTATCTGTGCGCGCGTTTACGCGCCACTTTTGTATTCAATATGTTACGTGCTGCTTAATGAGCGACAGACTTTAATATTTTATTATTACTATAGTACACTCAGAAACGTGGAGAAGAATTGGGTCTAAAAGGTTGGTGCATGAACACTAATAACGGTACAGTTGTGGGACGCATCGAAGGAGAGAAAGATAAAGTAGAACAAATGTAAGTTTACTAAAAACTGATAACCGTAAACAACGACCTATTCAATCACTCTAATTGCAGGAAGCATTGGCTTCAATATACTGGTAGCCCCCAGTCAGCGGTAGACAAAGCAGAATTTCGGAATGAGAAAGAAATATCAGCACCTTCGTTTTCCAACTTCACGATTAAAAAATAAATCTTTATATATCGTTACATATAAAGCTGTTTAATTAAGTATTTCAGTTTGTGGTATTAAATTATTATTTATGTACGCGTGAATGAATTGAAATAAAGTTCATTGTGTTATAGAAAATCGTGTCATGGCATGGTAAATGGCATTTGTTCAGGCAAACATTCGAGATCCCGTTACTCTATTATCTTGGAACTTCTTTGTATAGAATGCGGTTACCATTTACTTAAATGTCAAACGTTTGTATATGCGTCTGCGTATTTAGAGTCATAATGTATGTAGGTCTGGTGTAGGCTTAAAAGTTCTTTTGTATGTCACACGAGAGCTTCAACAGTCAATGTTACACGCTTCGTACGGGTTGTTGCCGCTATCGGCGCGAACTTCATTAGTTGTTGACCGCACACCGTCGAGTGCGCTTCAAAACTTTCGCCTGGCGATCATTCCTACAGATGCGACTGCACTTTATAATCTTGCGGCACCGTTCACAATCGCCTACATTTCTTTTAATTTCCGCCTACGCTTAAAACCTTACCATTTTATCAATAAATCTACATAGTACAGTTGAAGATTTTCAATTTTAACTATGCAGTGAAGTGTTGAAAATTTTTTTAATTTCCATCAAAAGAGTTGATATTGTGCGCAACCTAATTAGGTGAAAGCGTTATAGTAATCGAAACTAAAACAAAAAAGAGCGGGGACAATAGTGTATCAATGATCACGATAAAAATGCTGTGATTAACAAAGACAAAAGAATGCCATCCAGTATGAGGTGTTTCAAAAGTTTCTTTCAGCACACTTGGCATCCGCAACAGGTGAGATCATGCGAATATCTCTTTATCTAAAATTTATATTAAGCTTAAAGAGTAGCAGCGAAGGTGCACATTTTTAACCAGAGAATTCGTCACCGTTGAAGATAATATGATACCACAAGTTGTAAAGTCGTTATCAAAGTTCATTGTCAATGTTTTTTTCCTTTTTTTTTTCCTCTAACCACATATGATAATTTGTTCCTTGTAGTTACTCGACCTTGACTGTACGTCACGGTAATTGCGGATGTATCGAGATAATTGCAAGTTATTCCATTAGATCCTCAGAACAATTGTAAAAGTGTTTTTACACGGTATACATTTTCTTCGAAGCATTTTCACGTACTTTCCTCGGAAAAAAAAAAACTTCGCATAATCTTTCTATTTGCGTTTGTATTAACACGACACCCTGTATATTTATAATCCAAGAAAACGTCAATACTCAAGCATCAATGGAGTACATACTAGTTTCAAAGAGAAGCAACTTTCGTTCATCGACGCTTTCGGATACGAACGTCGTTTGGGTACTTTCACCTCTCGGTCGAAATCGTGTTCCCAATAAATCTCTGCGAGTTCTATGAACTATCGATAAAAAGAAAATTTTAACCAATTTAACACAGATTCGCGTACGCGATCTGAAGTTATTTCATAAAAATTAGATAGATGATCTACAGTTGCAAATTTGTCAATTATGCGAGGATCGTTCATCGACATACTTCAACACTAATTATTTCTTCAGGGTTAAATTCGAAAAGTGATTAATCCTATATTCCTGTTCATCGATTCCATTCGTTGGAAAACATGAGCCTCACCCGATTACGCAAGGTATCCTGCTTATAATCCTCGTTAATGTTCGCCTCATCCTCTATTACATACACCTACTCGCGTAACCAACAATATCCACAGCGTAGGATTCGTTTTTTATTTTTTAAAACATAGCAGCAGAGTAGGAAACATCTCGTCGGTATAAATTTAAATGAGTTTAATTTAAATCGTCTGATTACGAAATGTATTCGCATGAAAATTCATAGGAAACCCGCGCCGGCAAGTATGAAACAAAATATTTGGAGACTGTGTATGAATATTAAACATTCTTCTACTGGGTGTCTTTCTAATTTATGCACGTAATTATCGAGTTAAAAAATGGACACGTGTTGCGAATCGCACTGAAACAAAGTCAATTTCTAATAAAAAAGAAAAAAAAGGCTTCGACCAGGTTCGTTTCGCGTTTAGCGACCGATTTACGAACAGATTAGAAGCGTTTTGTTGATATTCACGTGTAGAATAGGTCCGATAAGGAAAGATCAGGGGTCGGGACTGATAAAGGTTGATAATGAGGCTCGATCGGCGTAACTGGTCAGTTCCTACGGTGTCGTACGCGAGTAAACTACAAACTTCCTCGCACCGATCCATATCGACAATCATATTTCAGCCTTATCAAGGCTAATTACCAAAAAAAAAGAAAACACCACGATGACAACGAGTCTCGCGTTCATTCGTCAGTGTGACACGTACGAATAGAAATGTGTTCTCGATACGATAGTGAAAGGATTGAAAAGTATGAACAACGACGGAAATCGTCGGGCTAGGAACTATGGATACGCGTTTGATACTGTGAGTGTGATACTTTTATACCACGATGATTTTTGTAAATAATCAACGACTTCCTGTTTACTTCTGTCGAATAAACTGTGTTTCTCTGTGTTACAAATGAGAAATTATGCAGTTAACGGGAGGAGGGATACGGAGGAGATCCTCTTTATAAAATCGGATCAATGAAGTTCATGATTCATTGACCCTATCAGTTCTGATACGACCTTCGGTAAATCCATGTTGATTTATTCGAGTATTGAGTATTCGAATCCCTGGAATCTGATCTGAATATTGACACTTGGGTTCAATTTAGAAATGATCAAATAATAAAAACCGCGGCCCTTCGAATAGTGTAGCAATTAAAAATTTAATCGATCATTAACAGATAGTGATCGTGCCATCTCCAGGTTCCATATGGGATTATCCATATTTGAATCAGGTCATCAGCATGATGGGCTTGGTCTACGGGACAGGACCGGATTCTAAACAAGATTTCCTCCCTCCCAACAGCCGATTTCCACCGTCACACGTAAATATAATCCTATCTTTTCCTTTCACTTCCTGAGATTTCGGTGCATTCACCCGTGTCCTTCGTTCCTATGCAATTTACGCCGCCACCTCTTCCATATCAATTGTTTCGAATTCCTTTTCCTAATGATTTCGATAACACTACTTTTGCTGCTAAGCTCTAGGCGATCGTAAGAATATTCAGTGGTTTTAGTTTGAAAAAAAGTACAATTCGTTCGGTTCATTTTTAAGAAACTGATAATCCATTATTTCTTCAAGAAAAAGCAACGGAAACGCAATGCACAAGTGGTCGTTCGTATTATCGATTACGATTGTGAAATAATCGATAATTTGGAATGACTGCATCGTTACGCTGGATGCATATCCAGCTCGGCTTCGATTTATTAGAAATTCTGCTCGCGACTTTTAGCCACGGTCTCGCTTGAATGTTTATAAACGCCGTTCTGCAACCACCGCTCGATTCTTTTTTTTTTTTTTTTTTTTTTTTTATTTTTTTACCTTTCGAAAGGCTGAAATAGCGCTCGATTAGCATATATGTATATTTTACGTGACCGTTATTCGTGCCATCGAAGGTATAAAAATATTCCGACCAGTTCCAATCTTGACTCGTCCTGATCGCGTAAATAGGAAGTCGCGGTCTTCAAATCCTGCTTAAGCCGGATCTATGGCCTCCATGTTAAACCACAATGAATTGTCCGATGAATTTGTGTCGTTCGAACGAAAACAAGAGCAGAGGTCAATTATTATCCGATTTATTATATTATTTCGTAGCAGTATGCTTGTATTAGATAGTTGCAAATAAGAATATCGATGGATCCACTAATAAGAAAAGTAATTATTTACGTAGCTGTTCGTAACTGCATTCGATACAAGCCTATTATCTTTAATTATTTCATACTGTAATGCAACTGTTCAAGCAAGCAAAGACTGTTAAAACAATTTTTCAAAAATTTCATGGACCATTCTGATTCATCGTTTCTTTTTTTCATTTAAGATGGAGAGTCCGTCAAGGTGCGAGCTGACGAAGACCGAGGATCAAAGCGCGGATGAAACGGAACTTGGGGAGGTGAAGGTGTCACCTCCGACCAGTAGCGTCGCGACGTCGACGCCGGTACAACCCGGAAGCATCCCTTGCAGGAACGGTGGTTGCAAAAGTTGGGCAAATCGCGGTGAATCCCGGCTAGAAAGTCCTTGGCATTATCTGAAAACCGTCTTCCTCGTTACCGTGATCGTCGCATTGGTGATCTGGGTGATCGTTTACACCTTCCTTACCCAGTATCGGATTTTGTAAACGATTCGACGAGAACAACGAACCTAGAGACTGATTTTGAAAGCTGAATGTTTCGATAATTTTACTTTCGCGAACGACAGGAATGAACTCGACGCGATGATTCGAATGACTGCAAGAGGCAAATTTTCGTATTGGAAAAATTCTATCCAGGATAAATCCGTCCTTTGAAAATTAAATGGTTATGAGAATCTGTTTAATTTCTTGCATTTCCAGTGAAATGCAAGAAACGAGTACTTTCTATTCATGAGAATGAAGAGATACAAGAGAAGGACACTACTTTTTCCCAGTGTTGAAGGTGTAGACAGTGTATAAAGAGTCGTGACTTTTATAAAGATGTACAAAAGTATTTTACATCCAAAAAATAATGCAGGATTTAACAATCTTTTTTACATTCCAATACATTAATGCTAGTCTCTACTTTTTTTTTTTTATTCTAATTGGATACTATATATCAGGACCGTATTGTAAGACAATGAATATAATTGTAACATTGTATACGAGACAAGCTTTATATAATTTGAATTTTATTCAAGAGGTATTTTTCGAAACTTTAGTATTGTTGATTTTATAACCAACACCCTACTTTTTTACTTTTTACCAAGTATTTGTACATAATTAAATAAAATATGGTTAATTACTTGTACTATATTTTGAAATGATGTCTCTCCTTCAATTGATGAAAAATTATATCTAAGTAATAAACATCTTATCTGACGCTGATAATTTTTCAATCAGTTCTGAAACTTAGCTACCTGATAAAGCTAAAAGTGATTTCCTATCAGCTTTTGTAAAACTAAAATAAAAATAAAATACATCAGAGTATTTTATTCTATCGAAATTTCCAAATAATAAATTCTAAGAAAACTGTGTGCACAGTTGGTCAATAGACACTATTTGCTAACAACCTTGATAACAATCGTCATTGAAATTAATGACAGACGTGAAACTATCGAGAATGGTATACACTGCTGTTATTGGAAGTTATCTGCAAATATATGACGCTCTTTGACAAAACGTGTTTTTACAAGGGATACAATGAGAATTTCATAGCAATTGCTCGTCTTTGGAGAAGAAAAGAAAAGGATTCGAGGCTGAATTTTATACTTGAGACACGACCTCGTCCATACCTTGGAAGTAACAACATTTTATGCTCGTTCCTTAACACCTGACTGACTCAATCGATATCGACAAGATCTCTCGTATGATGTTTACAAATGTACCAGGCAGGTGTAATTTTTTTTTTTTTTAAACACAAACATACGTACGAACGTCGATTTATCCAATTGATTTTACCAAAGGAACTTTATTCGTCCAACTATCTTGCTTCGTTCATTTTAACATTTTCTAAATTTCTAAATTTAAGAATTTGAAAATCCTACTAGAAATTCAAGACTTTCACATTCGAATTAGGCCTTAAATCAACAAAGAAGGGGAAAATATTAAAAGATTCGATCGTTTATCTAATCTCGGCGTCTCTCGCAGCACAACAGATAGACCCAAGAAGATCCCAGTTTAACAATCGTGTACAAAGTTCAGCGTGTTCGAAGAGAGCGATTGTGGTCACCGACTCGCTACCACCGTCAGAATTTCCTGGTAGATGTTACGAAGGAAACACCGAACAACCGCCAACCTGAAGCTGGAAAGAGATAGAAAGTTTTCGCGATACTTGGACAGCTTCCTGTCCCAAATCCGAAATCCTATCAGCAGGATAACTCAGCGTAACGAGTCTGGAAAGGATGAAGTGACAGAAGAAGAAACAACCAGTGGTTCGTCGAACAAAGAAACCATACAGACAGGGAGGACTGAGACACAAAGGAAATTGAAAACAGACAACAGTGTGACCATTGGACTGACTAATTTGGAGAATCCTGGACCATCGAGGGTACAACCCAACAGGACACCACGGACGAACGCTAATGCGAGTAAAGTGAAGAGTACTCGAGAGAAAACAACGCAAATGTATCAACACTCGAGCACTCAAAGGTTGCATGGAAACGAAGACAACGATGACGATGTAAGAAATTTGAAAATGATGATTTTTAATCCTTTATTCTATCGAATCGAATTTTAGGCTTCGTTGTTAGAGGATGCGATAAGAAGACCAAAATACATCCTAGTCGGATGGGATAGTTCCCGTTCGAAGCTCATGTTATTCTTACTGGTACTCCTGATCTTATGGGCAATTATCTACTTTCCTTTAATTGGAAAATAAAGTTTATCGAAATTCCATATAAAAATGCGCTTAAGCTGTGATCTTAGATTAATTACAATATCAGTCGTAAGTTTCAAACGTGAAACTACTTAATTAACGTTAACTGCTTAATCAATGTTGTTAATTTGTTCGCTGTGTGCTTGCGAATGTTGAAAAACGGTGCAAGAATGTAAATATGTACATACAGGTTCTGAGAATAAAGTAATGTTTAGTTTTTAAAGAATCAGAATGACACGAATGCTCTGATTTGAGAATACCGCCATCGAATTGTACCACTGGCGCCATAGAACGGCAAAGTGCTGAACTATGATAACATAATCGTTACCGGCGGAAATCCCGCACTTTCTTTTTTTAAGAATTATTATTTCTAACGCATTACATAAATTGTAATGGCATTATTAGAATTAATTAAAACCCGTAGAACGTCTCATTAACTCCAATAAGATGTAAAAATTACTTATTTTGCAAAAAAGGCAATTTTCTATTTCGTCAATTTTGCCGCGCACCGTCTGATGGCGCGAGTAGTGCCTTTTTTTTTTAAAAAAAGGCGCATTGATATGAAATCAAAAAACGTATAAAAACGAGGCTTGCACAACTATTTCAGTTTATAAATACAGTATTTCGATTAAAAATATAAACCTTAACAAGAAAATAGTAGTGCACTTATGAAAGAGAGATAGGTAATGTACACTAATTTAAATTCCTGTAGGCGATAGTTAACGATAATTAGTTACAATAAAATGATTCAAGTCTAGATTAATTCGCATACTTTTATAATTGAAGAATGAGAAATAATTCAGTAGCTACTTTCGCTGCTATGTGTGTATCTATACTGACACGATCATGCGAACGTACCAATAAGAAGTGAGAAGGCAAGAGGAAAGTACGATCGGTTGGAGGTGGTTAAATCGTTTAACAAGCCATCAGTTCGTCTCAACACGCCTTGGCATACGCTTTTCGACGCTCTTGATTTCGCTTACAACACCGATCCTGTCCTTACGCGAGGATAATTATGAAGGTCCAAAACGTTACCATTTTCTTGACGATACTCTCCTTGTCTCTGATCGTTGGTAAGTAGATCGTATTTTTTATTTTTTTTTTTTTTTAAATAATTTATGAACTGTAGAGTGTTCACACGAACGGCGTAGGTTATATATATACATATTTTGCGGTCTCCGAGCTACCTGCAAGGTTCTATTGAAATTGATGATCTCATGTGATCCCATTGTGGGAGCATATGATGCATACGTTTGTAAAACTGAAGGAATTGTTTTACGTTTGATACGTCGAATTCCGAACGAGGGAGTTTAGTTATTCTGAAAATTTGAAATTGAAAAGTTTCTATACAGTGCAAAAGAAACGAGGGAGACCCAGGTCGAAAAGTAATTCATTCAGGGGTTCTAAAGAGGTACCCCTTGGAAACCTTGGATTCCAGGTAAACAGTTTTAGTTCACAGGTATAGATATCGTCGAATTCTCAGATTTTAGCTCGAATAAATAAAAGTTGAGGCCTTAAAGCATGAAGAAGGTTAAACACGTTCTAAAAGAATGATTTCTTCGTGATACGAATTAAGAATTTCGTCCTGTTGTGCAACGTTCAGCGCAAAATCTTTGAATAGTTCCTTGAAATGATTTCGATGCTCGTGTAAATATTTATTTTTCAACAACACTGTATTTTTTTTTATTAGAATATTCGAAGAGAAAACCGAAGACTCCTTGAATTATAAACATATTACACAATATTATATGACAGTGTTATTTTAGATGTGTCTTGACATTAATGTTATCTAACACTCTAAATTCTAAATTCTAAACGTTTAAATCTATTGGTTGCACATCGTCAAGGTTATCGTAAGAGTTCACGTTAGCAGCCAAAAGTTAATCAGGAAGATTTCAGAGAAACCGTAATGAAGAAGCAACAACAAAGAAACGCAATCAACATCATTAATTCTTTCGATCTGTGACACATTAAGTTTTTATAAGAAATATTTATTTTTCGACCAAGTATTGACGCAATATCGGTCAACCTAATTACTCGACGTATCAAACGAAGAACCACGATGACCTCGTCTTTAATCTTGCGTCGAGAAACGTAGATGATTTTAATACCAATTTCCTTATGCAAATTTCCATTGCACTGTTCAGATAACTGGAATATACACTGATTCTGATTCCTGGGTAGAACAGAATTTGAATAAGTGGATTCGACCGCATAGGGATTACTCGAAGAATTATAGAATTATTACCACAGAAATATCAGCAGAAGATACGTTTTCTTTTAGCCGACGTTGAGGCAGGATGGAAGTTTTGGAAGAAGAAGGATAAAGATTCGACTACAACGATCGCCCCTGATGCTGCAACACCCGAGCCGACGAAAGCGGCACCTGATGCTACGACTGCCAAACCATTAGGAAGCCCTGGCAATGTTGGATCAGCTGTTATCGGGGCTAGCGACCCTGGGCTGGCGATTGGGGTCAGTTCGACCGGTGGAAAGATAAAGGAGAATGCACGACCGAGCAGACCGAATCCGGGAACGGAAGTGGGTCTTGAATTCCCAGGATCGAAACCGGCTAACCCAGCCATTGGTGGTAATACCGGCCAAGGATACAGGGACTGGGCTACAGACCTTACAGGAGCTGGAGATCCTGGAAAGAAACCTAAAGTACCTTCCGAAGGACCAGCATTAAGCGGCGAAGGTAAACTATTAATTGTGTTTTTTTATATTAAAAGTTTTTTGTTAATGGGAAAATTGTGTAGGTTCCAGACCAACACCTTTTCCTGGAAACACGCCACGACCACAAACTCCAGGTAAAATACACAGATTTGTGTGAAATGTAATAGGAAAAGTAATTGAGAAATTTTTTTTAAAAGGTGCTAGACCAGTTTCCAGTCCAGGAGGTGCTCCAATGCAACCTACCTCGCCAGGTACTGCAGGTGCTAAACCAGCACCTCAGTCACAGCCTCAACCCCAACCACCATCTCCAGGCTCGAGACCTTCTCCTCATCCAGGAAGTCCATTTGGCTCACCAATGGGTAAACAAAGTCGTTTCATTCAACTGAATCGAAAGTACCGATATTCTAATTTCAAAACTTAATATGGTTCATTTTAAGGAATCTCTGTACCTGTTCCCAATCCGGTTCTTTCACCAGGACAACCTCAACCGAAACCCGGTCAGCCTGGGGCTGGAGGTAATCAAGTATCTACCTTGAATGTGGGTCCCTTGAAACCGGGAAGCAGTACTCCAGCTCCTGCCTCTAGACCTGGAAGTCCAGGTTCTCCAGGAAAAACTTGGGCTGATGTTGCAGGTGGAGGTAGTAGACCCAACTCACCTACACCTGCTCCAAGACAGCCCAACTATCCAGGTCAACCTGGTTATCCAGGTCAACCAGGTACATTATCTAAATCTTAATTGACTAAGAAAAGAGTACTCTCAGCACCGATAACAAAATCTTATCGAAATGAAATGTAACTTATTCAGGTCAAGCTCAACCAAGACCCCAAACACCCACCCAACCTGGACAATCGAAACCGTCTACAGGGGCGATAGCAGGAGGTGCACTCGCGGGAGGTGCATTAGCAGGTGCAGCGGTTGCAGGAGCAGCCTCCACGACCAAGTACTCTAGCAATCCCACCTACAGCAAAGGAAACACAATCACAGACGAAGACCTAGAAAAACTCTCAGAGGCTCTGTTCATTAAGGACACTAATAACGCGAATAAATACATCACGCTAAACCTACAAAAGCAAACAACCAGTAGCAGTACAACGGACGATGCGTCGGAACCGTACGTTTTTACTTAGTAAGACAAAAAGATCCTAGCTTTCCTAGAATTCTACAAATAATATCAATTTTCAGACTACTCAAGGTGAACGCAGAAGCATACCAAATCCCAACAGTACAGAGGGTAATATCGATCTACGATAACTACAAACCAGACACGAACGTGAACGAGCAGATCAGTCCGTTACAAAGGCAAGAGGAAAGTCTTTTAGCGGACACCTTCCTCAGCACGAACGTGATGTCCGCTGCCATGAGGTTCCTCGCGGACAAAGGGAAAATTCGAAAGGACTACTACGAGTACAAAGACACCTTGAGGAAGATATGGTTCAACCTGTTCTCTCGTGGACAAGGAAAGATTGGTAGCTCAGGTTTCGAGCACGTTTTCATGGCAGAACTAAAAAACACACCAACTGGCACTGAGGTAGTTGGTTTACATAACTGGATTTACTACAGCAAGGAGGAAAGCGGTGGACGAGTTGATTACAACGGATATTTGAAAAAAGTTGATCTTGGAGATGTAAGTCAATCTGCACTGTTTATGCTACGAATTTTTAATTTCTTTTTTTTCTTTTTTTTTAAATTTTTTTAGAAAGCTTCTATCGTCGAAATACGAACGAAATACAATGGACACGATAAACCAGTAACGACTATATTCGTGGGTACCTCACCCGAATTGGAAATGGCGTTGTACACGGTGTGCTTCTATGCAAGACCGGATGGAAAATGTCCGGTATCATTGGGAGGGACGAAGTTCAACATTGTTACTTATAAATTCAAGTACAGAGGAAACGACCTCGTAGGAACAGCGTATCCTGACATATAAGCTTTATAATAAACTTCGTTTATATTTTGACGAAGCATGACAATTAATTTTAATTAATGTAAAGACGAAGATGAACGATATTACCGAGTGATATTAGTGTATACAGGGACTACATACTATATTTTTGTTATCGATAAAAACTTGTACTAATACTCATAGCGTTCACTAAATAAAATTAAAAATATTAAAAATATTCCCAATGAACCCAATTGAAATATTCATATGTGTACCAACACGTATCGCGAGTTTGTACTATTTAAGAACTGTTAATCTTAAATAAACAGATAATGTTGGATATGTTCACGTGGAGGGGATAAAAGCAATAAAATAACCGAGGGTACCACGATGGGGGACTCTCAGTTGATCCATTGGTCTCGTAACGAAAGCAAGCATGCACACGATTCTACGAACTTTTCGCAAAAACAGACAAGCACGTTTTGAATGGACAAATGGTCATCCGGCTTCAAAATGCGTCTCTTATCGACCAAACATCTTCACACGATCGTATCACAGCGAAAATGGTGTTTATGGATATAAACCAAAGACACAAAGACACTTTGAAGGTATTTCAAATGATATGTTGATTAACACGTCGAATGTCGTGAGGGGTCACTAACATCATAAATTTAACACTGACCGAGTGTCACGCAGGTCACAGATGACCCACGTTAAACTTTCCACTCATGCTGTTTTGATAATTTCGTACGAGAAGAAACGTATTATTGAAATAAAAGTATATTATTCAAATAATTAAAGAGATTCCATTTTCACTGTGGTATTGAACGTGTTAAAGTTCACCTCGCTCTTTCTCTTTCTTTCAGTACCAAAAGAATACTTAGAAACACGATCAAAGAATAGCAATTTTTACAGACTGGTTACAGCATACAGAACACACGGTCACAAACAAGCGAACATTGATCCAGTTGCGACGAAAGTGCCAACACCTCTGGTCGAATTAAAACCAGAAAGATTTGGATTAAATTTGAACGACAAAGTTTCTTTCAGAGGTATTCTAGCAACAGAGAAAGAGGAAGGAACAGTACAAGAAGCATTGCAATTCTTAAATAAAACTTACAGTAGCTCGGTAGGACTGGAGTTTAGTTATCTGGAGGTAATACATCAGTAACTTAACAGAATTTTCTAAACAGAATCATTGTAACTGCTTAATATTGAACAATAAGTATCCACTGTCTATTATTTCTTTGTAAAATATCTGTATAAGTACCTGATTTCTGTTAATATTTACACAGACCGAGGAAGAGAGAGAATGGTTCGCGCAAACTGTGGAAAAAGATTTGGCGAATTCTCTGACGAATGAAACGCGAATTGCCATCGCGAGAGAAATGCTGAAGAGTCAAGCTTTCGATCACTTCTTGGCCATCAGGTTCGTGAGCCTTAAGAGATACGGTGGCGAAGGTGCTGAGAGTATGATGGCATTCTTCCACGAGTTCTTCAAACTATGCGCACACGGTAAACCTTGAATATATATTTCATCATTTAAATACTTGAAAAACATTTACCATGTAACTGATAAAATAATATAAACAAGATAAAAAAAATTAAAACCTTCATCTCCATTTATCAATGATGGCATTTAAACTGATTAAATTGTAGATGACTTAAAATACATCGTCCTCTGCATGCCACATCGTGGTCGACTGAATTTTCTTACTGGTATGCTGAATTTCCCGCCAGAGAAATTGTTTAGAAAATTGCGAGGATTTTCTGAATTTCCGGATAACGTGATTACCTCCGGTGACGTGATTAGCCACTTAGTATCTTCAACCGATCTGACAATCGGGGAAAAAAAGCTTCACGTAACGATGCTGCGAAATCCGTCGCATTTGGAGGCGGTGAATCCCGTCTCCATGGGAAAAACTCGAGGAACCATGCAAGCTGTTAAGGATGGAGCCTACAGTGAAGATGCAAATGCATGCTGGAGCGACAAAGTGTTGAACGTCCAAGTAAACTGCTTTAAACTTAAATTAACCCACAGAGAATATTAAATCAAATTCATCTGTGCTTATACTGCACCTTAGGTACACGGAGATGCCGCTTATGCCGCCCAAGGTGTCGATCAAGAATGCTTAGCCTTATCCGCAGTTCCTCACTTTGAAATTGGAGGAACTGTTCATCTGGTAATCAATAATCAACTAGGTTTCACCACTCCAGCCTCCAGAGGAAGATCGTCGCGATATTGCACGGATCTGGCAAAGATGATCTCTGCTCCGGTGATTCACGTGAACGCCGACGATCCTGAGGTGCTCGCATATTCTTCTCGTTACACAGTGAAACACCGTGAAAGGGGGGAAAATTTAAATTTGATAAATACATATCATAGATGGTTGTTCGAGCGACCAGAGTAGCTTTCAAGTACCAACGAAAGTTCAGGAAGGACGTTTTCGTGGACTTGAACTGTTTTAGACGATGGGGGCACAACGAATTGGACGATCCCGTCTTCACGAATCCTATTATTTATAAAATTATACACAATCGTCCGTGAGTATTTTAAAATGACTTGAAAATGTATCAGATATGAAAATAATCTTTTCCCCTTTCCTTTAGAACCATACCAGATCGATATTTAAAGAAACTGAACGAGGCTAATGTTCTTTCGAAGACAGAAGCTACCAGCATCGTTGAAAATCATAGCGCTCGATTGGATCGAGCACTGAAAGAAGTCGACAGTTATATTCCACAGCCTGTCTACTTCACAGGCTTGTGGAGCGAAATGCGATCGGCTGATGCGTCCGTGACACAGTGGGACACGGGTGTTGATTTAAACCTATTAAGCTTCATTGCCAAAAAAAGTGTTCACGTTCATGACGAGTTGGTGAGAACATATCATATGCTTTAATTCTATCCCAGGGATTATTCTTCTATTTTGACCAATTAAGTGTCACGTCTCACCATACAACAGACAATACATCCTCGGTTAGTGAAAAGTCACATTCAATCCCGATTGAACAAAATAGAGAGTGGTGAACGCTTGGACTGGACCACTGCTGAGGCACTTGCCATTGGTAGTTTGTTGTATCAAGGATACAATGTCAGAATAAGTGGACAGGATGTAGGCCGTGGTACATTTTCACAGAGGCACGCGATGCTTGTTGATCAGTCTACTGGAGGTAACTGAAAAATGAGTTTCATAGATGAATAAGATGTGATTTCAGGTATCATTCGTAATTTCAGACATACAGATTTCATTAAACTCTATGATAGAGGGTCAAACAGGGAAGCTAGAGTTAGCCAACAGTATTTTATCAGAAGAGGCAGTGCTAGGATATGAATATGGTATGAGTATTGCTGTACCAACGACTTTGACCATTTGGGAGGCACAGTTTGGTGATTTTTTTAATGGAGCACAGATCGTTATTGATACCTTTGTAACCAGTGGAGAATCGAAATGGATGTTAAGCAGTGGTCTGACGATGCTTTTACCTCATGGCTACGACGGTGCTGGTCCTGAACACAGTTCTTGTAGAATTGAAAGATTTTTACAACTCACTGATAGTCAGGAGAATAAACCGGATGGTGATAACGTTAACATGCACGTTACGAATCCTACGACACCTGCTCAGTACTTTCACCTGTTAAGAAGACAAGTAAAATCGATTTTATCAAAAAAATGGTAAATTATATCGTTGTTGCTACAAGTTTATTTTTGTTTCTTCATTTTAGATGGTAAGAAATTTTCGCAAGCCTTTAATAATAGTAGCCCCGAAAATGTTGTTACGTCATGCCGCAGCCACATCCTCGTTAGCGGATATGGGACCACAGACTAAGTTCAAGAACGTTATTGGTATGTTATAAATGAAAGCAAATAATCTAATTCATTTCTAATTTCTTTCAATAGCATGATTTTGACAGGAGATGACAAAGTGAAAGAATCAGAAGTGACTAAGGTGATTCTAGTAAGTGGAAAACACTATTATGCTCTTGATGAATACAGAGATAGAACAGTACAGAAAAATGTTGCAATTATCAGGCTAGAAAGCCTATGCCCCTTTCCTGTTCAAGACTTATTACAAGAGATTGATAAGTATAAACATGCAAAGAGTAAGTATCATGAATAAGTCTTGACATTATTATACGATATTGAAATAAATGTTTTTTACAGTTTTCATATGGAGTCAAGAAGAGCCGCAAAATATGGGAGCATGGAGTTTTGTTAAGACTCGTTTTGAAAATCTGTGTGGAAGATCAGTGAGTGTCAAATAAATATAAAATTAGTACAACATGCATTTGCATTTTTTCTACAATAAAATTATAATTTACAGTTGAAATATTCGGGTCGCGTGCCTATGGCTGCACCAGCTGTGGGCGAAGGACAGCTGCATCAACGAGAAGCTCAGGAAGTTATCATTAAACCATTCACTATGAAATGATTTTTATATTATATTACATTTTACTCTGTTTTATTTGTACACGTGATTCAACTGTCCAAAATCACACCTTTCTTGCAATTACATCATCACCGTATACTATATTATGAAATAAACTATTTACACATCCTTGAGCAATGATTATGCTACTTCAATATTATCAACAACAAAATATATTCGCAATATGAATATAACGTCAATTACTAATTTTTGACATTGTAACGATTTTGTAATGAAAATATTACCTGTTCTTTCTTTATAAAAAGTAGCAGCAAAACTAAGTCATAATTATTGTAAAAAGCTAAATTTATATTACAATAACACGGTTAATGCAATCAATCTTGGCTAGTATTTTCTGCTTCCAAACGTTCATGTTCTTTTTTAATAAGATCCTTCAATTCCTCCTGTAAAGAAGTAAGTTCAAGTTAATGATATCGGTAATTTTTAAATCACTATAAGAAATCAATTTAAGCAGTGAAACATACATCCCAACCCAACTTTTCAGCTAATAATTGACAACCGGTATCACAGTCACCTAACCAGGCAACATCGCGACCGGTGCGTGAATCAAAGATTAAGCCTTGCCGCAATCCTAGAAGTCGTGACAAGCGGTCTTGCATGCCCACTTTTTCTTTATTGATCAGTAAACGTGGACAATTTGGTCGAACCCTTAAAGAAAACCATAATTATAATATTTTAAATATCAATGGGATTATTTTAACTTCGATCCCTGATGCGCACCTATCTACCAAAGATGCAAAAGGATGAACGACCAAACTCGATCCCATGATTATTAAAAGATCTGCTTCTGCAAAATCCCTATCGGCGAGATAATGAAAACGTTCAGGTAACAATTCTCCAAAGAAAACTATGTCAGGTTTTACTACACCCTCGTTACATTCTTCACATTTCGGTACAACACCTTCAATGATTTTTTCTGAAAACAGACACTAAATTTAAAATACAATTTTATTTTAATTAGAAAGATAGAAAATAGAAAAACTACTTTTCATCCATGGAAGAGTGTACGGTGCTCTACATTGAAGGCATCTACCAGTATGGAATGTTCCATGGGCTTCTACTAATTTTTCAGGTGGTAAACCAGCCATTCTCTCTAAAGTATCAATATTTTGTGTATAATGTCTCAAAAGCAATCCCTTCTCCCACAATAGACGAATAAAGTAATGACACGGTGTAGGTTTAAAACCTTCGGGTAAAAGTTCCCGCGCAAGAGCGAAAAAAGGTTCTGGATTTTCCATAAAAAAATCCAATTCAAAAATAGCTTGAGGATGAGGCAAATTGTACTTCTCTAAATTATGATATAGTCCACTTGACGGTGAACGGAAATCAGGAATTCCTGCAGCTACAAATAGAAAAATTATGTTACATACTCCTTGAAAATACTCCAGAAAAATATTTGTAGAAACTTACACGTGGAAATACCAGCTCCAGCCATAGTAACAATTTTGCAGTTTTCATTTTCCTTTATATATTCTATTATTCCATCTAAGTTAACTTCTCGAAGCACCTTTTGTTGTGATTGCTCGCTATAATCTGATGAATCAAAAAGTCTTAACTTCTGTGCTAGATATCTACGAACTTTTTCCATCTCAGACTCTTCTTCTACCTCTTCTTGTTCTGAAGAACTTTGTACTGATTCCTCATTTGGTTTCTTTTCTAAGGGGTCCAAAAAATTATATTATTAATACATTATTTCAGTTGCTAGATATAAATACATAATCTTGGTTTTTATTACATGCTCATACATTATAAATATCTTAGGTTTGTTAGTTTTTGAAAAATACAACATTAAAAAGAAATTAATACATAATGTTTAAATAAACAAATATATTATACTGACTAAAATAAAAATACAAAAATACAGATTTTCTCCAGGGTTTTTGGACGAATAATTGTCGTGGACCGCTGATTAAAGGAAGAACGAGGCGCGAAAACATTTTGATCAACCATAAACAACTATGGTGATACAACTGAAATGTAATTCACAGAAAACACGTGTGTTACAATAATTACCTACAAGCTGCCAACAGTATACAAATTAAAATATTTTGCAATTATAGCGAACAGCATCGAGCAGTAATTCAGCCTTTTAATTCAGCTAACTATTTTATTTAATTAGTGAAATTCCGGGTTTCTATAGATGACAGTTAACCTCTTTCACAAACATGTTGCATTCATTTATATTATATTTTGTAATCCTTTACAACGTAGTGTAAACGTAGAAGCATTATAAAAAATATTAAAAAGTTATAATACAAATTTTATAAACTGATATTAATTTTTAAAAATGGGAATTTCATTAAAAAGTTGTTTTGTAAATTATTTCCTGAAAATCTATGAATTAAAATAAGAAATTCACAGTAATACAAAATTATATTTAAAAAAAAGAAAAAATTTTAAGCAATAACATACACGAAGCTTGAATTTTGTCATGTTCGACAAATGACAGTTTAGAAACATTACCCTTTTTCGCATCATCCTTATGTTCAGACATGTTTTTAGATTCTTCCGAACTGCCTAGCGACATTTGAGAGAACTTTTGTATATTACAATTGTAATATAAAAAGTAATATTATTCATAAATTCATTTGAACATACGATAAAAACACACTATCGAACCATTTCTACGTTCAATATTATTTGTTCAACTAGAGACCATACCCTTAGCGTGACGAGTTTTTGTTAGTACTGCGCGTTGGTCCGTTGGTCCGGCGTTGGTCCCAGTCGGCTCGCGCATGCTTCGACTGCGCATGTTTCGTCTGCGCAAGCGCGTAATGTCACCACGCAGTATACCTAGCATCTGTGAGTATTCGGTATACTCTTCAACCTCTAATGTTATCATTTATTTTCTCTGTTATATATTTTGTCCACCGTATATACACGAACGTAAACCGCTACGTAGTTACAGATAAGAGTAGAGGGCGTCTCTGAGCTGCGCAAAACAGGTATGTTCTCGTATTGAACGAATAATAAATATTTTTGGAAATATGATTCTCATTATTTATGAATTACAATGATTTCCAATATACATTGTAACTAAAATAGTACACAATCGTTACATTAATTTTTATATATTAATTTGGTAACTTGATAAGTTCTATTTAATGATAGGGCATAAATATATGGTAGGATAACACACGTTTCTAATTCGTTAGTAGAAAGGCTTTTTTATATTGTAATCTCTATTATTTTTGTAATAAATGAAAGGATAAAATTCAGAGATGATGTTTTCAAAATAGTTACCGTATCTTTATAAATTGAGATATTTATTTCCATCATAAAAACATATCCCTAGAAATACCATGTATCAAAATTTATTTATATTATTGAGCTTTTTTGGATGCATCAACTCCTAAGATCTTACGCCTCTGGGCAAACATGTGTAAATATAATTGTGGGAAAACTGTAACAAGAAAAAAGAGAAAGATAGATTTAGAATTAAAATATTATATTATATAAATATAAAAAATTATGTTTGAAATACTTACCAGGAATATAGGTCAGTCCTACAATTATCAGAGTAATATAATAACTAAACGTAAAATTACATGCATTAGGAAGTGTATAACTCCAGGCCTCTGGGTGAGAACCTGCATACTTTATAGCTGCATATAAACATAACAGTTCTCCAGTTACACCAATAGGATATAATATGATAAATAATGTATACCTATAACAACAGAAATATTAGCTCCAAATTATTAATATAAAACATATTCTGTGATTTTTTAAATTCCATACCTTAACCATGTAAGAAAATATGGTACAAAACCACTGAGATTCATAAAGTAAAACAGATATCGAATTATTTCTGTTATTGACCATGCTAAAATGGCCAATGGCAAGCCAGGTGATGATGCTGCATGTTCATATGGAGTTGCTAACAATACAGCACTTACAATTATCACACGACTAAAAACTTGAAAAATTGTTAGTATAGGGTTTGATTTAACTATACCAGTTGCTGCATGTATTATCTGTAATGTAAATAAAATTCAATCTTATTTTTTTTTTTAAAGCAGTCACATTAAAATTTAATACTTACCTCCAAAAAAGCAGCATGTTGAAAAATAATAACTGGCCATTTAACATTACGCCATAAGTTTGGTTCTGACACAGTAAAATCATTTATCAGAAATTTATAAAGTATGTAACTCCAGCTGCAAACATAAATAGTTTTATACATTTTTTTCATTACATATTTATTTTTAATTACAATTACGTTGCGACGATAAAAAAAATTTAATATTTCGTGTTAAATTACAAGTGTACTTGAATTCAAACAAGAAAATAAACCTTCTTTCTATCATTTAATCAGTTTGTTAGATACGTAAATTGTATACTTACCCAAAAACTTGGATAAGATTATAAGCTTTCAAGTAAAGTGTTGCAACGTTACTTGGTTTTTTAGATTTCATATTTTTGATAATTAATTTGTACGTGAATTATTTAAAACAGTACTAAAAAACAGTACTTATTGCTTTTGCGATGAACGTTTCAAATTCATCGTATACCGCACGTAGAATATCGAAACTGACGAAGTTATACGAGGCACGCTATATGATATGTACTTCCCACAGGAACGTACCAACTACTGTTCATAACATGGATGAATCAATCTTTTTTTTTTCTTTTAACTCTTTGATAATGTTACATTAAAAATAAGTAATCTATGTTTTAAGTAACGCTGATAAAATGCTATTAAAATTATGTTAATTCAATTTTTATTTCGTATATATTAAAAATCATTCGGTAGAACAAGTTTTATAATATACAGTGTAAATTATGCAATGAAATGCTTATTCCACACAACCAGTTATACCTTGACCACCTTGAGTCAGTTTCTTTCTAACTTGTTATTCAAGTTATGCCTAAGAGAAAATAATACAAGAAATATTATTGAACAGTAACTTATACAGAAAATATGCTTATATTGATTGCGGTCAATATTCATCAACATTATTTTCACAACTGCATATCATTTTATACCGGAAACCGTGTTTCTAACTACATCCCTGGTTTTTTGGATCAAAGTTCAACATACTATAATGAATTCAGAAGGAAAATGAATGCGACGTCTAATGTTTAATCAGCACTTATTATAATTAGGTTTTTAACGCGTCTCAGAATTATAATCATATTAATAATGTAACAAACTTGAATGCAATGTATATATATTTTTTCAAATTAAAATGTTTTCTTCAATCATTAAATAAATGTTTAATTATTTATGTTCGAAAAAAAACTTAGAAATTGATACTTTTCAAAAGTATCAACGAAACAGGAAACGTACAGATGGTAGAAAATGATAAAAAAAGTACTAAATTAATAATAAATCATTGTAAAAATCTGGCACTTTAGGAAATTAAGAATTGATTTTTCAAATTACAGTTGCAATGATTTCTAATCGATAAATCGAAATGATATCTCGTCGAGATTTTCGTTGAATTAAATAGTTTGTGGCAAAGTAACTTATTATTTCCGATTTTATCATAATTATGATATCTATAAAGGTTAGTCTCACATAAAATATTTAAATAATTTTGTTCTTTTTTTTTATATAGAAACGGTTAAAATATTAGATAACCTGTTGATAATATTATGTTATCAACATATGATGCTTATTACTGTTGATTTAATATTACAGTTTATCATCAAGTAACAAACAGCAAGGTAAAGAAAACATGAAAATGCAGTGGATCAATTTTCAAAGGCTTTTTAAAATAGTTAAAAGATACAATTCAACAAATAGTCTTCAAACTAGCAGTATTTATAGAACTTTTGTTTGTGGGAATGAAGTGAAAGTGGCAAAAAAAAATGGACAACCAATTGTGGCCTTAGAGTCTACAATTATCACTCATGGGATGCCTTATCCTGATAATTTAAAAACAGCTATAAAAGTTGAAAATGCTGTCAGAGCCAAAGTAACTGTTGTTTAATTTAAAAATGATAAATTATTAATTCATAACAAATATGTAAGATTTGTTAAATATCTTTAGGGTGCTGTTCCTGCAACCATAGCAATTTTAAATGGACAGATATATGTTGGCTTAAGTCAGGAACAATTAAAAACATTGGCACAATCGGATCCTGTAAAAACTATTAAATGTTCTCGCAGAGATATATCATCTATTGTTTCTCAAAAGCTTAATGGAGGAACAACTGTTAGTGCAACAATGTTAATAGCAAATTTATCTGGTATACCAATAATGGCAACAGGAGGTATTGGGGGTGTTCATCGTGGAGGAGAATCAACATTTGACATTAGTACTGATTTAATAGAACTTGGTCGTACCCCTGTAGCTGTTGTATGTTCTGGTGTTAAATCAATTTTAGACATTGAAAAAACATTAGAATATCTAGTTAGTACACATTTTTATGTAGAAAATGAATTTCACATTGAATGAAATTTCATTTGTTATTTATACCCTTTGTAGGAAACTCAAGGAGTCCCTGTTATAAAGATTGGTGACACCAACCATTTCCCTGCATTTTACTGTACTGAAACATTTCAAAAAATAAAAGTACCACACAGAGTTTCTGATTCAATGGAAGCAGCAAACATATTAAAAGCTCAGAAGGAGTTAAATCTGCAAACAGGATTACTATTTGCAGTTCCTATTCCTCAAAAATATGCACTGAATCCTAAAGAAATAGAGTTAGCTATATGCAAAGCTTTAGAGAATGCAAAAAGTAATCATGTAAGTGGAAAAAATGTAACTCCATTCTTATTAGAAGAATTAAATAAAATTACACATGGTCAATCTTTGCAAGCTAGTAAGTGTGCATATGTATATATATGTAAGCATACGAATAACATAAAGTTTACACTTTTTATTTAATTTTTATCTTCTCAAAATTGTAGATATGGCACTCATAGAAAACAATGCAAATGTGGCAGCAGAAATTGCGGTAAATTTAGGCAAGAAACATTTCCAAAGTTTTCCCAGCAGTAATTCCACCAAGTGCCAGCTGAAATCGGAACGAAATCCAGTGAGTTTAATTGAAATAAAAATGTATATGCATATGTTCTAATCATACGATTTGCTTATGTTCAACGTAGATTGTGATCGGCGGAGCCGTGATGGACACCACGTTGCAAGTGAAGGAGGCTGAGATAAAAGTAAGTCAAGTCTTAAGTCAGAATTATACTAAATAACCAATTTTCCTTGTATTCATATTTCTGAGGAGTTATAGAACGTTTAACAGTATTTACATACAATTACGACCACATAGGTTTTATGTACATTTAAGAATTGAATAACATGAACTCATAGTACAGTATGGGGAAGAGTGGCGTGATGCGATTAATACAGTATGAACATAATAAAAGATGATCACAGTGCAAGTTAAAAAATCATTTTTATTCGGATTGTAAAACGTTTAAATGAATGATGCGTGTTAAAATTCCAGCTTGTTTATAATTTCTAGATTCTCTTAAGAAAAGAAAAATAGTGAAATAAGCGGTTTTTCTTGTGCACGATAATATGAGAATAACAAAACGTACTTTTACTTTACAATTACACTTTTTCCCATACTTGGCTACGGTAGTCCTAGTGAATGTACCGTGTACGAAATAACGTACGTACCATTATTCTAACCATTTACAGATACGGTAAATTGGGTTTCTTAAGCAGGCACTATTCAAAGCTCCCTCTCTTTCATTCGTCTCGATATACATGTGTTACATTTAAATATCGATCAGTTACAAATTTGCTACACATTTGAACCTTTTTTTTTTAAAGCCTTTCTCGTTTAGAGATCTTATCGTTATCAATGTGTATCCGAATAAAACGTAGAAATACAAATCTTTCCGATTAAATGAAACGTGAAAAACAAAATAGGAAAACATTATACATATTTCATTTCGTTTAGTCGAAAGTTAAAGCTTAGAGTCTAATTTAAAGATAGCGTGTAGTAGGTTTTCATTTTTGTTTTGGGCGGTTTACCAGAACATAGTTGCCATCTAAATGATCAGTTAAAAATCAATTACTCTGTCTGTCGTTTTACGTACATAGTATCCCTTATAATATATACATTTAGTGGCAGAGGCTGTATGTCTGCGAGGTGTAAGCTTTCATATTATTATTTAGCTTAGTACATTCAACAATAATTCGATGGCCTGATTAAGAAAGAACCCTCGGCTACTTTGAAATATAATTTCTCCATGATTAAAAATCATACACGGTGAAAGATAAAAATATAAGTATAATATTAGATTGTTAATTAACGTACAATGCTAATGATACCCTGTTGTCCTGACCGATATAATCACGAGAAAATAAAGTGTACAAGATTGAATGGTAACGATGAACTTGTTCTCGTTCTTTCAAAAACAAAGTAGTAACAATGCATTTAGTTTTTTCTTAAACAGATCATCGACACTTAAATATTTTCTACCATACACCGCTATATACAGTCTACTAAATACGTATATTCCATTATCATTTGCATTCGTAAACGTGTTACCCTAAGATTCGATTAATCCTACCTAGGAAGCCAATTACTCTTGAGTATATCGTATTTTAGATTCGCGCGAATAAACGCGCAAATCAATATGCAGACTACTCGCGCTTCGTGTATCATTTATATAAAAAGAACTAGGAATTTTTATAGTCCGTTAACTCTTATGCAGTGTGACATTGTGTTCCTCAAACGCGTTTCGTTTCGAAATTATTAGCTCCCTTATAAGTGATACAACTGGTCGAAAGGACAGATTTTATTTATTTATTTACTTTTATTTTTTTTTTTTTATTAAGTCGAGCTCCGTTGGGAGAATCAGTTTGGCAGTAGTATCCCACAATATTCTCCCGTAATTATCGTATCGATACGTGTTGATATTTCTGACAGGATAAAAACAGCAAAAACCGAAGAATAAAATAATTTGTTCGCGTGACGATAAACGTTTCACTTTTGATACACAAGCCGACATAAAAAAAAAAAAAAAAAAATGAAATCGAAAAGTCCTTTACCATTCTAGGATCTGATGCTTCGTTCACGAGATATAAGCGATTGAAAATGAAACATCCGAGTTTCGAGGTGCGCGGTTCGAACCATAAAGCACCCCGGAAGTCGACCATTGAATTTCCAATCGCTTGTATCTCGGGAACGAAGCCTCGGATAGCAAAATGGAAGAAAACATTTCGATTTCTTATCTCACGTAGAATTTATTTTTGACAGTCTGTATATTTCCTTGGGTATAACACACTATGCCCAACGCGTGTCCATCCCAAAATGGCGGAGTCACTATCAAACCACTGAAATTCTTAGAATGAAAAGCTTTTACTTTGAAACAATCCAACTGTGTATTGTCGTTGCGAACAGAAAATTGGAACGCCGCTGTTTTTTGTCGTTAAACCTTCACATTGTAACATACTACTAGCGTGATTCGCATAAAAATCAATACGCGGCGGGTTCTTTTCGCTGTTTATTTATCCGGGCTCAAAAAGAGAATGGTTGTAGGTGAAAGAGGATGGTTTAGGAAAACTTACTGCTAGAAATAAATCTACAAAAGTAATTGATTTCACCGACCGTGCGAGGACGGAAAGACATGTAAGGAATACGCGTAGAAAGTGAATCGAAGGCGTTCGAATCTTCTTCAGCTTCGCATCCACTTCTATTTTTTTTTTTTTTTTTTTTTTTTCGTTTTCTTGTTCGTGGTTCCTTGTACATAATTCACCTCGTGTCGATTCTCGCTTCGCTGGCCTTCGTGTGTCGTCACGCAAAAGTAAATTTACTCTCTGTCCATCAGCACATCCGGTGGTCGTACGGTTGTGCAAAACTGCATTTGCAGAATACGATGACGCGAGAAGAGTGTATCGTTAAGGTCAAGTATCATTAGCAAAGTTTGGAAATCTATAGGAAAAATAATATAGAGCATGGAATTATTAGAAGGTTAAATTAGAATAATAGATGTTTGAAATGATATGGTAACGCGATGGGTAAGTGGCAAAGGATTAAGTTTCTCAAAGTAATCCCACATTTCAAGAATTTTTTAATTCAAAATACTACAGAAATCTCAACTGAATATGAAATATCTCAACGATACACTTTCCTGGCGACACGTAGAACTTTGAACGTTATTCGCTTATTGTGGGCTGCTGCGTTCGTGAGGTCAGTAGAATCTTTCGAAACCTTAGCTCCGGACTGCGCACCTATCCTTTAAAAAAATGAAGACAAACGCTTAATTATTCGCATATGTATTTTAACTTCATCATTCGTATACTTATTTCGATAACTCTGATTTCCATCTAGATGCACGAATGGGTATGAAGCTCGTTTTAGCAACGTTCAGTTATGTTAATAAAAGATCGTATATCGTCTCCTCTATATTTAGTACACGTCTTCCATCGTTAATCAGTTAAATCCGATTCGAAGAATAACATAGCGAGAGAATTAATCTAGACTGTCAGGTGTCTGTCTCTAATACGATCAGCCAACGAATATCGTAAAGAGAAGAGTTGATCAATTCTACAGAAATAGAGGGTCTTTAACCTCTGACGGGGTCAAAATCAATATATACCATTTCCAGGAAAAGATACTTCAATTCTAACCGACTGTCAAATGCAAGCTACCTTTTCTACGTATGAAAGTTAGCTATATTGAAAATGACATTTGGAACTAGAACTATAGCTGTTAATTCGAACAAACGTGTACCAGTAAACAAAGGGGAATGTTGGGCAAAGCTAGCGGGTACACAGAGCACGTCCAATTATAACCAAATTATACCAGAGTCCCTTTAACCCTGTAATGTATTGTTTGGAGGCTGCAATGTGGTAAATCAATACGCTGACCCTTACATCTACCTAAATAACGTTCTTTCATTCGAGAAAAATGTGTACATTATGCGGTAGACTCGTGTTATATTGTCGCATGAGCGATTTTTCTCTCTATAAAGACTATTATCCCCCACTCTCGCTATATTACCAACGATATAAGACAAGGGCTTATATCTACCTTATCACGAAAGCACACGTATATAAGAATAAGCTTACTTATAGACGGTGATCTCGGTGGACCGATTGCTCCTGTAAAGGAAACGGTTCGACGTGTTTCGCCACCACTTCCATAGTCAGGTACGCCTGCTTTGACCACCAGCTGTTATACCCGTGCCTGGACTGCCGCCGTTCGACAGCCACAATCTTCTGTTGAATTCGCGCATCTCGTAGTTATTGTTACAGTTGCTTTTCTCGCGTGTACCACAGTTGTGGTTCGCCGAGGTAGGGGTCGTTTCCTCGAGAATCAACGCGCAATGGCTGTTCGTGTCGCTGTCCGCACCACCGTCCTGTAGATTGTTCGCCAATAGGGGATGCCTCCCGGTGTTGCATTCGTCCGTTTGGATCAGTAACGATGCGTTTCCTGAAATTATTAGAATTATCGTTTATAATTGATTAAAAGCATCTCGCTTCGATGTTTAATAGCGATAACGGTCATCTCGGGTTGCCTCGTTATCAGTCAACCAGTTTGCGTCGATCGTCGATCGAACTCCTGCAGGTGATCAGATAATGGCAGTTCAATTGTGATTACTCCCGTAGATTAGTATGATTTCTGACAAGAGGTGAAATTCGCAAAATATCTGATTCATAAGACATCGAAAAACAGCAATAGGTATTCTATTTTCAAAACTGTTTCTTTCGCGATCCTTATAAGAGTTTCATGTAGATATGGTTGTTCATATTCTTGGTTCGCTATTTAAAAACTGACCGACTGGCAATTACAAGTGGGGTATAAATTATTTTTAGTGACCCCTGTACCATTAATGCAGCTTGCACGGTTCGTAGAATTTTTATCCAACTCAAACGGTTTCAAGGGTCTGTAAAAAATACGTTGCGCGGGTTGAACAAAAAATAACGAAGCTGTTGTAGCATAAAGGTTAAAGCTGTGAGAATAATTACCGTTGACCAGCTTGAAGCTTCTCAGTCGAGACTCTATAATTTAAGAGGAATTAAATTCTCTAACGAGCTGTCACGATTTCATCTCGAAATAGAAAGACATTCGTCTTCTTTTTATCGTACATTCGAGATAATCGCTCATTTTTTTTTCCAAGCATTAAGGATGCTGTTTATTCGACGTAAAACACGTCTTTCATTCGTCTGAGCGCTTATCTCGCGAAGGGGAAGGCGCGAATAATTGTCGGTTTTTGGGGAAGAGCGAGGCAATCAATCAACCTCCAGATTTAAAGGTGTACAAAACAGAATCTGCTCGTCGACCCTCGAAGAAGCGTTGCTCGTTTTCTGTTTGAAAAAAACACGGATTATCGCGAAACTTTGATACCTTTATTCCAGTATCATTAAAGATTTATGGCTTATAAAAAATTGAATACCTACGGGAGTATGAATTAACGAAACTTGATTGACACATCCGGTGGCACAGTTTATGTATGGAATTTAATAATTTAACATAACGCATCACTTTAGGAGATGAAAAAGCATAAATATTAGATTAAAAACCACATTTTGTTTTAATTCATTTAGCTAAAAATTGTCGAGACGTTAAAAAATAAAGAAAAGAGGAAATCTAATTTCAAATGATAAAGTGATCTGAAATGATTATTATACATATATAAACCCATCATTAATCTTAATCAACAACAGACGGAAAAATAATGGTTATGATGAACATTTAACATTTCATAGTATACTTATATTAGGAAACACAATGAGCTTATCGCTCATAAAATATGACCTTTGTCAGAAACAACGATCGACGAGGCGTTTAGCCAGAGATCCCTAACTTTGCTTAAAGTTAAAATCCGCCCTATCGTTCGTGTAATTATAGACAGTACTGGCAGGGTGCTAAATACTTATTATACCGGAGCACGCAATGTCCTACTTCTTTTACTTCAATTGGTATGGGTAAACCATGTACATACACACGAGTATTACTGAAAACGAGTAGCTTCGCTAAATAGTCATTGAACATAGAATTAAATACTAGTTTGTAAAACGCTTTCCATTTTCTCTACTATTCCTTATCTTTTTTCCACGATCAATTAGAAACGTTTATCAGATATAACAGAACTTGGTTGATCAAATATGATTTCAACAAATTGTATGAAATATTGATCTTGTTGAAAGGAGAATATTTTTACAATGGTATCAATTCTTGTTTTTAAAAAGGTATCGCGTGTTCCACCGGCAATAACCGTAGACCCTTTCGTGAGGTGAGTTTCTCGTTTAACCCGTAAACATATTTTTCACCGAAGGAATTGCGTGCCAGGGAAATAATCGAGACGATCTAAATTTCCTAGCAACCCCTCACACGTTCTGAACTAGTTTTATCTTCCGCGAACCTCGTTATTTCGACCGGTGGAAGCGTCAGCTTCGTTTGCCTTATGTTTCTTCGGCAAAAGCGATTAAAACTTTCAACGTTATCCTATATTATCGATTTCACGTTTAATTCCCACCGTAGATAAGTTATCGCGATGATGATGCTGATAGTGAATGATGGATCGAGGCAGAGTTTATTAACCCTTCACAGTTTAACCTGTTTTTATCGGAATATTCTGATTGACATTCGTCTTCGACGAAAGAAAAAAAAGAATCTTAGTATCGTGGGCGACCTTAATAAATCTACGACGATCGTGTTTGACAAACGTTTCTATTACTGCGTAGGCATATGAAACTTCGACTGATGGAAAAGTTCAGAAGCACAAAAAACGTTGAGTTAAGTTCTTCTACCCACGACTTTCTTCAGAGCCCGTAATTTCGTGAAACGTTTTGAAAGAACATTTTCATTGAAGGGTTAATATCCTCGTTACTACCTTCAGAGACCATCGTTAGATTCGAATCTTATCATTTATAATTGACAAATTTACTAGGAGGGAGGCTAACCTAGACATTTATTCTTAACTAAAGAAGGTCTGACAATAAGTATCACGCGAGTGTACTTGATTCTTGAACTTAAAGACCCGCATAGAGAGGATCGATTGAAAAATGTATACTCGACGATACGTACCGGAAGGAGTGACAGCATTTGGCAGGGTGGTGCGCCGAACGATGTTTCCATTGTTCGTGGCTTCCGGCATCACCTGCGAGAAGGGTGGCTGTGCCAACGTGGTAGCCGGAGGTGGTGGTTCGCGAAGCATCCGTATCTTTTGTATCATTTCGCGTATCTCGTAGCGTAGTATCCCTAAGAAACACAGTTTGGCGAATGCTATTACGCAAAAACCCAAGACGAACAACAAGTCCGCCGTTTTCCTTAGCCATCTGATTAAAGAATCTTCGCAGCCTCTTGCGTACGGTTGCTGGCATGTATCGCTGACATTCGCGCTCGGACCGCAACAAGTCTGCGGCCAACGAGTCCCAAAATCTCTGGGTCCGATCACTCCGCAACAGGAGAACTCCTTTTGTAAACGATCCCATTGTTCGCTGAATCGCAAGTCCTTCCCGTACTCCATCTAGAAGGAGACAAAGAGCTCTGTTAGGTATGGTCGGTCATGGAACTGTGCGAGGCTATAGGCTAATGCACGATGAGGAGTAGACCAGGTTTGGCAGGGTCTAAATTTACCCATCGTCCACCGAAAGGAACGAGGCTCGGTATTTTTAAGCTGATCTCCCGCGATATCGAACTGGTATTTACGGTTTGCCTAAAACATTTATGGGAAAATTTGATGTACGATTTAGTCGGTTTGCTCGTTTCGAACTTGCTTTTTATAAGGCGATTCAAGTAATTTGCTACATACATATGTATCAATGTTGCGTACTTATTTATACAACTGGCACATGCAATTATGTGTAATGAGCAATTTCCATTTGACATTGACATTTTCCTACTGAACTGTATATTCAACAGCTATTTCTTCTGATTCATTTATTTTTGCACAGTCATATTTATCTGATTACATTCTATCGTTACAAGATGTTGATACGTATCTTGTATAACGACAGATACACAGAATAGATTTGAAAGCAATTGCACAAATATTTCATTTTTTATCTGAACTTATGAGAATTCTTCATTTCAAGTATTTTAACGTACTATCTTATCAGAATATTTGATCAACACTTTACAATACTAATTGCAACATACTAATTATCAATAACGAAGTGAGACAGATTTAATACACATTTTGAATATTTTTTTTCTTTGGGGGGTTGAAAGTACCTATCCTTCTGTGGTAGTAATCAATACCAGCTTAGGGGCGTAGCAAATTTTCGACGATAAACTGGCTCGGGCTTCTAATTAAGAAACAGTGAACTAGTTTACAGGGGCCCCTCATTACACGTCAGGATGAAAAATCAGTGTCAGGGAGATTACCAACAATTCCAACCTTTCCCCCGTTTCACCTCGTTTCACCTCGTTTCTCTGTCCGTATCTGCAGTCATTATTCTTAGCCCCGTTCTTATCTAGGTCGATCGCATAATCGAGGAAGAATGTGCGTAACCTGGGATAATCGACCTGAATGTAGAACCATACGATCGCTACATATTCTTCCTCTTTTTCTTTTTTCTTCCTATGTACAAAAGCTTTCTTTTTATCTGCTTTCTTACAAAGCTCGTTCATCGAATTTTTCCTCTACCTTAGATAGTGCTTCTTCCTCAGATTTTGAAGGGTTGAAAATATATAGTGTGTTCATTCAGTAACTCAGCAAGAAAATGCAGAAAAGAGGAAACGTGCCTAAAAGATTCATGTATATTCCTTTTTAGTATTTATTAAAAGATGCAAATTTAAAAGGAAACGTTGCTAACATGCTGTCCGTGTTAATAAAAATTTCAGACATTTCAAACAGCCGGAAGTTATTTAAAGTTTTAACTCGTTCCTACTCGATAAACTGGCGCCGCTAGTTAAAAGTTTCAAGTGGACAGCGCGGTATTTATCGCAATTAAACGAAACTATGTTATTTACAGAAAGGAAAAGTCTGAAGAAATTGATAAGTTTCCATAGTCTTTCAACGATTCTTCTTCGCCAAATGTTTTATTGTATCTTTCAGTTCAGAAGCGATCGATTGACTCCGCTATTCATTAATACATCCTGCTATATCTTCTCTATGATAATTTATTATTATATTTAGCTTCGTTGGAAATTTATTATAATGCTATAATGATCGAAATCTCGTCGATCTGATAATGGAATAATAGAAAAAAAAATGATTGAGAAGTATATGAATCGGTTCATTTGCGAGTTTGAAACGTAGCGAACGTGCAGTTTAATGTCAAACGTTAAAGATGGGCAAGTTCCGTGGCGCAAAGTTGCCAGGAAACACATAAATAGATTCTGAAACGGTATGCCGGCTATGGTATGAATAATATTCCTACTACCTTACAAACTATACCTCACCAGTCTGCGATGTATCGTTCAAATTATAATGAGGCTATGAGTTGAACGTGAAACGCGACAAAATGATATTGATTTTTAACACTGCAACTACCATATCCATCAAAATGATGGATTTTCAGATATATTATAGAGATAATAAATCAATAAAGTATTACATCAATCATTTTTGCAATTTCAAATAAGAAATCTGAAATAAGGTAATCATTTCTTATTTCAAATTGCGTCCAACATAAGTTGTTTTAGCGTTAAAGAAACATAAGCAGTGAAGCAAAAAAAAAATGGTGTTCGATTTTAACTAAAATTTTCGAAAATTGAATAATCTCTTAACGGGTTAACGAGTTAATATTCTAAATTGATCGATCACAATTTACCACCGTCCACCGCTGGTGTTATATCCTATTCGTTGTCATCAAACGATCGATTAAATCGATTTTTTTGACTACCTCACTATATTTTTTATGTTCATCGATCGCAAGCAAACAGGAATAACGTTTGAATATAGCTTTGATCGAATGAAACGGTATAAGCCGTGAGATAGATGAAATTCGTTGACCAAGAGAGAGAAAAAGACGATTTATAATTTAGCCGACACGTTTCAGCTGACAAGAGGGTGTTGGACCTGTTCCATGTTTCCGTAATCGCAACACGAACCTGTCCTTTTTCCTGATCGATATTCCATTGAATGTTACCCAGTGATAAGAGAAGCCACGCCTCCGCGATTCCTCTAGAACCACGGAAACTGATTGCTTCTCTTGCTCCGCCTTAACGCGACTAGCCAAGAAAGAGTATCTAGTTCGAAAGAGATTGACTTCAGAAGGATCTCTGCTACTTCCGGTATTCTCTACTAGAGGGATCATTCGCGATATAAACATTCTCGCAAGTACTTGCTCGGCTATTCGTCCAAACGTTCGTTATTTCGAACACCAGGAAAAGTAAAAGAATATTTTCTGAAAGTTTAATATAAAAAGGTATCTTGGTATCCTCTTCCAGTAGTTTCATACACACGCAACTTCATGCGAGCGACGATCATTTTCCAACCGTTCAAGGAGTCTTTCAAGATTCTTAGCGACGATAAGAGTGTACTACATCGACTTCGTCGATGCTTTTATTCGAGAAGACTCGAACACCACGTTGTTGACTCAGTTCGAGTCGAGTCGGTTTTATTCGATCGTAAGAAAGCTAAACGCGATCGTAAGGTTGTTGATCACATTATTACCGATTCGCTCATTGCCAAAACGAGCCACTTATTCGATGCTTAACGACAATCTCACCTAACCCTCGTACATCACCAGTTTACCCAGGCGTCGAGCATTAAAATCATCGTCACACGTTTCAGGATATTCCACGATTCTCCTGACAGTAGGAAGCTACGAGAGAAGCTCGTAAAAGGGAATTGCTTGGTATCTTCATCGTATGCGGCTCTAAACAAATTTCCACCCTAATCGCGTCTACCTAGCTTGGATATTCTCTGAACAATAAAGCGACGTATATCACTGAACTGCTTTGGGTTAAGTCCACGTTGCATTATGCTCGGTGAAATGACCAAATAAAATCGCTGTTTAAGAACAGTGTCCAAGATCGATTCGAAGTTTACTATAAGAAGTCTGTTCCTTTCCTTGGAACGTCCTGTATGCGAGGACGTGAAAATATACGAGTCGAATCGATGTTCATTTTACGGGTTGTGAGAAAGAGAAATCGAAACGAAAGAACTTGATTCTTGTTTATATAGATTGGATCGTTTATTTATTTTAGACATAATTACTCTACCAAATTACTGCCCTCTAAATTGAATATTCTGGAGGACTATGGGTCGATGATGTATAATTGAATTAAAGTGTGCTTAAATTAATATTTAAATCAGACCATCTGTTCCTCTTGTAAAATTTCAATTGTACGTAGAATTGTAGAATCGAGAAAATTATAGGGGGAAAAGAATTTGATCGATTGAGCAACTGGGTCAGGATTGAAATCCAAATTAGAGACTAACAGTGTAGTCTATAGAGCTGGTTAAACTACAGTAGGTTTGCGTATACGATACAACGGAGACTCTTTCCGATGAATACAGTAGATGACCATATAACACAGACCCTTCTGTGATGTGGCTTTCTGCTACAGGTTATAGAAGATTAAGAGTAGAGAAGATTGCAGGGAGGAAAGAAAGAAAGTAATTTGAGAGTACATCTCAAACTACCCTAACAATGTAGTTTCCTGAACCTAATGTTCCAAATGGCTACACCGTCTAGACTATTGCTGTCCATGGCTGATCTTTTCTCCCTTTGCTTTCTGTCGTTGAGATGATCATTCGTTATCGTTCAACGCGTCTCTAGAATATTCCCAAGTATTCCTCAGAATAATCGAAAGCTATCAATTGGTCAGAACCCAACAGAAAGGAAGATAAAAAATTCTTACTAACCTGGAGTCGTTGTCGGAGGGTGGGTTTCAACTCGGCGCGCATCCTCTCGAACCGGAAGACCCAGGCGACTCCAATGACAGCGTCGCCAAAGAGAAGCGCCAATAGCAGGACCCAGTAAGCGTTTAACAGCCTGGCACTTAATCTTCTGGCAGCTATGCAACCCAGTAACTGTACCAGGCCCAATTGCGTGGCTAGGGCGAGATAAGCGTAAAGCGCTGTCGGATCGAATGCCCTCGGTACCCCGGGCACCAGGTAACGACGCGGATCACTGGTGAACAAAAGAGTTCGCGAGACCGCGGCGGCGAAGCCGAGCGCGCTACCGAGCAGCACCAAGTTACAGGTGTAAATCCAGAGCCGGTAATATCGCATCGCGACGTCCTGGCCACAGTCGGCGCGTCTTTGCGACGTCACCGACGCCGCCCCCTCGTCAGCCACGTACGAGCGATTACTGTCTCTTCGATTATCCCCTTTGAGAACGTTGTTATTGTTGTTATTGTTGTTGTTATTGTTACTGTTATTGTTGTTGTTGTTGTTGTTGTTATTGATGTTGTTATTGTGGTTAGTTGTAGTAATGGTGATAGTGGTGTCCGTGGAGTTTCGATGCTCCTGACGGTCGTCCAGCAGGAATAAGAAGGGTGGCTTCGCGCTGCAGTCCTTGTTCGCTGTCTTTTGGCTGTACGTCGACTGCGGGGTGACTGAACGTTCCAGCAGCATCACCGTCATACTATCGTGCCTCCCTGGTACGCGTGTCCTCGTCGTTAAGGATTATACCCCGGGTAGAATGGAAGCGAGAGCGAGTTGTAGACTTAGAGAGAGTGGAACAGCCAACGGGCAAGGGTGTGTATGTACTCGGAGAAACGGCGTGTGTCACGCGAGCCACATTATGCGCCCTGACACCGGCATGTTCCTTCAGCTTCGTGGATAACGCTTTGCTCTTCCCCTCTGATTGCTGATTCAACTTATTTCTTCCTTACGACCGCGATCACGATCACGAGGATGATTCCTGAGATAGAAAGCAAGAATATCGAAAGAGATACCTTTGGCTAAGGGTGAGTGCAGGGGTAGGAGATTTTAGGAGAAGCTAGGTACACACTGTAGATAGATGTTAGGTTGCTCGCTTGATAGTTTGTAGCGAGCAATCTGTGTTCAGTGGGTTAGGAGATTGCGTCGTCTTTGAATTAATAGATTGATTAGGACTGGTTTGATTAGGGATTAGCAGGGGCAATCCATTTGACTACGAGACCTTGTAGCGTTACATTCTACGTTACAAGAATATACTGGGTGTCAGATAAATACTTTACAGGGTATGATGTATGGTAGATTTATTAATGGTCTTTTATGCATCAATAAAAATTGCATGCCTCACAGTTTCGTGGGCAATTAACATCGATCGGTACCAAACGTTTCTTTCCAACAGGAATTATAAGTTAGGATAGATTTATGTATCTAGACAATCGAAATTAATGGTACTTCATTTAAATTGATAGACTGATAGAGTGTGTCTATAACAAAACGATCTGTTTTTGTTTCAACAGGAGACAAGAATATCGAAGCATCGGCGTTTCTCGGCCGATTCGTGTCAACGATGTAAAACAATAAAGTTCCTCGATAGAGGACGATTTATCTTGCGGAATATCGGACAGCAGACCGTCACGGTTCTATGGGTCTGCTCTCGAGAAACGAGACGGGGTCGAGAGAATGTCGAAAATTGATAAAAATATCGTCTGGGGTAAATGAAACGTTCGCGACACGTACGAAGCGTACGTCAATAAAGTCGCGCGCGAATAACACGAGCAGGAAAAGCAATAAAGCTGGCTGATAAAGAGTGTGCAACACCAGTTTTCGATATCGGCTATAAACAGTAGAAAAATATGGGAAATTAATCTGTGCACCTTTGTTGGGCAAATTGATCGGCTAAAATTAAGTGACTTATTAGGACGTTTCATAAATAATCCCAGTATTCGTATTCCTTTTTATTTATTTTTTTTCGGCAAATTTTACAAAGGGCGCGCACGAATGTGACTTATCTAACGTAGCAGGGTGTCGCCTAGATAGCAGGAGTAATTATTAGCTTTTCACCGTGATAGATCACGTTGAAGTAACGACACGAGCAGCTTGCCAGCGTGTACCTCGCTAAATTGTATTTCTTTCTGACAGTTCTAGCGTGCAATAGGCAATTCTCTTATCGATCCCTTGACGACTGGTTGTGCGCGTCACGTTGCCTTCTTCCAGGCTAATACAGGGACCGAAACAAAACGAAGGAAGTTGGAACGATAAATATCCCAATAACGAATCTTCGGAGATGAAAATTATACGACTTGGTGAAACTTGGGGAGTGTGCTAATTAACGCGAAAGTCTTTGAGTTCTGCAGCTACCCTAGTACTAGGTACAAACTTTTATCACTTGTGATTTTATAAGTGAAACTTCACTTTTCAATACAGTTAATTGGAAAGGAGAAGAAACCCTGTCTATAAAATAGAATTTTTATCGGTTCGACGTTGCACATGAAGATATTTTTAGAAAACGTGGAAGATGTTACGCTTCCTGAATGTCAATTGTTCCTCGCCTATACTCGTTTTGCTCTGACGTACCGTACAGGTGTACAGAGGTTCGATATTCATAGAGAAAACGATGAAATATGACGCAGAGGTGATGATATTTTTTCCAGAGATTATTTTCAACATAGGTGTACAATTTTCACTGGATCGAATATATCGTGTTTCTCATTAGAGCCGAGTTAGCTTCGTTTGATTCAAATTAGAGGGAAGGAGGCTCGTTTATAGGAGAAACGAAGCGTATTTTTTCTTCCTCCAAAGGAGATAAATCAGACTTCATCAGACACTCTACCCACATCATATATCCTCGTACTAACCTCGATCAACCTCGTTTCCCTATGCAAGGAAACAAATTGTACCGGTAAAAAGAGGAACTCGGCGCTAGATTACTTTAAATAAATGATGCTTGTACGCGTGCAGAAATACGTTACCCCGAGATGAGGATCGCTAGACCCAATTATAAGAGGAATACGAAAAGAGGAATTGTTAACTCTTTAACTAACTTGTAAAAAAAAAAAAGAACAGATTCGACCGTAAAAATTTCAGTGACCACGGAATTAAGATCGGTGAACAGGAAACGTATCGTCCAACCCCAAGATCTTATACAAGAGAAACATATACGACACCGATCTGAATTAACGAGTACGTATAAAGGAATTGTTGGCACAGCTCGAAGAACGAAGAGAGCCAAGCACGTGTGGTTGAGAATCACTGCAGCAGAGTTCTCGAGCTCGTGTCAGAATATATGTAACCTACGTGGATGGATAAACATACAGGAGAGGGTGGAGAGAAGTGGAGAGAGACGATACATGCACCTATGCTTCAGAATGCCCACGCGTCCCTCCTTCTGTATAAAGGGTGTTCCACATTTTTCCCGCCAAATATTAGAAACGCGCACGATGATATTTCGAAGGCATCAGGATCGAAGCTAGGTCTGGGTGAAGAATTTTATTTAGAAACACTGAACGATGCGGTAATGAATGCCTGCACAGTAGCTCATTGTGGAAGCCATAAACGAAATGAATAAATCTACGTATCCTTCATTCAAACATGATCGTGACATTTCGTAACGAAGCTCGATAACTTATCAATGACAATGGTGAAAGTTGAACAACTTCAACGAACCCGGACAGTCCTATTCTGCTTGTGACACGACACTAATCGTCACAGTGTTGAACAAAACTTTAAATGATCTACGTTTATTTGATATTTGTATCTAAAGTACCAATAGGAGAAAGCTTGGACACCCTGTACCTATACCTGTTCTGTGTCGTGTGGATCTAAGAAAAGAAAAAGGGTAAACAGAAACGATGGCAGGGAGGGTGTAGGGGGGTAAGGAAAATCTGTTCGTCGACAGATTTGCCAGGATCCAAGGGAAAAGGAGAGAAAGAGGAGGCACGTTGTTGTTGACTATCTATGGCTGTAAAGTACAACCCTCTCGGTGCATCGATGTGTGTTGTACACTGGGGAGCCGAGAGTGGTGCATTGTAACGAAACACGGAAGAAAGTTAAGGGCTCATCGATCGTTTAAGCCGTCAGCGCTTGCTCGAGTCGAATACACGAACCGGCCAAAAGGAAACGCGGCAAAACGTGGAGAGGACAGATTTTCGACAACGATTCTCGCTTTAACCCCCACGGCCATTTCTCACCACTTCTGACCAGCTGTTCTCCTTCTCTTATATAGAAAAGCGAAGCATTGCTTGACATCTCTGTACTTGCTGCAATTTGTTTAATAAATTGTCGCTATATTTAAATTTAATTCTGAAATATTAATTCAGACTTAAATTGTTGTATTGTTACAAGATAAGTAGTGCAATGAGAAGAATTTGCTAAAGAAGAAGAAATGGAACAATGTATCAAGACTATGTTCACAGTCAATGCCCTGGTCAATGTCCAGCTACCTAAGTTCATACAGTACCATTGAAACGATTCTCTTCTGTTTCCTAGATCAACATGAAGAAAAAGAGGAAATGCTCATGAAACTGGTGGCAAAAAAAGTGAAGAGAGGTTCGACCTTGTCCAACGAATTAAACGACATCCGTGAATGCCTCCGTGGAGAATAGGACGGTGTCTTTTTTAATTAAAATTCCTTTAGCCAGAGGAAAGCTGAAGCAAGATAGGTGGGAAGGGAACCAGGAAGAGGAGCAGCCTAGAAGAGCTTTTAATTAGCTATCGGCCCGAATGTTTGTTACCATTTGAAGGAGAACTGACCGAAACGAAAGGAGGGAAACGTTGAAACAGCGAGGAGAGTGGGCGAGTTAGTTGAGGAGAGGGTGCGAGAGGAGGAGGAGGGGAGTGACGTTATGCAATCCTCCTGGCGACCTTCCTGAAGGAATTTATCGTCGTTTTTTCTCGATTCATTTTCTTTTCGCGAATTTATACAACGCCTATTCCAGTCACGACCCCACCTCGTTCGCTCGCACCCTCTTTTCAACCTTACTCACACCTTCGCTTCCTAACATCGGACGGTATTTCTACCGGAGGGACTTGGATCTATTGGCTCTAATCTGGAAATTCAATTTCAGCTCACAGATTTATGCTGTTCCATTAAAATATTCATGAAAGAGGAAACAACGTACGGGCACTCTAATCTTCCTACTTTGAGGGATCTTCAAAAGGCAATGGAGATCACTTGAACGCCTGCCGTGAAAGCTTTTCCGACGCACGGACACGTGACTGACCCCCGGAATCAGGAAACGCGTGTAATGAGAAGGAGGAGAAGCGCGTTAATGAAAAGGTGGCGTGGTAGAGACCTTTCGAGAATCCCAGCAGCTTTGTTACTGACCTTTGCGCTAGCCTTTTGGTCTGTTGTTCACGGTTCACCGTTAATTTGACACGCACATCGTTAGTCGCAGCTCACAAATATCACGATTAGAATCAAGAAGTTCGGACGTGCCCGATGCTATCGGCGAGACGAAGAGGAAGGTGATAGCCGCGTCACGTCTATAATCATCGCCGCGACCGCGAGCCTCGTCGAGACTATTATCCTCGTCGCTCATGCCAGTAGCACTGGCTTTCGCCGTTTGCCTCTGCTTCGGCTGCTCCTTATAGCCCCGTGCCCCTTCACCGCCATGATCTCACACGGTTCGTCGTCCGCGTCGTCCTCATCTTCTTTGATCTTCGGCTAACGTTCGTCGAGATGCTGCTGTTAATTCTGTTGCTGTTGGCAGACTGTTCGCCGAGCCAACAGCTGTATCGCATAGCGAACAAACGGGCACTAAAGGGTACACGAACACGTACGACGCGTTGATCAAGCCACGACGATATGGTACTCTCGCGGATTCGCACTTAATAATTCTCCTCCCTTGCTAGATCAACTGACACCGAGTTCGTTCGAGTTTCACCTTGATGTGAAAGGTGTTTCTTGTTTCTTGTCCACTAGAGTGGAAGAAAGGAAAAGGCGGCTGGCATCGGGGGAAATAGAAGTCCGTCGCGCACAGGGGTGGCTGTCAACAGCGCCCGAGGTAGGCAACCGGACTGACTCGCGCTGCACGGTGTCGGCGACAGACAGCGCGACCACCGACCAGACGAAGACCGACCGACTGCACTCGATAGGGATAAAACGAGAAAGAAAAACAGCGAGAGACGACGGTGGCCACTGGCGGCTGCCAACGAGCTGGATAGTGCGAGAGAAAAGACGCTGATGGAAGGGAGAAAGCTCGACGAAGGGGGGGTGCGAAAATGATGGAGCACGGTGAAAGGTGAATTGAAAAGAGACGGAAGTACTTGGAAAATCTGGCAGTGTACGAGAACAACGATGGAAAGGGGTTGCGAGAGAAGGAACTAGTCGGAAAGTCTAATGGTGTGCGAGAGGGATAAAGGAGGGGGGTGGGGTAATGAACATAGAGAGAGGGAGTTAAGGAGAGACAACCAACGTGGACTCGAGAGAGACAGAATCAGCTGGATCTACCGAGAGTAGGGAGTATCAGGGGTAGAGGATTCGAAAGCTCAGGATAGAGGGAGCATTAGTGTTATTGGAAAGAGGAGACTAACTGAAAGATCGGTGGAGCGAGTGAGAAAGGAAGAAAGTTGAGGGGAGAAAGCTCGACCGGAGGAGAGAGAAAGTGTACGGAGGAGAAGAGAACGAAACGAGTGGTAGGGAGAAAGCTCTACCGAGAGGGCGGAGAAATGAAACGAGAAGGGAAATGGTAGATCCAAGTGGTAAGAAAGAGATGGAAAACAGAGGGGCGTAAGTTGCTAGTGGAATTAGAAGAAGCAAAACATAGAGAGGGAAAGGAAAGAGACAACTATGTTAGAAGAGAGAGGGAAAGCTTGAGAGAAATTTGGAAAGAGAAAGTTGTACAAGATGAAACGAAATGAGAACAAAGCACAATAAAAGGTAAAGGGATGTGGTTTTATGAAGAGTCAAGTGAGAAAAGTAAATCATGCGATAAAATTAAAAACGAAAATACATTCGTATAGACAATTCAAAAAAAAAAATAAAAAATAAATAAAGCAACATTTCAAAGAAATTTCAAAGAAATATTTTCAACAGAGGACAATGAAAACCAAGTTAGAGATGAAAAAATGTTTGACAAAACAACAAAAAATGATACGATACAAAGGAAGAATAAAGGGAAAACAAGAAGAGCTTGTACAGGGGTTTCTTCTTCAGCAACGAGTAGCAGCCTTCTGCTCGATGACTTCACAAGTACCTTCAGATAGAATGCTTGTCTCATAATTGAATCATTGTTACGAAGAAAAAAAGAAATGAAAGCACGACAAAGAGTCGGAGACTGTTGGTCTCTTTGAAAAATTCCCGCGTTTCACGTATTTATTGTCGGCATTTCAGGTGAAGAGGATTAATCCTTCGAACGTGATGTCCGTGAGACAGGGGCACGTGTTATAGATCTAGTCACCCTCGACAAACGCTTTATGTTATGCCCGTCTATGCTTCACACTATCATTCGCAACCCTTAATACAAAAACATATACAACTCTTTAAAAAAAATATTTTCTTTTTATTGTTAATATGTAAGCTTTCAAGCTAATGTTTGAAAAGGAGAGGAAGCATTCTCCAGCAGTATAGAAGGTCAATTTATCTCTGATCGCTTACCATTTACAATGTAGAATTCGAAAGACGATCGATCAATCGAGCCCCGTGGTATTCGACGCACGATTAGAGCAGCGCATCTTTTCCATATTCCGGATCAATAATCGACGTATTCTTTCAGGACGATGGTAGAACGCATGCCGGTAGAAGCAGAGAAAGTTGCGGTGGGGTCGGACGGAACGTCGCCAACGCCTTGATCAGCCTTGGTCTAAACGGTACACGGTTAATATCCGTCATTGGTAACGACCAGCCTGGGAAAGCTATAATTAAAAGCCTAGGAGATGGTGGCCAAACCGTCGAGCAGTTGACGAATATGAACACGGCTAGGTACGTGTACACCTTGCCCCGCAATTGTGTACACAGATCATTCTTCAAATATATCCTTAAAATTATTGTTTACATAAATGAGATTTTCCAGAAGGATCAACATATAGTATAAGAAAGGTTCCTTGCGATGCTTGCGGTTCGTTTGTTGCAGAGAAGGGAAAGTATAGGGTAGCAGGATTGTTTTTCTGCAATGTTGAATCCGGAGACAGTAAAAACCTCGTCATTATCTTTAATAGCTTATTGCTTTCTGTAACAAATAGATCAAAATAACTATTGACCTCACAGGGTCAGTAATCTTCTATAGAAATTCTCTTTTACCATCCACAAACTTATTCCTTCACACCTGGATAAAATTTCTTTCTATGTCTTTCTTTTATTTTTCTGATTCAAGATGCACGGTGATAATCGACTACAGAGGCGAGTGCCATTTTATAATCGATGAGATGGAAATATTGGCCAGTATTAGCCCAAATTTGATAAAGAAACACCAGTCGCTTGTAGAAAATGCAAGCTTCATCGTTCTCGATGGTAATCTGCCTGCGGACACTATTAGTTACGTACTGGATCTCGCAGCGTGTTCAAGAATACCAGGTAAGTGGTATCTTTTATTGTTGTTTATTGGAACAATAATCTCGTGTGATTGATCGTACTTTCAAAGTATACAAAATATAAAATTTTTATATAATAATATTAAAAACTATATAGTACAAAATGGTAATGTATCATTATATATCTAACATTCTTAGAGCATTTTATAACTATGATGTAAATACGTATAAACAAATTTCTTATCCTAAAGATATAGTTTACTAAAAAAAAAAAAAAAACGTGGACGGAATTAAATAGTATTAATGAAATACACGCAGATGAACTCAGTTGCACGATGATGGTCGTGTAACGTAATAACTTTGAAAGCAGATCTATGATTTTAATTAAAACTCATTCTGCAATTAAATACTTTTTCAATACTATGATGGTGACAATCAGTTATATGTATCCTCCCCTTGATAAACCTTGATGGCTTTGCGGATTAGGCTGCATTTGCATAACTAAATTATGAGATTCTTTACGCAATCTGTAGCCAGCTTTTGCATCTAGATACAAGAAAAAAGCTGCAAACCAGTGGAACATAAATGAGATCACTGCTAAACCATATGACCATGACAAATGGTTGAAATTTGGATACATTAACCAATCTCTGCGCCAGCATTGCCCTCCAAAGATTGACACTGCTAGAAACAACAGTGTGCCTGAAAATTAAAAATTACAATGATGAATTGTATATATAGTTTATGTATTGTATTGAAGAAATTTCTATTTACCTGCTGATGCACAACACAAAAAGGCAGTTGCAGAGAGAAGCCATTCATAGTTTAATACAAATTTCAAAGGCCAACGAACTAAAGTCAGTGCAATTACAACTTGGGCAAAGAATGAGAGCAAAAGAGCAAGGGTTACAAAAGCTTGAACTATCATTAGCCAGCCTGGTAATAACCACTCTCGAATCACATGATATTCCTCAGAAAAGATGTGATGACATCCATCAAATTGTTTGTCAAACTGATAATATGGATATCGAAATTGTTCAAAGCAATATTCCCAAAGTCCCATATGCTTAAAATTACTAAAGGTTTCTTGATAAGACTGAATCCAATAGGGGCTAAAAATAAATGAACTGTGAATAATTGTAGAAATAATGAAGATCATATAGTTACATACTGAATAATTCATAAGCAACTCTTTTTCAACAATTTTTATATTCAATGATTTTTAATATTTAAAAATTATTACCTTGTAAATGCCATTACCAGTAATAAACCAGCAATGTATGTGATAACTCCCCCAAAAACTACCGCATCTAGAAAAATATAATGAAAAATTAGCAAGGGTTAATAGTTTTCAGTTGACGTGACAGATACAAATTATATTTACTTACTTGACGCGCGATGATACTCTTGCTTATCAACAGACATATTGATTGTTTGCTCTATTAAGTATAAAAATTACTGATCTACCTCGATAAAACGTGTTGTTTATAAACTTGAGAAATATGTACTGACTTTGTCGTTTTGCCACACCTTTCATTGCTTCAGTGGTACCAATAACATAATTTACTTCATATACTCTTAGATGGCTCTGTATGCCTAAATTCAGAAGTTCCCTAATTTCTACTCATTTTTCTAATGAACAGATATAAAATAGGGTAGATACAAATAAAAATATATTTCAACATTTAATTTAATCTTTATTTATATAAGATATATTACAAAAATGTATGTATTGCGCTTTGTGTGAAATAACAATTTTAAAGAAGACAAATATTAATAATCAACTAACATATTTCTATTACAAGTCTTTGCAAATTTGTTAGGTATAAAATAACCAGTGGCAGTAGATGTTTACATTGCAGAAATGATATAATATTCAACAATTTACTATATGTGCAATCTAAGGTTAATATTTTCATTGAATACAACTGAGATTATTTCCTCCCAAGTTGTTAAAACTCTTATTAAACTTATGAAAGTTTTAACATTTATTATTAATTTTTAAATGTGTATGCACAATAAAAGCAATAATAAAATGATTGTACAGAAATACTTCTGTACTGTTTTAATGTCCTTATGTGTAAAAATGTTGTACAAAAATACAAATCTTGTTTCACAATTTACTTTGTACTAAAGTAACAAAAATCTTATAATCTACTATCATTAACAGCTAACTAATACATGGACGGAATGGTATTACAAAATTTTGGTACTGAAGTATTGTGCAAGTCTTATATGTTAAAAATACTCTATTCACGTACGAGATTCAAGTTGAAATCTTGTTTGAGATTCTTTCAAATATTCTCGTTTTTTGCGCTGAACATTTGCTTCAATAAGAAATAGTATACCAGTTATAATAGTTAATACACTGCCTGCAGCTGCCATTATAAATGACCAACCAAAAAAGTTGTTTGCATGTCCAGGCATCCAGCCTTCAGTGTTTCCAAAACAGGCAAATATGATTACTGCTATTCCACCGCTTATACCACCAATTAGCAACAGATATCCAATGGTTGTTATAAGTTGTACATATCGTTTTTGTTCTGGATCACTGCATAAGGTATACAATAATATTAATATAAATGATATAAGACCAAACAGGAAACACAAAGTATAGAAAAACTGTGTTGCTATCATAAATGCTGTAACAAAAGAATGTTGACAGTTAGATAATTGAAGAATAATGAACATTATTTATACAAATAATCGAAATTAAGATGAAAAACTCACGAGGTAATAGAAAACCACGAATATCAGAGTAACCTGCGGTAAAAGGATCGTACACCCATCTACAGCCAACGAAAAAACGTCTGGGTGCATCCATTTCTTGAGGGTTTGGAAGAGATTTAAAGCAGTGCGTCCATAGTCCTAATTTATCGAGTTTCGCGCCAGTGATACGATAATCGCTCACTAACCATGCTGGTGTACCAAATGCAACGCATACACACACGAAGGCGACGATAAAAACACCGACGCCACAGTTGCCGGAGAAGCTTCTCTTCTTCATCGTGAAAAATCTTTTGGTGAATGATGAACGTTACAGTGTGGAGTAGCGAGTATGACAAACAATTCAAATCTACTGATCTAGTAAAGATCCCACGGTATTAAAACCACACCCAAACACGTTATGTTGTGTAGTGACCATGTAGTGTACCATCTAACCTAACCTTGTAAAAGTGAATATCCCACGAGTAGAAGCTACCATTTACTACAAAGAAAGGGTTCTCAATCTTGTCATTAAAATACCTAAAATGTCAATTGACATTCCTATGAAGTATCTCTTCTTTTTACTGATAAATACTTAATAAATCAACAATAATAATGGCTTTTTTATTCTAATGCTAATACAGTAATAAATACAATAATACATTTATTTATATAGTTTCGTATGAATCTTTCATCAAGATTCTCGGAACATGCATTACTGGTTGTGTCATTCTGCTTGTGATTCATTATAATACAATTTACATGACAAAATCATACTTGACACATTCTGTTTCTCTGTATAGTATTAGAAGAGCAAAACAATACAGAGAAAGAAAATTATAATTTTCATTATTTCTTTAATCAAATAAAATAGGATAACGCCCTTAATAATACCCCTTTCAAATAAGATCGATTATAATATGCGGAATTGTAGAAATTGTTGATTAAAATAGAAGCTAAAATGGGCCAACGACTTAAATGTAACGTCGATCTTCGTACACACAATCTTAGCCGTAACTCACGTTGAATTATTTTCTCCGATAACAAAATGGGTCACAACTTGACCGAATTTATACTTTAACAATTTATTTTTTCTTGTAAATTTCATCCATCAATATTTCTCTATTAATTAGAAAAGATCTCGATAATAATTTGTTTTGCTTATTTTTGAAGGAAGTAACAAATTTTAAACAAGTTATTTTATTGATTCAACTTTTCATACAACTTTTTTATATAAAAGAATAGAACAAATATATAATATTTGTTTACATTAAGATCATGCAGTATTTTTGTTACATAATTAATACTATTTATATTTACAGACTCTTAGTCTCTTTTCATAAAATCTCTTACTTCTATGGACGGATTTATTAGCATTAATTACTTTACAAAACAAATAATAAATGTATAATATGCGTGTTAAATATTCTGTTAAAAGGTATAAAATACTTCTTTCACTGATATGATTTTCTGTAATCATAAAAAGGTGCACAAATACAAAAAAATAAAAGAGTATAAATATCAAAATATATGATAGTCTTTAAAAATCTATATAAAGATTAATTAATGTAAATTTAAATATGTATATTTGAACTCAGAGCTATGTGTAGATCTTTGATGATGTAAATAACTTAGCATTGATTCATGTTTCTCATTAATGAACACTATATTCAAACTAGATGGTTGTATGAGTTTTCTGATCTTGGTTCAATATTCTTTCCTGCTTTTTCTTATATCTGCGGCCTTCAACTAGAAACAGTACACCTGCTATGACCAAAATAAAGCTACCAATCACAGCTAGTGCATAAGACCAACTTATATCATTATGTTCCCAATTGGGCATCCAATCTCTACCATCACCTCGTGCACCAAATATTATAACAGCTATAATGCCACATATTCCACCTAATGTCAAATTTCCACCAGTTGTCCACAAGAGCAACAGGAATTTATCATGATTCCGTGAACAACATGTATATAATATAGTTAAGAAACATCCTATTAATAATAGAGTCAAACACAATGTGAAGAAAAACTGAGTTGCAACAAAAAAGTGTGGTAGAAGAATGTCATGAATTATATAATATTCTTCTTCAAACACCCACCAACAACCATAAAATTTCGTATCATATAAGTGATGGGGGTGCTCAAATCCTTGAAAACACACTTGCCATAATCCTATAATAACAAGAATTTGTTATATTACAATATAGGAATTTATTTTTTTAATTATAATGTAAACATTTAAAACTCTTTACCAATTTTAACAAATTTTGGATTTTCCAATTTTCCGTCTGTTTCAAGCCAATTGGGTGTGGTAAATGCGATCACAATCAAAACAAATGCAAGTACTGTGAAAGTAACTGCAGCTTTTCCGTTTCGAGTTTTACCCATGATTTAATTCTTAATTTAATAATGCTATAAGTATTTTCTACTTAATTTTTATTCTCTTTGCGAATAAAAAAATATTATTTTCTTGTTTTAATTGCAGCGTGCGGTTATGTTGAAATTTGTACACATACAGTATCCTACACACTGCATCTTCTTAATGAACTAAAGCTTTCGTAGATGTTCATCCGTACAAGACATTTTTAGCGCCTCAGCAGCGCTCCGCGTTACAATGGATAATATCCAATAAATTCGCGGGTTTATTTGTGCATTAAGTGGGGGCGTACAATAATCATAATATTCCAACTATTTGTTTTAAATAATCTAACATACATAATGTTTTGATTTCAGTATGGTACGAACCTACGGATATAAATAAGGCAACTAAAGTATTTGAAGCAAAATCACAATGGCAAAATGTTTTACACTTTATATCTCCAAACCGAAACGAATTATCAGTTATCGGAAAGTATTTTGGTATACCAATACCTGAAAATAAATCAATTATGGATTTAGAACAAATAAAAATAATTGCAGAACAAGTAGCTGAATTTATTCCAGTAGTTGTAGGTACATTAGGATCACAAGGAGTACTGGTAAATATTTAATACTTGCTAAAAGTAAACCTAATGATATTTAACATAATTAACTAACATTTAATATTGTTTTTTGCAGATTGTACGCAAAGCCTTGGGGAATGATCCTTTTTATGATAAAGAAGGCAAATTAATTGCAAACAATATGATTACTTCACGTTTATATCCACCGTTATCCTACATTCCTGACTATTCAAATGAAACGTTCAGTGTAAGTGGATGTGGAGATTGCCTTACTGCTGGAATAATTTATGGAATTCATAAGAATTTAGACGAAAGGTGTTGTCTTTCTTTAGCTTTAAAGGCTGCTGCACTTTCTTTAACTTCGTTAGATGCGGTTCCAAGTTCACTTTCCCTGTTATGCAATGATGTCAAATGTTGACAAATAGAATAATTATTACAAATCAATTTTGAAAATTTGTATAACCTTTTTTCATATGCGCATAATTAAATATCGTCAAAATAAAGATTTTGACAAGTAATCCAAGATTTTAAGATCTGCGATTTTGTTGCTATACGAAACACGAAGTGTTTCACATTTTTATATTAGGACGAAGCAAATGGCGCCCGTTTTCAAGGCCCAAATTCAAGACCCCTTGAAAACAAAAGCATGTATAATCCTGTTGGATCTGTAGTCATTGGTCCAATCTTGGTCTATGAATATAACATTCATGGAAGTACGCCCTAAAGTACATAACCAAGAACACGTGGATGTGTTTTTGCGGAATTTATTTAATTAAACGTTATTAAATATGTGCGAAGAACAGAAAGTACAATACTTGGTTGTTGATACAAGTGCTTTCATTAGAAATGCAGCGTTACAGGTAAAGTTTACCTCATAATAAAAATAATAATTTTCTAATTTTAATAAAATAGGTAATATTCCAACAATAAAGATATACATTTTTCAGAATATTGGTGTTAATATAATAACAGAACAAGATGTAGTGAACGAAGTTACAAGTAAAAGACAATTAAGAAGATTAGTTGTTCTACCATATGATTTAAAAATACAAAATGCATATCCTGAAAACATCAAATTTGGTAATGAAATTTATTTTTGTCTAAATAATATTTCTAAGTATAAATGTAATATAATCTTTATATTATAATCATAGTTACAGAGTTTTCCAAAAAAACTGGTGATTATGCTAGTCTATCAGCAACAGATATAAAAGTAATAGCATTAACATATCAATTAGAGAAAGAAAAAGTAGGCTTGGATCATTTAAAACAGGAACCAGTGATAAAAAAGATTGTAGATACCAGTGTAGAAAAAACAGAGAATCTTACCAAACCTGTAGCTGGTTTTTATATGCCACAGAAAAAAGTAGGTATAGCTTTTTTAAGTTAACAAAAATATACTTTAGTATGAGAGTCAAATATTTTCCATCTATAGGAAAACATTAATGAAGAAAATATAGAAAAATTTGGAAAAAGAGAATGTTTGGAAGATAACAATAAAGAAATAGAAACAAATTTAAGGAAAAATGTAAAGAATACTGATAATGAAGAAGAAGATTCAGAATCTTATTTTAGTCAGTCTTCTGATAATCTTGAATCAGATTATGAAACTGCTGATTCTGATGTGGATCAAAGTAGAACCAAAGATTTATCTACTAAATTCTCAAAATTAAATTGTGAGTCAACAGAATTTGTAGTTCATGATAAGAACAATATGGAGCACAATGCTGATGACATTCTGGTTCCTGTTAATGAAATCAGTAATGATGGAAAGGATGAGTATGAAGATTATGATGATGATGATGATGGTGGTGAAGGTGAGGATGAGGATTATGATGATGATGATGATGATGATAGTAATGGTAATGATGATGATGATACTGGCTGGATTACACCAAGTAAGATCTTTACTATATTTCATGTTTGGATTGTTTCTATGTGACATATAAACAATGTTTGTTCTAGGCAATATTTGCAGTATAAAGAAAGAACTTGATTCGGAACTTCTTGAACTGAAACCTGCAACAGTAGCATGTTTAACAATGGATTTTGCAATGCAAAATGTTTTAAAACAAATTGGACTGAATGTAGTTTCATTAGATGGAAGAATGATTAAACAAATGCGAACGTTTATCCTTAGGTGTTATGCATGTTTCAAAACTACCAGTATTATGACAAAAGCATTTTGTCCTAGTTGTGGTAATAAAACGTTAAAAAAAGTAGCGGTCACATTAAACGAAGAAGGAAAACAACAAATTCATATCAATTTCCGAAAACCGATTTCGAAAAAAGGAAAAAGAGTAAGATATTTAGATTTCTTTCTTTCTATGATACCTATTTGTATAAACATATTTTATTTAATAATTTGCAGTTTTCTTTACCAATGCCAAAAGGTGGGAAACATGCAAATAATCCCATACTTTGTGAAGATCAACCTCTACCTGATCAAAGACTATCAAGACTTGCACGTGCTAAAAATGATCCTTTGCAAGATGATTATATAGCTGGATATTCGCCATTTATTATGCGTGATGTGTATTCTAAATCAGCTATGTTAGGGATACGAGCAGGAGGTTCTATTAAATATTGGATGAGGAAAAATCCAAACGAATGTAGAAGAAAAAGAAAATAATTCTTATCATTTTTGTACACCGTATTTTAAATAGTATAAACGTTCATAAAATATAAAATATTTCCTAAAATATATGCATATAAAGAGAATATCGTACATTAATTTTTTATTTCAGTACGTAAACGTTTAAGCAAAGAAGATACATCGATTATTTTTAAAATCGTAGGTTTCAAATATTTATTTAAAAAGTTAAATATTTAGTAAAATATAAGCTTGCACATGAAGAAAAAAAATTTGCTCCGGGTGAGGATCGAACTCACGACCTTAAGATTATGAGACTTACGCGCTACCTACTGCGCTACCGAAGCCCTTGACATGGGTTTCAAGAATTTGTGTTTTAAATAGAAATATTAGAAGCACGTGCAACCATAAAATATCTTTGAAGGTAGTATATGTACACATACATATATAAACATGGTAAACATAGATTTGTGAATACTGAATGTAATGATATAAAATAGTAATATTTATATTTCAGAAACAACAATTTTGTTATTAAAATGCTCAGCCCAGAAGTATGGAACTTTAAATCGCCGCAACATCATAATTTCATCGAAACAAAGGATCATAAAAAAGCTAATATACCAGACGCAGTTACATCGCATTATTTTAACCATTCTGTAGGTAGAAAATAATTCTAATTATCATTAATTTTATGAAGGTTAAATGTTAAGAAATCTTTACATAATTCGCAATTACTATTGGCTTTACGCCAGGTATCTTTAGTGCTTCCTGATACAATTAGAATTCCGGATAAATTGCGAACTTGTCTTTCGGAGGATACTGATTATTATCGAATCAATGGATTAAACGTGTATGAGTTGATAAACAAGGAATTCATTGAAGCATTTGTAAAAAAAGGTAAACCATTAGAGGTATCAATGTATATGATATTATTTTTTTAAATACTTTTTTATTTGTAGAGAAAAATTACAATAAATTTTTTTTTTTATTACTAATGTAATATTTTTTCAGGCGAATTGACACTTCTAACAATAGGAAATAAAATAGATTTAGATAACATAATTGCTGTTGCACCAACTGGACATTTAATATTGTCTTTGTTAACAGAAGACTTTCAAAAGCTTGGTTTAGAAGGCACAGTTTCTTTTTTTGATCGTAAAGTACATACACGTTATGGTAAGTCTTAAAAAACGAAATGCCAAAGAAAAATCAGATACCTACACTGGTGAATCTGGCATTATATTCCATTGGAGAATTTGTGATTACTTTTGGTAGATATTTAACAAAACATGTTTGTATAATTTCCAAGATTAATCCAAAGTACGGGCATACTAAGTTACAATCAACATTAAATTTTATGAAACATTTACTGAGTTCCAATGTACCTCAACATTTATATGATGAAATGTCTAGAGCAGTATTAACTGCAATTGTTAATTTAGTTCAGGAAACCAGGAGTACATATAATGATTATGCTTTAACTACAACATTTTTATCAGAAATGACAATTGCTCTTCGTTTAACAGAAGTGGCTATAGATACCCACTTGAAAACAATTGAATTTTCTGCTTGGCCAAAAATAATACGACATGTTCTCTATAATAAACTACATAATATGACTGGACTTGAAGTTTTGGACTTAGGCTCAGGTTCAGCTGGGTGGAAAACATCAGATATTGAGAAAATTATTGTCAATGGAGTATCTGCTATGCCAAATTTAATGTGCTTTATTTTATGCTTTGATTGTACAGATAATATTATAACAGCTTTAGCCCAAAATTGTAAAAAGTTACAAACATTAGATGCCACTGCATCTAGATCTGTGACCGAACGTAGCGTTGATTCTTTACTTTCATGTAAAAATTTAAAACAAATTAAATTACGTAGAACTTCTATGACCATACCCGGTTATGCGAGTCTATTTTTAGAACATTTAAATATAGAAGATATCGGCAGATGCGATGAATTTGGATATGTTTTAGAACTTATTCATCAGAATAAAATTAACACTAAAAGTACTTTTCGTATAAGAATATTTGAAAGTCGAAACTTTGATATGGAACATTTGTATCTTTTAGTTGATATGTGTCCATATATTACGAGTCTTTGCATACTGCGTGATGAAAGAATTGTTGATTTGACAATTCTAGCAACTCTTGATCATTTGAAAGAATTAAAACTTCTGTCTTGTGACTTTTATGCCCATGGAATAAAAACATTGCTAGAAATAAAAGGTCGCACGATTATGAATCTACACCTGGAACATATAGATGAAATTGACTTAAATGCACTTATGGATATAAGTCAGTATTGTCCGAATATAAAGAATCTAGTTTTTTATAACTGTGAATTCTTAGAACATGCACCAATTCATTCAAGAAAGCTTGCAGTTCCTCCGTTTGAATTTTTAGAAAGAATCAAATGTGTAGTAGACTGTGCAAACATGCATCTAGAGTTTTTACTTTCTCATTGTGTGAATATTAAATTTATTCAATTGGGATCATCAACTGGTATTGGAGATGAAACAATGAGAAAAATATTGTTGAAAAACTCAATGAAAAAATTAGAAGAGCTGAAAATATTGTATAGTCATGATTTATCAATGAAAACTGTGCAGTTGTTAATGCAAAACTGTGATAATTTACGACGGTTAGCAGAATTAGAAAGTTGGGGAGGAATATCACCTACAGAATTAAATATTTTTAGAGATGAATTAAAATGTACTAATACAAATTTGGATACAAGTCCAAGCTTGTCTTTTGCCTGAGTAATGTATTCAAAATTGATTGAATAATAATGCAAAATTCAAGAAATACATTTAAAATAAAATATGATATAAAAGTAATTAAAAAATGCAATATAATAATATAATAATTGTTGGTGTATTTATAAAGTAATTAAAAGCATCAAAATTAAAAAAAAAACGTTAACATATTTCTTTATTTTAAAAACTATAGTATCAACACATTTTTACAACTTTCTAATCTAGATTTTATTTTAAAGTTTAAAATAGACTTGTACATGTTTTCTTTTTTTTTTTACCGGTAATGTGAACAAAAAGTTATAACTATTGATTTAAAGTGTGAAAGTTTTATACCTGGCAAAAAGAATTATGAACATACTCGAATATCATTAAAAGAGCGTTTTAATCAAAAGTTTGATGTAATTGTATCATGGAATCCACCAGGTAATGTTCTTCTTCTTTAAATTTCATTTATCCATATATGTTAATGTTGTACAATTCATTCTACTTTTACTTTTAAAGATGAAAATTTGTGTCCATCATCCATTGCGGCATGGTTTCATAAACGCGAATATAACGTTTCTCTTTGTCATCAAAGTTTTTTACAAAAAACTGAATATTCATTGAAAGTACCAATAATTTCAAATGATTCTAATAACGATAAATTCTTTGAGTGGCTTGGAGTTTTTACTATCTCTGGTGATTTGTATGTATAAAACAAATATTTAAAATGAATATGTTTATAAAATTTTCAATATCCGAGATAATAAATTATATATTTTCAGAAAAAATAATAAAGAAGATGATTATGTAAACACATACATATGTCCGTCTCCTTCTACAGAATTTGGTCAAGTACAATATCTCCAATGGACTGGTTTGTTTACTAGAAGGCAAATAATAAATTTATATAATGCTGCGAAAGAATATGTATCAATGCACAGAACTTTACCATGGTGTGCTTTACATGTACAAGGATTTCAAGATAGTCCTGTTAGTTGGGACTTGAAAGAACATACATTTTATACTGATGGTGACAATAGCTACACTGTTGTGTTTAGACCAGCTGCTCATACTATTGTGAGAAAAAGCCTAAGTTCAAATAATAAACCAAGGATTTTTCAATAATTGTTAACGTTATTCCCAGTTATTGAATAATATATACAAATATTATGTATTAAAAGAAATAAATTATATTTAGTAATTTGCAAATTATTTATTACGATATAGAGAATAATAAATAACATGTTTTTTTAATACATATAACGTCGTTTTGCACCAGTATATTGTTAGTTAAAGGTGTAAAAAAAAAAAAAAAAATGGAATGTGTACTTTAATTAAAAAAAAATTCTCTAAAAGTTTACAAAATACTCTAATATAACATAGATTTTTATAAATTAGTTCTGACTCTGGGGTTTTTAAATTATTTGTTTGTTGCTAAACACTGTGTTACAAACATATCTATATAGTACCATATTATGTTAAAACTATAATAAAATTAATCATTTGCAGAATTACATTATTGCACATGCTTATATTACAGAGTAGAAAAAATCATATTAACTACATCATTTCATAAATTTACAGGACTAGTTGAAACTCAATGTTTCTACGCAAAATTAACTTATGAGATCAAAACAATGTATCACGTATAGTTTTTAAAGCTTTTTAAAACGTTTTTGCAAATAAATGAACATGGAGTAGAACCATGTTTATAGATGCCAATTTTGTTGCTTGCATGGTGCAAAATATATAATACCTAAAAGTTACAAAGAATACTGTTGAAACGTGTGACTACACATAATTTGTCTTTAAATATAATATATATTACCTTTTATATTAATACATGTGAACTCTCTGATTCAGAAAATTTAACTTTAGAATTGTAATAAAGATCTTCGATACCCGAACCAACAGACATACGAGACTTGGAACGAGTCATAACTTCACCTATTTCATCGAAATCTTTGTACCTAAACATATATTATTATATCAAAATAAGTAACACGTATTACCATTGGTTGTTATTGTTATGATTATTATTAAACGCAAAGCTTACCTACTAACTGGACGACTTTGATTTTCAGATGATTCTGAAGAATTTTTCATAAGTGAAAATCGATCGTCTGTATTGAATGATGTTACATTACCTATTAAGGATTCAACATTATTTTAACAATAGAAGGACAATTATATTAAATGTACATTGAAATTCATTTACCAGAAGGAAATAACATTGTATGTTTTAAAAGATCACCGTTCATGAATGGTGAAAGGCTATCATCTTCTTCCGGGAACAAATGATTGCTGGTATCAGTTGTTATGGATTCTACCATTTCCAACCACTGCTGATTGTGAGATCTAAACTTCTCCACTTTTATACGCGCTGCCCAATTTTTATCACACATCTAAAATTTCAGAATACAATTTAATTTATTATTTAAAAATTAGTACTTGATGAATTAGTACTTGAGGAAATGTACTTACAGCAATAACATCCAAACAAGCATCACATACTTTTCTAATTGCTGGATTTTTATCATGCATAAGATCTATTAAATATCCAGGTGCTTCTACAAGTAATAAATATTTCAGTACATGAAATATAATTAATGACGCATAAGAATAAAAGAAAAATTTGATAATTACCATTACCGGTCTCGCGTATTAAATAATCTCTTGTTGAATCGTGTTTCGATATTTGATAAAAAACATAAATTATTTGCAAAACCATTTCATCATCTTCTTGTTTTGCTGTAAAAATTATTATTAATAAAAAATAAACATTTTTTTATCTTTAATAGTATACAAACCTTTCAGAAGCTCAATAAGAGATAACAGTATGTCAGCTTTGCATAATAAACGTGCACAATCTTCATCGTAAGCTGCTGTACCGAGAAACATTACAATCTCAAGTACTAGATCATCTGGTGCTTTACCTAATTGAAGAAGTTATTAGTGTTAAGATGTATCGAAATTGAAGAAATTGATGAAAATGTTTAATATAAAATGAATGAATAACCTGGAACAAGATTATTTCGTATCCATGGTATCAAATCGCATCGATGAAGTATTTGTGAATAATCCAAATCAGGTAATTCTAAATTGCTTAATACACCTATAACTTCCAATACAAAGTCTTGTGAATCTGACTGATTTAACGCCATAGCAAAATCACCAACAAATTCCTAACAAACGTTACAAAGTCTAGATATTTGTATATAAGGAATAGTGTTTCTTACAAGTAAATAATTACTTACAACAAAATTTTCTTTCGTTGAATCATGTTGAGAAATATTTCGAATCATTTTCATTATCAGAGGATCTTGATTTCTGAATGCCTTTTTTATAAGACCTTGTAAACGATTATTTTCAACCATTAGTTGCGCATTCTTACTATTAATTGCCAAGTTTATACCAAGCGCTATTAATTCCAATTTCGGTTGGTCATCTTCAGAGTTTAATATCATGTTTGTTACCTTAAAAATATTCATTGTAAATAGAAAATACTACAAAGTCTTATTCGTAATTTTTATTATAATACATACTATCTGCACACAATCGGTATTCGTAAACATTGCTTTTACTTTATCATCCATACTGGCATGATATAATAAACCCAAAATTGTGGTTTTATTTTTAATGTCACTTTGACTAAGCAATTTAATTAATTTCAGTAATAAACCAACTCTTATCATTTTTGCTCGAAGTTTTGCATCAAAAGAAAGATTAAACAATAATTTTAAAGTACTCAAAACCAGATCTGTATTGTTACTTTGAAGAAGCCTCGGTATTTTTTCAATAATATTTTCTTCAGCCTATAAAAATAATAAAGATATACATAGAACCATATTTACTAATTTACTATTCTTAAGTAGTACTACAAATTTTGTTATATAAGATTTTACCATAAGATCTTTATTCTCACGAAATATGGATAATTTTTTTAAAAATGCAATAACAAGTATTAACAAATCAGTGTTTGTTCTATCCAATGTTTTGATCAGCATACCAATTACATTTTTTTTGCGCATCTTTCTCTCAACCTCCATATTTTCAGCAATATTTAGCAATAAATAAAAAGCAACTGTAACATAAATTTTGATATAGCATTAAAAGTATACCGACATTACTAAGATCTAAAATTGCCAACCTCGTAATAATTGTTCTTGTTTTTTCGTTAAACCTTTAAATTTTTTGCGACTTTTTTCAAGTTCTTCTTTCAATTTTTTGATATCACTTTCAGATACAGCAGTGGTAATTTCATTAGATCGTTTTTTAATTTCGTAGTCTAAAGGTCCGTCGGTATTCCAAATATCATCAACAATTTTTGTTTTCTTATCAGAGTTATCACTGCTATTTGAAAAAAATGTTAATCCAGTAGTATTTTCAAAATGACGCCTACGTTTTTCCATATCTTCCTTCCACTGATCGTAACGGCGTAATTCAAAATCTATTATATCCATACACAAAGACCCAATCTAGATATAAACAGTTAATCATTAAACATACATCCATCTTTATAGTATTTTATCTTCTTTTTACTTACTCTGTATTCAAGAACAATATTATGAAACTGACTGTAGGTTGAAAAACAGAAAAAAATATAGACAATGTTTGTAGATAGTTCTATGCTACGTCTCCAATCCTCTCTCAAAACCCTTGCTAAAGCACTTAACAAAGATTCTAGGAAAATATGATCAATTATACATAATGGGAAAAATAATTAAATAGGAAATTAGTTATTAAAGATATGCTTTACCATTTTTGGTCAATTCATGAAGATTATCTGGTATTCTAGCCAACTGTAAAATCAGTGATGAACCTTTTATTTTCCCTGGTATTTCTTCATATAATAGTTCTTTATAGTTAGCAACATTACTAATGACAGCATGTTCTGTCTCAACATTATCTGTGGATATAGAATCTGATGATGCAGGTCTTGAAGGTTGAGAGTTATTATCATTACCTAGAATGAAAGAAATGCCACAATAAAGAATATTAAATAAAATGTCATCATTCCTTATATAGATTAAAACTCACTTGTACAACTATCATTTGCTTTACGGTTTTGCAAGTAATAAATTAATTGTTCCACTTCACGAAGCTTTGATTCATGTATCAAAGAACATTTTTCTATCACTTCTTTAGCTAAAAGTGATACATTTGTATCTGCATTTAAACTTTTTAACCGAATTATTTTTTGACATTCCTATAAATGAATATTTTAATGGTATAATCATTACAACATTCAATAGTAAATCATTTGGTAATCTTACTTTACGGTCTCCTAACATAGGATCTCCTAATTTTCCAAGAATTAATGCCTCAACATCATAATTTACTACTAAAGCTTTTTCTGTTGGATGCACATCTAAAGCACCAGACCTTACTTTCCTAAATATTAAAAAGAACTTTAATCTAGTTTTACATTATATATTACTTATAAGAAACATAATACAATAAATTTCAATTATACATTTATATAATAATTGTGTGACACATAATTAATAATATAATTACGTGGTGAAATACCTACCGCTTCAGAAATTTTGCTTCATCCATTTTAATACTGTACTTATAACTTAATACATGAAAATATTGCACGTGTTATAATATTATCCTGTCAACTTTTTAATAATTATTTCATCTTTGCGAAAAGAAAATCGAAGATAAACCTACCGATTCCAGTGACTGTCAATTGTGTTTTCTTGACGCAAAATTACGCCATCTACTATAATCTAATGCACTATCTTTGAAATATAAACCCTATTTTACACTAGATAAAAAAGATTTATATATATATAAATATTTGTATATATTTACATATGTATATATGTATCTCTTTGTTTAAAAAAGCATTATTACTGATGTTCAATTTATATATAATATGCTGTAATTAATAAATCTGTAATAAATAAGATAAGAAGGTAGAGTTTTGTCCAGATTTGATATTATAGGCATGTTTAATCTGATTAGTGTTTGTGTTCTTCAGAAACATTTGTAATAATACATTAAAATATCTATTTAATGATTCAATGAATTTTCTGATTAAATATATAAGCAATAATAATATTCTTTTATTTTTTATCTTTATTTATACATACATATATAAGTACATATAGGCTTAATGCTTTGGTTTTCTGAAATAGATAAGGAGTGATTAAGCATTAAGATGTGTTGATTTCACAATATTGTTATATGAATTGTTTAAAAACTAAGAAGAATTTATTTATAACATATTTAGAAATAAAAGTTGATAATATTTACAGTACTAATAAAAATTCAATTTTAAATTAAAATGACAGGAAAGACAATCATTATTGACTGTGATGCTGGTGTAGATGATGCATTAGCATTAATAATATTAATTGCAGCTCATAAGCAAAAACAAATTCAAATTAAAGCAATTACCTGTGTAACTGGAAATACAGCAGTAGATAATGTAATTAAAAATGTATTTAGAACTTTAGATGTTTGCAAAGCAACAGATGTAAGTTATGTTACTTTATATATTAAAGTTGATTTTAAATAAACCTATATCAATGCTTTTTATACATTATCTTACAGATACCAGTTTTTAAAGGGGCACATGCACCTTTGCTTTCTACTCCAAATGTTGAAGAAGCAGTCAAAGACCAATATTATGGAAGTGATGGTTTTGGAGATGTATATAACACCAAAGTAGACACAAGCATATTGCAAACAGAACATGCTGTATGTGCTTTAAATAGAATTACATCAGAATGTCCAAGTAAAATTACCATTGTATGTTTGGGTCCTTTAACAAACATAGCATTAGCTATGAAAATGTATCCTACATTTATCAACAATATAAAAGAATTTTATATTATGGGAGGAAATATAACAGGTAATTTTTTAAACAAATATTTATTCATTTTACATATATCTTAATTCTTATGTTCATATTTTATTATTATCAGCACAAGGCAATGTAACACCTCAAGCAGAATTCAATTTTTATATGGATCCAGAAAGTGTACATATAGTCTTTAATAGTAATACAAAACCTTTGTGGTTATTACCATGGGAAACATGTTTGAAATCCAAAATTTCACATGTAAATATAATGAAATCATAATTATTTAAATGATAATATAGAAATGTACTACATATATGTTTCAATACTTTTCAGGAATGGCGAAAAAATATATTAGGTCAAATAGATAAACCTTGCATGGAGTTTATGAATACTATTGAAAATGGCTGTTCAAAGATAAGAAAGAAACGTTTCCCTACTTATATTGTGTGTGATGCAATTTTAGCTGGAATTTTAGTACAACCAAAAATTGCAGAAAATATAGTGTCGTATCATGCCGATATCGAATTAAGCGGTAACAGAACTAGAGGTCAAGTTGTACTTGATCACTTACTGTCAAATAAACCCAATGTGTTTCTAATTCAAGATTATAATTCGGAAATGTTTAAAGAACTTTTAATATCATCTGTTAATACTGATTATAATATAATAAATACATAATAAAATGAAATTATAAATACATATGTATATAAACAATATAAGTACATGTATATATGTTTTTATATTTCTATCATTACACTACATAAGCATAAAAATAATTCTACATAATGCTTAATGATTATCAGTAGGAATGTTTAATTTTTAAACATCAAAATAGTACTATATTGTACTGATTAGTACAAACATAATATTATATTATTATATATATTTACAATACGTAATCTGAAACAATAAAAATACTAATTTACAATGAATATGATTTATAATATACATTGCATATATTGTCAATTATGTACCTGTTTAAAACAAAATATTACAAATCTGGTTTTAAAGAATCTTTGCATTCTTGAAATTGTTTTCTTGCTTCTTGATTTGAGTGCAGCAATTGAATTAATTCTGCACGAATATCATCATTTTTTTGTTCCAGGTTATCCAAAACTGAATTAAGTTGATCTAATTGAGCATTTATTGCTTCAAATTCTGAAATTAGAGTTGTAATATATGTATTTCATATAAAAAAAAAGAACACTTGCCTGCAAACACTAATTATTACAAAATATTTAATAAAAACATACATATAAAATCATTTATTTTTCTATGTAATTTTTTAGACAGAAATATATTATTTACCGGCATCGTTACAATTTTCATCATTTTCATCATTTTCTTCATTTTCTTCATTTTCCCAGTCGTTATTATCACCTTCATTCTTGTTTTCTGCTGGTCTTACTGCGTTCTGAACCATGTTTTTATCTGCCATTACCATTAATTATTACTGCTACTATAACGTAATAAAAGCTTATACGAATCACCAATTGTGTACAGGCTTAAGCTTCATAAGAATGCACCTGCTATAAATGCATATCAACATTTTTGAGTATTTAGGTTATTCTCTTTTTTACGTAACAAGAAATACACACTGAGTAATATGTTCAAGTTGATAACTTGAATGAAACTTGTAATATATGAGGCTACATATACGAATGGATAGTACAATACAATTTTGTAAGAACTTTAAAAAATGAATAACTATTTTTACCAAAAGCTAAGTCACATGATATCTTTCAAGAATAAGGTCAAAAGTGAAAGCTTGAAACGTCAATCATGTGCGTTATACCTGTTGAATGTGTGACTAATGTTAATGTCGAGAGAAAACAAAGTTTACGGGTGTGTACAGCAGAAAAATGTTTACGAATAAAGTTATTTTTACTTTAGTAAGAAACGGAAATTTGGCCAGAGCAGTTTGGTGTAGTGAATATAATGTATACTGTACAAAACAAAGAAATCTGCATGTTTCTATGCAGAGTACATTTCATGTATGTCAGTTCAATAAGGTTGAAGCAAAACTTGCTGGAAGTCAAAAACCAGATTGGAACAGAGCGGTTTCAGAAGCAGAAAAAATTGTTGGATATCCCACATCATTTTTAAGTCTACGTTGGCTTTTAAGCGATGAAATAGCAAATGTAGCATTACACCTCAGAAAATTAGTAGGATCTAATCATCCTTTACTAAAAACAGCCAAGTGAGTATTTTATTAATATATTCTTTATAAATTAAATATTCATACATTTATTAATATTTATTATTCATTTTAGGAGTGTTATTTACAATGGACGTAATAATATGCAAGCATGGGGTCTTATTGTATTGTTAATTTCAAAAGCTGCTGGTCATTTAAGTGTAGATGACATGGAAGAAGATAAAGCTGCTGGTGTATTACACAGGTATATATATATTTTAATTTGTAATTATATATATAAAAAGAGATTTTTTAAATAAATGATTGTTTAGTCAGCGAGCTTTAGCAGAAGTCACTGAAATGATACGTACTAGTCATCTTGTTCATAAAGGATTAGTAAATATAGAACCTAGTGTTTATTTAGAAACTTCAGAATTAAATGACATGAACTTTGGGAATAAAATTGCATTATTAAGCGGAGATTACTTATTAGCTAATTCTTGTGCTGAATTAGCAAATCTTCGTAATCAAGATGTATGTATACACATCATCGTATACGTTCCCACGAGTTTTTTCGCATTTTATCATACTTATGTTTAGATTGTAGAATTAATGTCCAGCGCGGTAAGAGATTTGGCAGAAGCAGAATTTATAGGACGCAGAGATAATCAAAATAATCCTTTACCTTCTGTGCCACCTGAAGACCGAACCGATTATGCTGTGAAAGAGTGGACTCTTAGAAATGTACTAAGCGCTGGTGCTTTACTAGGAAAATCGTGTAAAGGTACATTGAAATTAGCTGGACACGGCAATGAAATACAAGAACAAGGGTACAATTTTGGTAAACATTTGGCATTAGCTTGGCAAGCTTGTTTGGATTTAGGTCCATTCGTTACAAAAGATCAAACTGCAACATTTAATTTATGCTCTGCACCAATTATGTTTCATATCGAACACGACCCATCGATTTTGACAGAAATCGATAAGGGTATAGAATCTGTGAACAATGTAGATTATAATAAGGTATGTTGAGTGTTTAATATTTAATAATTAAATAAAATTGATACCTTTGAAAATCATTGAAATCCATATGTATAGGTTCACAAGATTGTCATGATGGGACCTGGCATTGAATTAACAAAACAATTGCAAAAAAGACATTCACAAAGGGCAATGGAAGTTCTAGGTGTATTTGAAAAAAGTGATGCAAGAACAGCATTATACAATATTATAGCAGCTATGGGAGATTTTTAAATAATAATATTTATAAATATCTAATATGTGGTTTATATGATTGCCCAGAAATCAGTTTAAGGACTCCGTCCTACGTTAAGTTTCTGATTCTAAAATATATTATGTATGATTATATAAAAGTTATATAATACGTAAAATATAGAAAGAGTATTAGGTAAATAATTTATATCTTACTGTATACAAGTAAAGATAAAAGATATACTCATTTACAAATATGCATTGTTAACATGACAAAATTGATATATTTTATAATAAATGACGTTTATACAAGACTAATTTACTTACAATATCAATTTGTTTGTTTTTACTATTTCTATTGTGTATCCAATATTTTGTAAAGTTTTGTAAATTATAAGACATGTATAAATATTACATTAATGATATTAAGTATTAAAACATATAACTGTGTATGATCAGTAAAGAAACATAATTAAAATAATAATAAATTAACGTTAAATAAAGAATACGCGAAATCAGTCACAGAGACGTCAAGTGACATAAGAACTGCCCGCGTAAACATGTCAAGAACAGGCACGAAACTCGATTCAAAAAAAGTTGTAAGTATGCTATAAATTCATGTTGCTAAGTTTTATAAGATATCTGTATTATAATATATTGAATTATATTAAATTATCCGAATAATTATAACAAAATAGGTGTGCTGAATGTAAGTAAGGTTATGGATGTTGTTTAGTATTTATATATTTATATACTTTCATATTATATTTTATTATAAACGTTTGTTGTATATTATACATATTTATATATGATTACGAATTTCAGAATTCAGAATTATTTACATTGACGTATGGCGCACTGGTAGCCCAATTACTGAAAGATTATGAAAATGTGGAAGACGTAAATAAGCAATTGGAAAGAATGGGCTACAATATGGGAATTCGCTTAATAGAAGATTTTTTAGCACGTACTGGATCTGGTCGATGTTATGATTTTCGAGACACAGCTGAAAAAATACAAACTGGTTTCAAAATATTTTTGGGTATAACTCCAACAATTTCTAACTGGAGTGCAGCTGGTGATGAATTTTCTTTATGTTTTGAAGCAAATCCATTAACAGAGTTTGTTGAATTACCAGACCATTGTTTAAATTTAAAGTATTGTAATATATTAATCGGAGTATTAAGAGGAGCTTGTGAAATGGTACAAATGGAAATTGCTTGCTGGTTTGTACAAGATCAACTTAAGAATGATAATATAACAGAATTACGTGTAAAATTTATTAAACGACTAGAAGATGCTATTCCAGCAGGTGAAGATTAAATAATTTTATGTCATTGGAGCTATACATAACTGCAGTACATAGAAACTTAAATGTACATTGTTTATTATAATATTTACGAACAACGTTAAGTTATTAATTAACTTAATCTTAATAACTCTTAATTATAATAATGTATTCACGAAATAAAGTAAAAACATTCTAACATTCAGACTCTAGAATGTCTAAAGTTAGTGTTTTTTAAAATTATATGACCCAATATTGTACTCCGAATTCCTACAAATCGAATGCCTAAACTTAGTTTTTAAAAAAAATAATATGTTCCGATATTGTACTCCGACACATATAAGTGGTGTCACATCTTTTTCCGAAGTACGAGTGTTTAGGAATAAGAACTCAATAGATATAACAATAATTTAATTAACAAACAAATGTAAAATTATAAATAGTAATTAAATAAATTTGAATAGAATAACCAACCCACGTGAAAATTAAAGAAATAAACAATTTAAATAGATATAACGATCATTTGATTAATAAACAATTGTAAAATTAAAAATAATAATTAAATAATTTTTAATAGAATAATTAAACAAAATTTTGCAAAATACCCACACGGAAATGTAAAGAAATAATTTAAATAGATATAATAATAATTTGATTAATAAACAATTGTAAAATATAAAATAATAAATAAATATTAACAAATATCAGATAGAAACAGTTAAATGTAGCCGTCATGCTTGATTGCGCGCGCCGCGGCGCGCCGGTACAAGAGCGACCTCGAGAGAGGTCAAACTTAAATCAGTCTTATAGCGACCGCCGAAGGGTACGGATCGAGCTGTCAAACATACCGGTAAGGGTTAACACTATGGATATTCGTGCATGGATTTATTAGTGTGTTACCACAAGTGTTACTGTGTGTGCCTATGGTGTTTCCTATAGTGTTTCCCATAGTGTTTTGGAATATTTATACGGATATATTAGTGCGTTTTATGGTGTGGTCACCCATGTGTTCTGACATTTGGCTGTTGTCTGATATGGGTCCCATGCATATTCGAGTGCCATATAACAATAAATGACGTACACAATCATACACGCAAAAATAAATTAGGTTAGGTTCAATAGCATGGGACCTATATCAGACAATCCCCTGACATTTTTATACAAGTGCATTAGTGTGCCATGTGGTGTGGTACCTGTATGTGCTTTATTGTGTTTTATGATGTGGTTTTTTATGTGCTTTGGCATATATTTACGGATTTATTAGTGGGTTTTATGGAGTGGTACCCTATGTGTTTTGGCATATTTATACGGATTTATTAGTGGGTTTTATGGAGTAGTACCCTATGTGTTTTGGCATATTTATACGGATTTATTAGTAGTTTTTATGGAGTGGTACCCTATGTGTTTTGGCATATTTATACGGATTTATTAGTGGGTTTTATGGAGTAGTACCCTATGTGTTTTGGCATATTTATACGGATTTATTAGTAGGTTTTATGGAGTGGTACCCTATGTGTTTTACTATAATTTTGCAAATATTTTATGGTGTTCTATGGTTTTGATCTTCATGTGTTTTAGGATGTATTTGCATGTGTTTTACCGTGTTTTATGGTGTAGTTATTCCCATATAGTTTAGCATGCATATTTTTGAATTATCCTATGTATTAGCATATTAACTACAACAAATTGAGAGAAAACATATATCGTTCAAGAATCGTGATTTTTATGCTTTCAGATGAGTGCTTTGGCCAGTGGTGATACCGTTTCTTTGACGAGCCAACAGACGAGCTAATAAGATGCGTGGCGAGTGCAGTGGTGCAAGTCAACGATCGGTGAGTCGCATGCTTTAAAGTTCCTCCGGTTCCCATCATGTCGTAGGACGAATGGTCCGTAGCGACACGGGAATTGGTTGTAATTTCTATTTTTTGAGCGAGCATAGTGACCCACGAATATCACTGTATCATTTTATACAATGATAATCGTGCAAATTGTTTTTTTGTGTATTTTATGCCTTAGCTCAGGATAGGGTTTTCTTGTACATATTCACATATATAGATTTCGAGTTTAAAAATGTAGAGAAGTCGGATGACCCTCCGATTTCACAATACATTTTCTTTTTTATATGTACAAGAATTTATTTCGCGATGAGCGGATTTCAATATCAAAGTAATAAGCATGAATACTATTGATTATTATAACTACTTACTTTGATAACGAAATCGCTCTTGAAATTGAAACGTTTTTCCGATTTTACTTGTGAAATTGGCATCAGTTTAGTATATGGGCTGGCCCCCAGGGGGGTCAGTATTTGCTCTTCAAGCATTGTATAAAGTTCCCCTTTCGAACTTGAAATTCATTTTGTCACGTTCACGTTTTTCGACCCTAAACACTCATCATGCGCACTTCAGCCTCACGAACTCTATCACATATTCATTTATCCATCCGCATACCGTTGTGTAGTAGAAATATTACCCCGTTAGGATTTTCAAGTTTAAGTAGTGTTGCGAAAAATTTTCAACGCGAGAGTAAATATTATCCCGTTCGGATTTTCATGTTTAAGTAGTGTTGCGAAAAATTTTCAACGCGAGAGTAAATATTACCCCGTTAGAATTTTCAAGTTTAAGTAGTGTTGCGAAAAATTTCCGGCGCGAGAGTAAATATGACTATACACAGACTAGTATTCGGTGGGAATCCTTTTGGTTTTTATTTGATAAAATTAGTTACAAGGATTCCGCGGCATAAGACCGTGAACACCACCTCATGGGAGATAAAACCATGCATTACTAGGCCTTTTCAGGCACAGCCATAGAGTACGGAACATTTAAGTATGTTGCATCCCATACGCTAAGCTGTCTTAAAGTCCTTTTGCCTATACTATGGGCGTCCACCACTCGAACATGTTGGATGCAACGTGTTCGATGGGTGGGTAGCGCTCTTAGCGAAGGGGTGCACCCTGCCTGGGCCTAGAGCCTTAAACAGGCGGGGTGGGTGGTATGTAGCGTCGGGCGCAAGTCCAGGGGGCCTAAGAACCTCCGTTGCCAGCTGATATTAGCTGTGGACGAATGTTGAGTCATATTTGCTCTATTTTGCTTTTCAATATTTGCTCTTCAAGCATAATTTAAAGCTCCCCTTTAGTCATGTTGCTAGATCAGGATTTTTTATTTTAATTAGTGTTGCGAAAAATTTCCAGCGCGAGAGTAACTATGACGATGCACTTACTAGTATTCGGTGGGAATCCTTTTGGTTTTGAAACTCAATGTTTTATTTAATTAATCAAAGTAGTTACAAGGATTCCGCGGCATAAGACCGTGAACACCATCTCTGGGAGATATACCCATGCATTACTAGGCCTTTCAAGGCGCAGTTTAGAATGTGGCGCACATCCATATGTTCCATTTAATAAACTGCAGTCCTTTTGTCTATACTATGGGCGTCCGTCAATCTGACACGTTGGATGCAACGTGTTGGACGGGCGGGTAGCGCTCTTAGCGAAGGGGTGCACCCTGTTCTAGGCGGGGTGGGTGGTATGTAGCGTCGGGCGTAAGTCCAGGGGGCCCGAAAACCTCCGTTGCCAGCCGATATTAGAAGTGCACCATTTTTGCGTCATAGTTGCTCTATTTTGCTTTTCAGTATTTCCTCTTCAAGTATTGTAGAAAGCTCTTCTTTCGTACTTCAAATTCATTCTGTCACGTTCACGGTTCTCGACCCTAAACACTCATCATTCGCACTTCAGCCTCACGAACTCTATCACATAATCATTTATCCACCCGCATACCGT